ACCTGGATCTTGTGTTTAATCAGGATTTTGGAGATCTTTTTTGTGACCCCAGCAATGTAGGGTAAGGTGATGGTCTTGAAAGGCTCCTCAACAGGATCCTTCTTGATGGTTGGAGTGATGGCTTTGCGGATTGTGTAGTCGGAGTAACCATTAGCCTTAAGAGCTTGGCGTACGTGTTTGAGTTCACTGGAAATGTGTTCATGGTCGGAGATGCATTGGGCTCTATGATATAGAGTCTTGATGAGGGAATTCTTCTGGGATGGATGGTGGTGGGAATCCGGTTTTAGATAAGCATCCGTGTGGGTGGCTTTCCTGTAGACAGAGTGGCTCATTGAACCATCAGGTCTCCTTTTGATTAGGACATCCAAAAAGGGTAGCTTGCCATCATTTTCGACTTCCATGGTGAATCTGATGGCTGGGTGTATGGAATTGATGTGGTCGAGAAATTGGTCTAGAGCATGCCGGCCATGTGGCCAGATGACAAAAGTGTCGTCTACGTACCTCTTCCATAAGGTCGGGCGTAGAGTGGCAGTCTGGATGGCGTCCGTCTCAAATTTCTCCATGAAGATGGGCTCCCCCCTATCTCCGGTTGTAGCCAACATCTTCATGGAGAAATTTGAGACGGACGCCATCCAGACTGCCACTCTACGCCCGACCTTATGGAAGAGGTACGTAGACGACACTTTTGTCATCTGGCCACATGGCCGGCATGCTCTAGACCAATTTCTCGACCACATCAATTCCATACACCCAGCCATCAGATTCACCATGGAAGTCGAAAATGATGGCAAGCTACCCTTTTTGGATGTCCTAATCAAAAGGAGACCTGATGGTTCAATGAGCCACTCTGTCTACAGGAAAGCCACCCACACGGATGCTTATCTAAAACCGGATTCCCACCACCATCCATCCCAGAAGAATTCCCTCATCAAGACTCTATATCATAGAGCCCAATGCATCTCCGACCATGAACACATTTCCAGTGAACTCAAACACGTACGCCAAGCTCTTAAGGCTAATGGTTACTCCGACTACACAATCCGCAAAGCCATCACTCCAACCATCAAGAAGGATCCTGTTGAGGAGCCTTTCAAGACCATCACCTTACCCTACATTGCTGGGGTCACAAAAAAGATCTCCAAAATCCTGATTAAACACAAGATCCAGGTCCGATTCAACACAGTACATAAAATCCGTGATCTGGTCCCGTCTGTAAAAGATGTGGTTCCAGACATACAGTACCCTGGCGTCTACAAACTAAGTTGCCTCTGTGGTAGCAGTTACATTGGAGAAACCAAACGACATGTCTCGGACCGCATCCGTGAACACAAGGCAGACCTGAAACACGGTAGGACAAACACCTCAGCCGTGGCAGATCACTGTTACAATTCAGTGGGCTCACATGACATTGACTTCTCCAAGACAGAGGTTCTCTGCAAGCCATCTGGCTATCATGAGAGATTCGTTCATGAGGCGATCCACATATACAAACACAGAGACAATTTCAACCGAGAAGATGGATTCTGGCTTAGCAATCATTGGAAGGACGTAATAAACCATTTCGGATCTTAACTGATTGTGTTCACGTTTACGGTGACTTTCAGACCGCGTTCCACTCACTGGCATGGTGCAGTGTGCAGAGCAATGTATGGTGTCGTAATTGTACAGTAAACATATAGCAGTATGATACACATTAGGGTGGGTAGAATAATACATAGTGTTATATTAAAATGGATAAGGCAGCAACTGCAGCAGCAGCAGCAAGTGCAGCAGCAGCAGCAAGTGCAGCAGCAGCAACTGCAGCAGCAGCAGCAACTGCAGCAGCAGCAGAAACTGCAGCAGCAGCAGCAACTGCTGCAGCAGCAGTAACTGCAGCTCCCTTTGATGCTGTTAATCCTGCATAATGCACATGCATATGCAGTACTAATCACATTCCTGCATTTCCCATAAATATGCTAAATTCCTTTTGATATGCAAATTCCTTTGTCAATGCGCCCAGCTTATATATATGCTCCAAGCTCGTGTGCTGTTTCATTCAGACTCTGTCGCCTCGACGGACCTGGTTTTCACCTGAGGACGGCTGCTTGCGTTGTGGCCGAAACGTCGTGAGAATTGTTTTATTATGTTTTATTTTCATTATTTTATTACTTCACTTCTACGTGACTTTACCGAAAGAACCAAGAAGATGATTCACTGAAAGAACCAAGAATATGAATCCCTGCAGTCACGAAAGCTTTAAATCAAAATGTATACTTTCGCTGATAGCGTTGGCTATTCAGATAGTGGTAATTAAACGGTTGTTGGAGGTAATTGAAGCTGCCAAGAACTCTCAACCCCGCTCAGTCTCAAGGGACGACCGCGGGTCCGACTGTCACATTCCACAGTTTGCGCTCGGGGATGAACAGCTGCCAAGGAACTTTAGTTTTTATGGCATTCACAGATTTGTTTTCTCTTCTCTAAAGTTGTCTCGTGTTTATTTAGTCTCTCTGATGAAGAAAGCCGTGCATCAGTTTTCGTGGCGTTATTCAAACACAACCGGTACAATTCTACACGCATCCAAGTAAAACATGACTTCGATATTCGTCGCTGCACCTAAAACTTATATTGCAACACACACACTAGTCCGCCGTTGACATCTACATAGTATTTATGTGAGAGGTGAGTCCACTCTTGTTTGCAGGACGATATACTGTGGAGCACCAACGTAACTTTGAATGCAGTTAAATTTCGATTTAAAGCTTTCGTGACTGCAGGGATTCATCTTCTTGCTTCTTTCGGTAAAGTCACGTCAAAGGAAAATAATAAAATATTAAAAATAAAGCATAATAAAATAATAAAACATAATAAAATAATTATTTATAATGTTTTATTTTTTGATTAAGCCGTATTAAAGTAATTATTTTATTATGTTTTTTTTTATTTCCCTTCTACGTGACTTTACCGAAAGAACCAAGAAGTTTGAATGCAGTGCTAAAGCCCCACCGTGCATGCTATGTGTGTGAGTATGCGCATGTCAATTTGTGTGCTAAATTATGATGCACGCAGTCGACACGCAATGTTATGATACATTTATTCTATTATTTGTTTATACATGAAAGCTTCACTGAGTCGCAATGTGTTTTATTAAATGTCTCTATTTAGATGTTTGTCAAAGTTCATTAATGACTGTTTTGGTATGTCGTGGAAAACTTGAGACCTCGAAGAATACTCAAGAGTCGTATCATATGATAGACCGCAGGCACACACTAGCACGGTTGGCTACGTACGGTGAGAAATGAGTTCAAGATGCATACAAGACAGACCTGGGATACCCAGTTATGTACGATCACAAATAATTTAGGCACTCAGTTGTATAGTAGTAATGTCACAGTCGATCGCTACAGCGGACAGCGTGTGTGTGATGTCAAAGACCTGCGGGAGTTCTAGAGTAATCGAGCCATGAGCTTCGTGTAAATCGGTTCAGTGGTGAGCGCGACCTCCTGGTAAAGGTAAAGGCGCATCCCTGCAACTGCCGGCTCAAAGGGGTGGAAGCACTCACACTTTACCCAACCACACGCGAGCAGCCGATCAACTGAAGTGTATCCACTTACACTGCTCGGCGGACAAAGGCAGATGAGTTAAAACAAACTTGCACCATTTGCTTCAATTTGCCGCGCAGGTTACTGAGCTGTGGAATGTCCCACCAGTGGTTCAGGGTTGCTAACGGAGAAAATGAGCGACTGGCTGACGCTGCTTAGACAGTCGTACTACACATGGATTGCGTGCACGGTGTGGAGAAGTGGTGCAGTGGTCATTGCACTCTGCCATGAACCAGACAGCATTACATGAGGTCAATTCCCCGCCGTGGCTAATATCAGTGGTAATTGATATCTGCACCGGTTCTGGCCATCCCTCTCGCCAACCCTCACGGGGCCAGCCTGGTGAAGTATGGTCAAAGAACCCCCGATATTGCAACAGTGTGTCGAAGCCTTCATTCAGCAGTGGATCGACAAAAGGCTGTATATAATAATAGTAATGATAATTATTATTCAGTTATACTTAATTACGTAATAATTAATAATAATCAATGGCATAATTAACTATACTCTATTTTGTAGAGGTCTATATGGTTGTGGATATAAACCGAGAGTCGTGCATCGTTGAACGCTCACATAGACGATGCATGGTTAGACAAATCAGACCCACTGTGGCCCCATGCAATGCCCAAGTCAGGAGTACAGTAATTTTATGAGCTGCGTTCGTTTCCTTCCAGAGGTCCCAGGAGTTTGGACGCAAAATGTTTTTCAACGTGTCGAGTGACGGCGCACTTGCGCAAGCCGCGTGACGTAACGTACACATTACATACACTACCTGCCACTAACACGCAGCGAAAAGTAATCAGCCACATACTGTGGGTCAGTATGTAACGCTCCAGCCCGCGAGTTTTCTTGGCCAGGCGCACGTAACCCTGGCCACAGAGCGTTCATACATCACAGCGCGTCGAGGGGTCTCCAACGAAAACATTTACACATCGGCTTGGGCCGTTAATTCAAAGGGCGGTCTCACACTTTCTATAACCCAACAAAAAAAAAAACCGGCACCCGTACAATCTGCGAGCCGACGGGTGTTAGCTAGTTGGACTGGTTTTATCCCAGAGTAATTATTATTGGTATTCACTCGCGAAGATATTATTATTATCACTACATTCATTCCCACCACAAATTGCAATACCCGCTGCAGACGCCAGCACACACACACACATACCCACACGCGCGCGCGCGCATATGGGCGGCCTTTTCGAAAGACTTGCGACACATCCGATAGAACGCACGCTGTCCGTGATGAGGAGGAGGGCTTAGGAGGGTGGCCCAGACCGTTTTTTGGCATTCCAGCGAAGCGAGGGGGAGAGGCGAGAGAGAGAGAGGGAGCGAGAGAGGGAGCGAGATTGAGTGAAACCAGATGGGGGAGGGCTCTGTCAGTCGGCGAGAGGGGAGCGCGGTGGTATAAAGGTGCCACGACCGCCCACTCTCCCAGTCTCGGCGCACAGCGAGGAGCAGGCAAGAGGGTCAGGAACAGAGACAACCATCGCAACACCCGTACACCATTGCCTCCCTCAACACAACACAAAAACCCTGACAAGCAATACACGAACGACAGCGAGCTGCATCTAGATAATTTGATTGAACTAAGTAAGCTGTAAAGTTGTTGTTATTTTTTTTACAAAGGAACGCAGAACAAATAAATAGGTCCTGTAGATACGATTAATAGTAAATATCACAAACTTTGGACTGTTTTTGCAACAACTAAATACTGTACCACCGCGAAACTTTAAATGCAACGCTGCAAATAGAAGGTCTGCGTTCAAATTAGTACAACCCACGTGCTTCGAGAAGCCTAGTTTTTTTTTATAAATTAGTATTATTACAATTGTAGTGACTAAAGCCGATCATTTTGACGCCTCTGCTCGGTGGACTCTCTCGGAATCGCGAAGGGAACGAAGCAAAGGAACGACTTCACGTCTCTCGTTCAAGCCGCGGCTCCTTGAATCTGTTTCTTTTTTTGTTTGACGACCTCGTTCTGCGCCCCAGCACCTCGCTTCAGAAGGAGCTCTGCTGTGAACTATCAACATCTGGTAAGCACGTGGCTTCACTGCAGAATGCGTAGGCTGTGGCGTGTTCGGTGTTATTGGCCGTTGTGTTTGCGGAGGAATTCTTTTCAAATCACGCTACACTTACGGTGGGGATGCAGCCCTGGTGTAATGAGTGACATGCGGGACTTGCAATCGGTTCGATGTCCCGGCGCGGCAGTTGAGGCAGAGGTGCGCATTTCTTAAATCCCGCGGCCTCTGTCTGCACCAGCGGTTTAGATGGGTTCGTCACAGTTATACGTCGATTGGCGGAGTAAAGTGGGGCGACTCCCACCTCCTCCAAGATGCCTGAGCAGCGTGGAAGAGTAGGCCAAAATATCCTCTTTGTGGATGGACTCTCTAGCGGAGGCCCTTGCCGCCAGCAGTGGCGTGAACAGGACATTTCAGGGCTGCGCCTCTATACCCAGAGAGTGATACCAAATTAATATGAATCATGAGACTCAATGCACCCAGCTATCGCATTGTATTTGGTGGCACCTTGCTCGTTTGAAAACTGACGGGTCAATTGCTCTGATGTATTGGGTGATGTGCATTGTGTGCCTGGGGATTCGATCGCGTGGCGTCAGCTCGGTGGTGTGGCAATGGTCCAACCAGCGCACGACAGCCAACAAACCGTGCCCCCCATTGCCGCCTGTCATCTGGCGATGTTTTATTTACAATAAAGGAGCTAACGCAGAACACGTGCCACCGAGATCCTTTGAGCCAGGGTCGATTTGGAAAGTAATGCCTTACCCGCGAATATGTTGTGGAATGCTCTGGGACATGCCCTATCGTGCGTATGTGTGTGTAATAGTTTATAGACACTAACGGTAGTGTAGCTGCTAGCGCGCTGCGATACGAACCCTGGAGAACCGAGTTCGATTCCCGCTCACGGCCAACATCTGTGGCGAATATCTGAAGCGGTCCTAGGCCTCTCCCTAGGTCGACTGAGCCTCAAATGCGTACCTGGTGCGGTGCGCAAACATCGCCACTGGGGAGACAAAGGCGGTCGGGCGTGGTGCTGGCCGCCCACCTCCTCGTGTACCGTGCCGGCCTTCATTTGTGCTGCTCGCTAACAGCACTTGCCCCCGATAGTCTGTTAAGGCTCTACGGGAGAGCTTTGTCTTTGTTATATACAATTTTTAGTGGCTATAAAAAATACGTTGAGGAGTAATGGCAAACGGGTTAGCGCACTGCGCTGTGAGCCCTGCTACCTGAGTTTGATTCCCGGCTTTATCTGACATAAGTATCGAGTTGTATCAAAACCAGCCCTGGACCCCCACACACCAAACCTCATTGAGCGGCGTGGTGAAGTATGGTAAAAGCAAATACAATGACCAAGTTTCAAGTAAATGTGGTTTAACCAGGTAACAACACAATTCACGAGAATAGTCTAATGTGCAAGAGCGACCTGGGACATTGGTCTGCCAACAGTGGGCACCAATGGCTTTGTATAATCCCGATTGAGTAATCGGTTGTGTCATTTCGAACATGGCAAGGTTGGACCGGCACGCAAGGGCCTACTCTTGTGAATGGCGTCACGGGATCTGTAACGTCCACCGCGAAGCTGAGGGCGTGTAGTATCGTAATGGCAATTAGGCAGACCGCAGTATTAATCAGGGTGGATGCTGCAATCGAACCGCGGACTTCTGCAACAAGCGACGAGCGCGCTACCGGCTGGGCCTGTTGGCAGACCATCCAAAAGGGCTCAATATTATTATTCTTGTGAAAAGTGTGAATTTCAAATGTGGTGGTGCTGCTTATGCAATGGATGCTGCTTTCATCCCTGCCATCCATATTCACACTTCACTCTCTGGGAGCCGCTATAGTTTACAACCAAGCACGACATTGCTACTTCTCCGCAAGATATATATAGTGTGCATAATGTTAGACATATTGAGTTTTTCAATGCCCCTTGCTTTACATGTGTTTTTTGTAGTTTGCATTAAATCGTCAAAAAATAAATATACGATCTCGCGACTCGATTGATAAAATTAAAGTACCGTTAATAAACTTAAGTTGGAATGCAAAATGTGAGTGTGTACTACAGCTTTTCCTTGTCTGTGAAAAGACCTGAGATCTGCATGGGAATAATATCAGCAGCGATCTTCATTGGCAGCGGCGATGATGAGTCGTAAACGCGTTTGAGTATATTCGAGTCGATATTATCACGCGCTATGTGGTAGCAATTACACGATTATCATCACATTTCAGTGCACACACATCAACATTACTACCCAATATAACAGAGTTAACATATGACCTTGAAGTAACCGCTATTGAATGTTGACCACATTTCACTCCGCATAATCTAATTATCGTGTTTGCAGAATCCACCTTCCTGCCAAATGTACACCCCAGATGTGCATCGGATATATGTATCTGCATGTTCATAGTAACGACTGTACCTCGTTTAATAATAATGAACATTCGTTTAACCGTGAAAGCCTCGTATTTTCGAGGCAATTGAATCAGTGTCCTAATTAGGATGTTTGTCAAATTCCCTTGAACCAGAGTTCACTCTGACTGATTTGGATCCATGCTCTGACATTCTAAAGCTACCACTCACACTGGAAAACCACCACGCACATCGTGAATACTTACAGCACGAATCCTCTCCGTGGTAAATTTATCTGGCGAAGCTGCTGCTGCTGCGTTGGCAGTGGTGCACAAACAACAACAACAACAAAACTCGACACATTAGTCAACAGCCGCTGAAACGCCACCTCTACGATGGATGGACTTCCTCTTCTCGCCTTATCCTCTCTTGAGGATTCGGTGGCACCAAGCTACAGCACAACAAATACGCGGAGACAAGTTCTAAACCACCTCTCATCACAACATTGCACATAACAGCGCGAATTGTGTGCACTTAATGACATTGATGAAACGTACCGTATGTTGTTCATTAACAAGAATAACAGTTTGGCCGCGCAAGTGGGTAACGTACTATAAACGTGACAGGCTGCATCGTCTCCATCCCTCGTGGCGCTGCGATGCCACAGGTCCATCTCACGCCTGGACTCACCCCATCATCCCCCCGTGGTGGTGGTCATCCTCTCGGCCACGCGCCCTCCTTTCGCTACCAATCTCTCTTCCATCGCCCATCGGTCCTGTGTATGTTGCCTAATAACAAAGAAAAAAAGTGGCCTCTATTGGTAAGCAATGTCACGGGAAGACGAGAGTCCAATTTTACAACGCAGCCTGCAGGAAATCGCCACGCAGCTGTGTCAACACAAAGGGGCTTGTGGTGAGCAGCCATGAAGCTGTAGCGGCTTCAAATGGTAACAACAAAAATGCTAAATAGAGCTGTAGGCCAATGAATTTCAAATACGATGCATACATTATCAGACGATGATTGCTTGCATGTTTTGCCACAAGCACGTGTTGTTATCGGAGACTTGATGCCTTATAAAAGTTATCCATTTGGTGTTTGAACATCTTAACACAACTTCTTGGTTATTTCGCTAAAGTCACGTAGAATGGAAATAATAAAATAAAATAATAAAAATAAAACATATTATTATATTGTTTTATTATGTTTTATTTATTTTATTTTATTATTTCCATTCTACGTGACTTTACCGAAAGAACCAAGAAGATGAATCCCTGCAGTCACGAAAGCTTTAAATCGAAATCTTAACACAACTCATGTTTTATTGCCAGAAAGGGGTAAAACCTCTACTTATATCTTCCCTCTCCTATCATTTTTGATACTGGAAAAAAAATCTCCCTTAGACACTTCAAATGCTTCGTGAGGCAGCTTGGGCAATGTGTTTTGAACACCATCTGGAAGCCATGCCCAGAAAGCACTTGCGTAGGATGTATAACGTCCCCGTGTTCTCCCCATTCACAGTGACTCAAAGCCTCTCTCGAGATGGGAACGCTGTGCCCGTGCTCGCTGCTGCTGCTGCTGCTGCTGGTGGCCTCATTCGCAGCGACAGCTCTCGCTCAGCAGCCAGATCCTCCGCTCACATACATGGTGAGGAACCAGGCGGGTTTTAGTCATCATCACCATCATCACCATCAACCATCATCATCATCATCAACCATCATCAGCCATTGTCAATCCACTGATGGATGAGAGAGTCACCTGCAAAAACGAAACGATCTGTGATTGTACAATAGAGTGCATGTATGTATATATGTTTATACGACTGCAATGCAACGTGCCATCATTGTTTTCAAAGCCTAAGCAATCGCACCAATGCTATCACGTATCATTTTCTTCGAACAGTATACGTTTGGCCTATTCTATCCTGAAATGTGAGAAACCTCAATGTGTCAGCCACCGCTCTTAACTTGAGCAATGTTCACCGTGGAGAGCTTAGTAAATGAAGGGACCAGGGAAGAACGGTATTCATCCTGAACAATGCACAAAAATACGACCTTTGACCTCGGTTTAAACAAAGTCACGACCTACGCGTGTCACTGTGCACATCTTAATTTGAGATGTACAGCCTGCCCTGGTGGACGGAGTGCAGTACCGCAGCTCATGTCCCGAGAGAGGGGGTTGTTGGAGGGAGGAATGATGGCCGAGCTCGCTCGGGTAATGCCATTTTATTCACGCAGTCCAGAAAACAAATCACCATGAGCATAGGACTAGCTTGCACTGGCTTGCACTTAACATACGAACTTGGCCCAAAATGGTTTTTGTTCATGTAATTTAAAATATCTGATTGTGAAAGTTGGCTGGTACAGAGGGAGTACATTGCCAAATCGGCACTGTCAGGAGTTGAAAAATCTGTTTTTGCCAAAGTAGTGCAGCAGTGTATTTTTTTTCTTCTGTTTACGATTATTTGCAGATGTGCCACCAGTTCCAGTTAGAAAGTGAACTTCTTTTTTAGAAAACCGCTGAGGTGGTTCAGAGGTCAGGGTTGGCTACGCACTGCACACAATAAGTTCAACATACACACAGGGTGTCGAGCGGACACTGCTGAGACCTGGGTTTGAAAATCCAGATAACTGAGAGGACTGTATGAGCTACAATTGTTCGTTTTAAAACGTACCCCGTGACATTTATGTGAAAGGCATAAGTCCACTTATAAGGATAATACCAAAATAGTTCAACCCACAGGCTAGCTTGTACACATTCAGAAATATGCCCCCCCCCCCCTTTATGAACTTTATACTTATGGTCAAATCTCGCAGAATGCGGTCTAATAAACTGAGCAGTTATCGGCCTGAAGGGTACTTGGATGGACGACCCCCATGTATAACAGGTTGCTATAGGATACAGAGCTAGGCGATTGGCAGTGGAGCAACACCGTATTGCTGCTGCAATTGCACTTCTCTGTGTGTCCACATCTCGGCGGCCACACCTTCACCAACCCGCGCTGAACCAGAGCAGGTCAAGTAGGGTCGGAAAACCTCCCGAAACCCGCAGAGCCGTCCCGAGGGTACACGGTGAATAGGTCCGACCGCCCCGGGCCCCGCGCTTGAGAGGGGGGGCGTCAGATGATGTAACACTTCCGCTTTAGTTTGAAGGCGTTGGGGGCTTCCACGCGGTGGAGTTTGCCCCGGGCCCCGCACACCGCCCACCCCACCCCTTACGGACGGCCCTGAAGTGTAAAGAGAGGCTCTCATCCAGCAGTGGATTGACGAAGGGCTTTACACGTATTTGTACACGAATTCTCGAATGCACGTTGCATCTGCTTGCCGGAAGATACTGGAAGGAAGAACAAAAAGCTCACGTCTTGTTGGCGTGAAGTTACTCAGATTTGGGATGTAGTTTTAGTGAGTCGTCGATGTATCCACACTGGGGCTTCTGACTGACTGCACGCGCGCACATACTTGTGTTGCTGCGGCGATGCCACGTGACACAATTCTCACCTCGTTATTACGGCCATCGCGTTGGATGCGCACGCGCACGACGAAATTGTCACGGCGTTCGACACAACGTTATTTATAGCCGGTAGAGTGAACGATCTCCTGCTGCTACTGAAAAAATCCCCCCCCCCACACACATTTCGGCTGTCATCACGATAATGTATTCGATCATCATCATCATCATCAGCAGCAGCAGCCATGATCAATCCACTGCGGGATGAAGGCATCTCTCTCCGTGTTTAATTGTTGCTGCATCCTTTCGTAGTTTTGTTACAATTCTATCAAACGATCGTGGGGTTATTTTTGTTCTACCGTTCGCTGGCACACCAGGTGCTAACCACGCCGGAAAAATCACGATCCTCTCCGGGCGCATTGGTGATGCTACTTTTCATTATTCAGTCACGTGCCGTCGAGTAAAATAATCAATGAACACAAAACTCATCTCGGCCGTGTCACATGGCAAGCGGCTGCTACATTTCGAGTCATTCTAAATTTTGCCACGACGTGTGGCCCACGGGGCCGCTCACAGAGCAACGACTCAGTAGATATCTCACATTAATTGAAACCGGCCACATACTTTGCATGCCTCTATTATTATTTTTTAAAATCGTGGAGCAGCTGACGAAGTTTAATGCGGCAGTGAAATCTCTTTTGAACGCAAAGCCGGTGTACAATCGGAATAGATCCGGGTCCATTCCAGATAATAATCAGGCCTTGAGCCCGGATCGTTCTCACGTGGGTGACCATCGTTCATGAAACAGGTGCTATAGGCTGCTGTGGGCTCACGTTGCCAGCAGACAGCGGTGCGGCACAATGCCGTGTTGTACTTTACTACGATCCAACCGTCTATGCTCCCTGTCTACACCAACTCGCACGAGCCGTCAGTATGGTCAAGTAACCCCCGTGACCAGCAGCAGGGCGTGGGGAGGCCATCATCCAGCAATGGATTAAACTCGCACGCATTGTACGCGTCCAGTCGTGACTACGTACGTGTCCTTTGAACTGGGCAACCCCTCTCTGTTCATTGACACGTTGCAGTCTGGTGTACGGTGTGATAAAAGTTCTGTGCTCAGTTGTTCATTGCTCTTCGGTAAGATGAACTTCGTTTAAGTTCTTCTAAAGTTACACGAGTATGTTTAAATTATAATAATGATTCAAATGTATAATGCGCACTCCATCCTAGGATCCCAATGCGAAATGCATGAAAATCAGGAAACAAAAACAGAACCTGGGGCAACCGAGCAAACTCAAGAGGGAAGGCCACTTTAAAGAGATGGGTTTTCAAAACAGACTTCAAATTATCTACCGACTCCGATTGCCTGATGCCAAGTGGCGAGGCGTCCCGTAGCTTGGGTGCCACGTTAACAGAAGCACCGGTCGCTAAAAGAGCGGAACCTAGAGACCTGGGAGTGCTGAGCAGTGGGAGATGAGAAGATCTTAAGGACCTTGATGGAATATGTCAATGATTGCATTGTCTGTATGTGTGCTTTGTCATTGTCTAGCCTTGCTCTGAAGGGTATGAACTCGACTCCGACATGACCACTTGCAAAGGTATCGTGACTCTCGCTGTGCGGTTTTTTTCAACCACTGACATTCGGCATTCTGGTATGGAAGCCACTACCACCACCATCATCATCATTAGCATGATGATGGTGGGGCTACGGTGGAGCTGGGAGGGAGAATGAACGCAGCGCAGGCACCACATCATCTCACGTCACTGATCGAGCGCACATGAAATTAACTGCAGAGGTGCAGCCCTGCAATGTCATTGCTGGCAGAAGGGTTTCTCCGCCATAGGGATCTCTACAGAGCCCCTCTATAGGGGTATTGGCCTACTCTTCCAGGCTGGCCACACGTCTTGGAAGAAGGTTATAAGAGTACCCACATTTCACCACTCTCCACACAAACCTGCGTTGTACCACGTTGTTACTGCTGGTGGATCAGCTGTCGCACCTGCGGATTGCAAGCCCAAACGCGATAATCGCCCGCAGAATGAAGCAGTTTGTGTCTCACGGATGTATTTCTCTCTGCGCCTTTGCGGAGATTTCGAGGCGTGTTTCAAATGGCAAGCGGCCTCGTTGTCGCACGGTCACCTTGTTGGGTCCAAGCCTCGTAAACAAACACTGAGCAGTGGAATACATTATCTTATTTATCATGGAAAGCATCGAGGAGGTCAACATTTTTACTTATTTATTTACGAGAGTTCGTCGATTTTCTTCTCAGTTGTCAAAGGGAGCAATTCAATAGAACCCAACGATGGGGCAATAAATACATGCACATTGCCAGCTAAATCTTTTTTAAAATTTCGGATAAAATCAGATCAAATCATCATCGTCCATGATCAATCCACTGCTGGATGAAGGCCTCACCCAACACGCCGCTACCTCTCGCAGTTCCCCGAGCACAGCGATCCACCTGGCACCCGCGCACACACACTGCCCACTCCGCCACTCGGCTACTCGGCCACTCGGCCACTCGACGAGCCGCGAACTCCCCCCCCTCCCACCCCCTCTCCCCCCTCCCTCACCCCCCTCTCCCACCCCCCCCTCTCCCAACCCCCCTCTCCCACCCCCCCCTCTCCCAACCCCCCTCTCCCACCCCCCCCTCTCCCAACCCCCCTCTCCCACCCCCCCTCTCCCAACCCCCCTCTCCCACCCCCCCTCTCCCAACCCCCCTCTCCCAACCCTCCTCTCCCACCCCCCCCTCTCCCAACCCCCCTCTCCCACCCCCCCTCTCCCAACCCCCCTCTCCCACCCCCCCCTCTCCCAACCCCCCTCTCCCACCCCCCCCCCCTCTCCCAACCCCCCTCTCCCACCCCCCTCTCCCAACCCCCCTCTCCCACCCCCCCTCTCCCACCCCCCCTCTCCCACCCCCCCTCTCCCACCCCCCCTCTCCCACCCCCCTCTCCCACCCCCCCTCTCCCACCCCCCCTCTCCCAACCCTCCCACCCCCCTCTCCCAACCCCCCCTCTCCCACCCCCCCTCTCCCAACCCCCCTCTCCCACCCCCCCTCTCCCAACCCCCCCTCTCCCAACCCCCTCTCCCACCCCCCTCTCCCAACCCCCTCTCCCACCCCCCCTCTCCCAACCCCCCTCTCCCACCCCCTCTCCCACCCCCATCTCCCACCCCCCCTCTCCCAACCCCCTCTCCCATCCCACCCCCCTCACCCACCCCCCTCTCCCCACCCCCCCTCTCCCAACCCCCCTCTCCCACCCCCCCTCTCCCACCCCCCTCTCCACCCCCCCCTCTTCCCACCCCCCCCTCTCCCACCCCCCCTCCTCCCACCCCCCCTCTCCCAACCCCCCCTCTCCCACCCCCCCTCTCCCAACCCCCCCTCTCCCAACCCCCCTCTCCCAACCCCCCTCTCCCCCCCCCCCTCTCCCACCCCCCTCTCCCAACCCCCTCTCCCACCCCCCCCTCTCCCACCCCCCCTCTCTCCCACCCCCCCTCTCCCAACCCCCCTCTCCCACCCCCCCTCTCCCACCCCCCCTCTCCCACCCCCCCCCTCTCCCACCCCCCCTCTCCACCCCCTCCCACCCCCCCTCTCCCACCCCCCCCCTCTCCCACCCCCCCTCTCCCACCCCCCTCTCCCAACCCCCCTCTCCCACCCCCCTCTCCCACCCCCCCTCTCCCACCCCCCCTCTCCCAACCCCCCTCTCCCACCCCCCTCTCCCAACCCCCCTCTCCCACCCCCCCCCCTCTCCCACCCCCCTCTCCCACCCCCCCTCTCCCAACCCCCCTCTCCCACCCCCCCCCTCTCCCACCCCCCTCTCCCAACCCCCCTCTCCCACCCCCCCCTCTCCCACCCCCCCCTCTCCCACCCCCCCTCTCCCACCCCCCTCTCCCACACCCCTCTCCCAACCCCCCTCTCCCACCCCCCCTCTCCCACCCCCCCTCTCCCACCCCCCCTCTCCCAACCCCCCTCTCCCACCCCCCCCCTCTCCCACCCCCCCCTCTCCCACCCCTCCTCTCCCAACCCCCCTCTCCCACCCCCCCTCTCCCACCCCCCTCTCCCACCCCCCCCTCTCCCAACCCCCCTCTCCCACCCCCCCCTCTCCCACCCCCCCCCTCTCCCAACCCCCCTCTCCCACCCCCCCCCCTCTCCCACCCCCCCTCTCCCAACCCCCCTCTCCCACCCCACTCTCCCACCCCCCCCTCTCCCACCCCCCCTCTCCCACCCCCCCTCTCCCACCCCCCCTCTCCCAACCCCCCTCTCCCACCCCCCTCTCCCACCCCCCCCCTCTCCCAACCCCCCTCTCCCACCCCCCTCTCCCACCCCCCTCTCCCACCCCACCTCTCCCAACCCCCCTCTGCTCCCCCCTCTCTCACCCCCGCCCACCCCCTCTCCCAACCTCTCCCACCCCCCCTCTCCCAACCCTCCTCTCCCCCCTCTCCCATCCCCTCCCCCACTCCCACCCCCTCTCCCACCCCCCCCTCTTCCACACTCCCTCCCACCCCCCCCCTCTCTCCCCCCCCACCCACCTCTCCCACCCCCCTCTCCCAACCCCCCTCTCTCAAACCCCCCCCCCCCCCCGCGGCACCCTCGCGCTCAGACATTAACGAGTGCGACACCATCCCGGACGCGTGCAAGGGCGACATGAAGTGCGTGAACCACTACGGGGGCTACCTCTGCCTGCCGCGCTCCGCCACCTTCGTGGTCACCAACAGCTTCGGCGGCTCCGGTGGCAGCAGCGCCGGTGGCAGCAGCGCCGGTAGCAGCAGCCAGCCTGCCGCCCGTGAGACCTCGTCCCAGGTGGCGCCGCCGTTGCCGGGCGTCCGTCAGCCCGGAGGAGGAGGAGGGGGAGGAGGAGGGGGAGCGGCCGTTCGTCTCGGAGCGTCGCCGCCGAATCGCGGCCCCCAGCCGCCCGTGCCCGGCCACCGCGTAGCGGCGTCCAACCCGGGCGCGGGCAGCGCGGGCGGCGTGGGGCTACCCTCCTGCCCGCTGGGCTACACGCGGGACACCAGGAGCCAGTGCGTGGGTGAGTGCCCCGAGTGTTGGCGCTGCGGTGGCGGGGAGACGGTAACTACCTCGCCAGGTGTGCAGGAGGTGGTGGGGTTCGATCCCGGTCCTGACGCCTGCTGCTGTTTATTTGGGAATTTATTCTCCCCGTGGACACGTGGGTTTTTCTCCGGGTCCTCCGGTTTCCCCCTTCACATTGAGGATCAAAATGCGTCCATTTGGCTGAGTGTTCGGCTGCTGTACATTTCCACATGATAAGCCACTTTGTTGGGCTATCATGTGTGATAGTCAGGTCGCTTCTAAAAAAGATCAATATAGCTCAAGTGGGCCTTACCTGGTAAAACCAAAAAGTTCAAAGTCGGGCCCTGTCCGTGGTGTCGTTCCTGCATTGCCCCTTGCTGAGACCGTTCTTCTCCCTTTTCCTCTGCAGATTTAAGCGAGAGCTCGGTTCGCGTCATCCCTCGAGTCCACTCTGTGTGTGTGGGCGTGGGTGTTGTGGTGAGCGGTAGTGTAGCGGTTAGCGCTACGCTGCGCTATGAACCCGGCGACCCGAGTTCGACTCCCACTCACGGCCAACACCAGTGACGATTATCTGAACCGGTCCTGGGCCTCTCCTAGATCGACTCAGCCTCAAATGAGTACCTGGTGCGGTGGGTAAACATCGACACTGGGGAGACAAAGGCGGTCGGGCGTGGTACTGGCCACCCACCCCCTCGTGTACCGTTATGGCCTTTATAGGTGCTCGCTAACAGCACTTGCCCCTACAGTTTGTTAAGGCTATACGGGGGATCTTTTATTTGTAGTCACACTTCGCGCGAACTGCCGTGGATGAGATGGCGTGGACCGCGTGTCGAGTTGTCGGTGCTCGTCACAACGCCCCCCCCCCCCTGCGACCCGCGACATAAAATCCCGAACCCCCCCCCCGCCCCCCCCCCCCCCGCCATAGTGCGCGCTCTGTCTACCGCGAAATCTCCAGTGTGTAGTCTTTCGTACGGAACAGTGGCACTGCGGCCGCATGAACGACCCCGTGATTCCCATCATCAGCCACGATCTATCGTCAGAGCCGTGATCAAGTCCACGCACCTCCGATTGGCACGTTACGCTACGTACGGTGCGAAAGAAGTTCAACGCACGTGCAGACATGCTGCTGGATGAACGCCTCTCTCAGCCACCACCGCGCAATAATCGTCCTGTCACTCCCACGCGAGCTCATCTCATTGCTCCACCACCCCCCCAAGTAGGTTTGATTCTTGGCCGTGAATGCGCGCCCCGTTTGGATTTCTAACCCCCCCCCCCCACGCTCTGGGTTCCTCGCTGCCGCCCGCGTGAATGCTCCCCAAGTCACCCCCATCCGCAACTGGGTGAGCTTTATGCTTGCCGCACCACCACTTCCCTGCCTGTTGCCTCGCCAGCATTCACAGTGCGCCCACCGACGGCGTTCGGGGAAATAATTTGCGCGTGTGAAAGGAGGATCTTTGTGGACGTATGGCACACACACACACACGCACACAGACACACACACACACAGACACACACACACACGCGCGCGCGTGCACGTATCGCCCGCGCGTGCTTCTTGTGTGTGCGCGCGCACGCACGTGCGTGTGTGTGCGTGTGTGTGTGGTTGGGGGTCACTCTGCTGGGTACGCTTGCGGGCAGCCCTCGGCCGGGGTTTGCGTCGAGGCGCACGAGGCGCGTTTGGTGGCCGTCCAGCCCCTCCACGGCCCCCAGCGCCGCCTCCCCCCGCCCCAGACAATGCGGGGCATTTAGCGCAGCAGCGGTCACCGACCGAGGGTTGCGTGCCCCAGATGGAGCCCCGCGCGTGGCGAGCGGCCAGCGCGCACGCTGCGGGCAGCGCACCCCTCCCGTACGTGCGGGTCCGCGCGTGGCGCCCGCGCGGTTGGTGGTTAGTAGTGGTGGTTGGTTGGTGGTGGTGGTGGTTGTTGTTGTTGGTCTTGCGTTAGCAGCTGGGCGGGGACCCTGGCCTACGTGTGAGCCGCTGCCACGGCGCGCCAGCCGTCGTTGTGTAACGCGGAGTCACCGTGGCGGCTGCCACCACCCCCCCGCCTGACCCACGTGCAGCAGCGGGGAGCTGAGAAATGAGCGCGCCGTATACAAGCACAGTTCTGATATAAGCAACACGCGCTTACTTTGCGCAGGTGGTGGGGATGGGGGAGGCAAAAGGTTAATTCTGATACAAGCACTATGTTGGTTATAAGCACACGAGTATATGTCAGCTTCTTATTCCAGCTCAAGGAGGAGATCGTTTTGCACGGAAGATTTGCGAGTTGAATTTGGAAACATTCAGCACGTGTCGGTCTGGTTGATTTAGGAAAACGACTCCCCATTATTTCGACTGCTGCTCCGGGATTTGGAATCTAACCGGCGACCTTTGGGTCGTTGTCGGTTCAGTGTATTGCTGCACCATTGTTCATAATACAGGTTTTCTTTTGGGTTAGATCGCGTAAATGTGTCGTTAAACCCGCCACCACCCAACACAATCATGATGATATTGGTCGCGAAAGCCCACGACTATTGTTATTATTGTTTACCGTTGTTGTTGTTGCTGCTGTAGTTACAGAAGTTCACTATATCTTTCTCTTCATGCCAGGCGCCGTATTACGACATGCTGGGGTCCTCAGCTATGTGAAGTTTCGGAGGCCCCCATTGCATTACCATGAAAAGTGTTGCTCTAACAGAAAATATCAGCTTAATATTTGTATATATATCGGCGAATGTGCAACAGAATGTGAGTTTGTTGTCCTTCCCCGCACCTCCAATTAGCACGGCTACGTACGGTGCGACAGAAGTTCAACATACACACGTAACACTTGAAACGTTGTATTAATTATATACTTCGATTTATAGCTTTCGTGACTGCAGGGATTCATCTTCTTGGTTCTTTCGGTAAAGTCACGTAGAATGTAAATAATAAAATAATAATAAATAAAACATAATAAAATAATTCTCACGACGTTTCGGCCACAACGTATTTAGAGGCCCCCTCATAACGTGAGGACAAGTGAGCTCTGCAGTAGCTCACTTCGCTCGTGCCTAAGTTCGGCACCGCAGTCCCGTGCGTCCACGCGTTGGTATCGTGCGGTGAGTCTGAGCGAGCCGTGACCTTTTGCCGCGTGCGTGTGCGTGAGACAGACGTGGATGAGTGCGCGACCAGCACACACCGCTGTCGGCCCAACCAGGTTTGCACCAACGCGCCCGGCAGCTACACGTGCCGCTGCCCGGAGGGATACCAGATGGTGGCGGGCCAGTGCGTGGGTAAGTCTGGGGGGTCACGGTGGCGAGATGTTAACTACCTCGCCTGGTATACAGGAGGTCGTGGGTTAGATCCCGATCCCGACCCTGACGCCTGCTGCTGTGTATTTGGAGTTTGCATGTTATCTCTCTCTCTCTCTCTCCCCGTGGTCGCGTTGTATTTTCTGCAGTTTCTCTGGTTTTTCCCTCTATATTTAGAATCAAGCATTCAGAGTATTTTGGCTGCTATAAATTCCCACACGATGATAAGCCGCTTCGTTGCGCTATCATTTGAGATAACCAGGTCGCTTCTGAAAACAGCTCGACAGCTCAGTGGGCCTTAGCTGGTAAAATATAAAAAGCCAGTAGGACATAGTTAAGTCTGTGTAAGACCATGAGCCGCGCCCATGCGAAGGCACCCAGCCGGAGCAGAGTACTCGGTGACTAAAATAAACTAAGCAGCCAAATACTCTAAAAGTGTGCTGGTGTTACGGTCCAAATGGGGGGGGGAGGGGGGTTACGTTTGAATAGTTCGAGGTGGGATGGGATGCACTGCCGCTTTGAGTTGCTGAGGCATGCAAGCGCCACGTGCACGCAAAGTTTATTGTCACGACGGAAGGAGGAGGGCACCGCTCGAAAAAGAGAAATATTTGTTCCCGATTTTGAGATTTAAGCCCAAAAACGAAACTAAATCTGATCGAGTCTTACACGCGACGTCACGTGGCATCACGCCACTTTTGCTAGCACGAAGACACCTTGAAGTACGATCTTTACGTCTGGAAAAAAATGTGTGGCTGTTCCCATCTCTTCTTCAATCACATTGGGTTTTTGTATTATTTATTGTTGTCACTTTCAGACCCGTCCCGACTGGACATCAGTCTTAAATAAAATATTCTGATTTCGCCCAAAAATCCTGTGGAGGAGTTTTGTAGGACGCCCTCTAGTGGCCGGGCCCTCTTCAACGGCAGTGACGCGGGCGAAGATTGAACTCGCCGTCCGTACCTTTGGAGGATTACAATCAGTGACGGATTCTCCTCGTAGCAAAAGTAGCTACATATGCTACGGGCCCCGCACTTTCAATGGCCACGTGATAAATGCTTTCAAGCTATCAATTCCTATTCTTGGTAAAGTCACGTAGAAAGGAAATAATAAAATAATATAAACCAATAAAAACATTATTGCTGTGGATTTCACACCTGATGATGATTGCTTGTGTTGCCGTCGACGAAAAGTCGTGAGAATTGTTATTGTTTAATATTTCTATTATTTTATTATTTCCCTTCTACGTGACTTTACCGAAAGAACCAAGAATATGAATCCCTGCAGTCACGAAAGCTTTAAATAAAAAGCTATCAATTCCTGTTCAGTGATTTTGCACTTGCTCTATTACTATAGTACTATACTATACTGCCTTCAACTTTTATGAACGGCTGGGTGTTTAAGGTTAGCGTTTTGTCGCATTATCTGGCTGTATAACAAATGAAAAAATAGAATTACTTTATTACGCAAGTAAAAAATATATATTTTAATATTCATGTTTTTTTTTTATTTATGGCCCCTTTATAACATATGCTACAGGCCCCGCACTAGCTTAATTCGGCACTGATTACAATGTCATTGATTTTTAGTAACATCGTCAAATGCGCGTAAACTAAAAATTCGCCTCGCACAAAGAAGCAACGATGAAGTTTCATGGCCCTAAGCTGAGTAATGTTTGTGCCGATGCACAGTGACGCGAATGATTGAGGGCCGTACACAGCCCGCTGGAATTTTTTGAAATAACGCAACGGCGAAATCGATAAATCACTCCACTAGGAAATGTATACTGCATAAAAAACGATATAAATTAACTTTTACAAATTATTTGCACATGTTCCCTCTGTGCATATGAACTACCTCCACGCCAGGTGTGTATTTTGTTAGGCATTTGAATCAGGATAAACATAGGAAACAGTGATGGCTTTCAACAAAGCCAAGTCCTGTATTTCTCCCTGCTCTTGGAAAACACGGAAATACCACAAGATGTTAAAACGGAGCTGTCAATTCCTCCGCTGGGGACTACAGCAGAAGTCATTGTATGATCGTGACCGTCTCTGTGTCTGTGACTTTGTCTGTGGGTGACAAGTGCTACAAATGTGTATTTTCCATCACTCCCTGAGAAATTAAGATCCATGGAAATTGCAAACATTAGTCTGAGAAAATATACACATGATCTAAATGTGTACACTACGCAGTGGTTTGTCCACCCTACTGACCTGGGTTCAACTCCCAAACGTGGCTCACATCAGCGGCGAGGTGATATCCGAAACGCCCCTTTACCAACCCGCACTGACCAGCGTGGTGAAGTATGGTCAAACAAACTCCATGACTGGCACGGTCTTGAGGAGATCTTTATCCAGCAGCGGATTGAAACGGAGCTGTAAATTAATTGTCATGCGTAACTTATTGTACAGTGATTGTCCCTTTTTTAATAATTATGTACCACTTTCCATTTTATTCACGACACACACGCAAGTCGATTGCATACCTCAGTTGACAGCCGTTTCAATGCGGGCAACAACACAAAAAGTCGACTTGTTTGTGTGTCTCCCTTGTGATGGGACTTTGTAGAATGAGCATTGAGATGTATAAGGGGCACGGGGTGACCAATAAGGTCTGAATTGGTCTATAATAAGGTAGGGCACTGATAAGGGGTTAGTGGTATGCTAATGGAACTTCCATTATCGGGGGAGGGGACGGGAGCTATCACTCTCTCTGCCACCCTCTCTCCTTCCCTCCCCCTTTGTTCCGCCACTGTTCCCCAACAACACGAAACGAGGAGCTTCTCCAATCCAGCTCCGCGCAGAAGCCCCCACCGCGGACGCGAAACGTCGGACGTCGCGCGGCGCGAACAACGACGACGACGCGCCGCGTGACCTCGTAGAAGAAGGAGGAGAATTTCTTCTTCACCAAAGTCAAACTAAAAATCGCCGCGATAACGAAGCGTCGCGGACACGGAGTTTCGTCGCGGCTGTTGAGATGGCGCGCGTGTGCGGGCCGCCTTCTGTGCTGGTGCAGATATTGACGAGTGCCGCTACGGGATGTGCGCCCAGGCCTGTGTGAACACGCAGGGCTCCTACACGTGCCAGTGCAGCCCGGGCTACGTGCTCTCCTCCAACAACCGCTCCTGCGAGGGTCAGTGGTTGGCAGACAGAGGGGGTGGGGACGCCCCTGTTGGGTCCCCACCCCCACGCTACGGCCGAGCTGGGTTCGGCAAGTTGGACGCGAGTCGTCCGATATAGGCAGCGGGGAAGCTGCCGTGGTGCGATGGTTCAGCGCACTGGACGTGTGTCCGCAGATATGGCCAATCGATAATAGTCTGAGCTGAGCTAAAGATATCTCGTGGTTCTTTTAAATGTGCTGTAACTCAACGCGTTTTTTTTAACCCAACAACGTGCCTTTTTGTGTTTAGCTTGTTGTCCTATCCCCTGCACCTCCGATCGGCACGGTCGGCTACGTACGGTGCGAAAGAAGTTCAAGACACACACAATGTGTTTAGTCACGTCATTGTGCTTCGGCGTTAAAACATTTACGCGAGTAAACAGCCCTGCAGGGGATAGACATTGGGAGTCGCCTCTTGACGTTGATTCCGAGGGCCGCTACCCACCGCCCGAGTGTGGTTATTCCTCCCTCTGAGTTGTCACGAACAATGCTTCACCTGTACTGATTGGGGTTTTCCCCTTTTTTTGGCAACAAAACTGACACCTTTTGCAAGGAATCATGCTTACATTAACCACAATACTTGCAGTCAAATGCAAACAAAAAACAATACTCTGATAATTTATGCATTGTCTTTGAAACTGATTGGTCCACACCAGAGACAGCTTTCTTTAGAGCCTAGTCTCATATGGTGTTCGACCAGATGACGCCCAAAGGCGCACAGTTCAAAGACAACACACTACCAGTGTAATGAGGTGTCAGTTTTGTTGCCAGAAAAACGGGGAAAACCCCTATCAGTATATTTTGGTACTGGCAAAGGAGGTCCCATGATGTGAATGCTTCACCTGATAACATCATCGAGCTTTTCTCCATACCTGAGATGAAACAATTAACGAATGGGCTCAACGCTTTCCTTCCAACCCCCCCCCACCCACCCCCCTGCTCCACCCCTGCCAGATGTGGATGAGTGTGTGGAGGGCAGCCCGTGCAGCCAGCTCTGCTTCAACACCTACGGCTCTTTCCTTTGTCGCTGCTCCCCTGGCTTTGTGTTAAACGGCGACGGATTAACCTGCAAAGGTAACCGCCGCTTTGTGCTTCCGCTCATCACCTACACCAGGGGTCGGCAACCAAAATAACAAGAAGAGCCATTTCTTTCCAATTCGGTACAAAATTCAGTATTTCAAGAGCCGCAATGCATCTATGTACATACGTACATATCGTCAAGAAGCAGCCCGTAAAGAGCCGCATGTGGCTCCGGAGCCGTAGGTTGCCGACCCCTGACCTAGACGCTTACAAAACGCGGCCACGCGCAGTGCAAGCGCCGCGCCGCACACGCTCGGGGCATAACCATGAAGGCCACGGTCCACTCGGGCAATTTAAGGGCAATGTCGTTGTCGGTGATTGTCCCGAGCAGCGCATGAACCGTGCGTGACCGCAGGTCAACTCTCGAGTTTGCACCTGGTTGAACAGATAAGCTTGAGCACGTAACTACGGGAAACTTCCCAATCAGAATCTTTATTTAGACCGGAGGAACCCGATGAGCCACGGAGCTCTTGTTAACCCAAGCGGCCTCTGGCTTGAGCTCGCCCGAGAGGCCGAGCACTCGCTCGGCACTCGCTCGGCACCGCCCCAGCGCCGGCTTGTTTGACCTGCGCCGGAACTTCGCACCCTACCAGATGTGGACGAATGCAGCTACTCCGACTACCTGTGCCAGTACCGCTGCAACAACGACGCGGGCTCCTACTCCTGCAGCTGCCCCGGCGGGTACCAGCTTCAGACGGACAACGGGAGTTGCCGCGGTATGGGCGGGTGACACGGCACGGGACAAACTCATTGAACTAAACTTTTTATTTTATTTTACCAGGAAAGGCCCACTGAGCTTTGCGGTTATTATTTTTTTTAGAAACGACCTGGCCACAAATGAGAGCTGAACGAAGTGGCTTATCATCACGTGGACATTTATAGCAACCCAAATACTCTAAATGCGTGATGTTGATTCTAAATGTGGAGGGCAAAACCGGAGGAACCGGAGGAAATATCCACGGGAGAACATGCAGACTCCGAATATAGAGCAGCAGGCGTCAGGGTCGCGATCAAACCCACGGCCTCCTGTATACCAGGCGAGGTAGTTAACATCGTTTAGCCACCGTGATGATGATGAGAGAGAGACATGCAATCTCGAAACATACAGCAGGTGTCAAGGGTCGGGATCAAACCCACGGCCTCCTGCATACCAGGTAAGGTAGTTAACATCGCCTAGCCACCGTGATGATGATGAGGGAGACACTGCAAACTCCAAATATAGAGTAGGCGTCAGGGTCGCGATCGAACCCACGACCTCCTGTATACCAGGCGAGGTCATTAACATCGCTTAGCCACCGTGATGATGATAAGAGAGACACTGCAAACTCCAAATATAGAGTAGGCGTCAGGGTCGCGATCGAACCCACGACCTCTTGTACACCAGGCGAGGTAGTTAACATCTCCTAGCCACCGTGATGATGAGAGAGACACGCAAACTCCAAATACACAGCAGGTGTTCAGGGTCGGGATCGAACCCACGACCTCCTGTACACCAGGCGAGGTAGTTAACATCTCCTAGCCACCGTGAGAGCTACAGTCGCCTCACTCTACCCGTCTATTTTGGGCACTGCCGATTCTCGGGAGACACCTCCGTGAAGACTTGACGACCACCCTGTCGGATGCTCTCTCTGAAACGCCGCCGTCTCGACCGCAGATGTCGATGAGTGCGCGACGAACTCGCACAACTGCACGGAGCGTGAGAACTGCTACAACGTCTTCGGTGGCTACAAGTGCCTGGAGAAGGTGCAGTGCGAGGAGCCGTACACGCAGGCTGGCGAGGAGTGAGTCTGCCTCGCACCGGAGTACACAACACCGGACTGCCGTGTGCGTGGTCACATACCCAAGTGTGTGTGTGTGTGTAGAACTTCTTTCGCACCGTACGCAGATAATCGGAGGTGCGGGGCAAGGACATGAAGTAATGATAGCGTGACGATACCAGAGACCCCTACTTATATTTCTGGGCATACAAGGGAACGAAGGGAATGTGTTGGCAGTGGTTCATAAGCATACATCTTTAAAAAAGGCATTTTATTCAGTACTTTTATATTACCAGATAAGGCCCAGTGAGCGATACAGCTCTTTTTCAGAAACGACCTGGCCACAAAAGATAGCTCAATGAAGTGGCTTATCACGTGGACATTGTAAACAGGGACTCCTCTACTTACGAACGAGGAAGGATCCAGAGGTTCTGTTCGTCAGTCGATTTGTTCGTAAGTCCAACTTTACTCCTGTCGATTCCAAACTACGACGTGTACACTAAACACGGGGGAATGGCTTTAAAAGTTGTACAATATCCTGTAGATGTAGATGCCACCGGCTCTTCGCGTTCTGCAGATGTAGATGCCACCACCGCCATCCATTGTGTGCTGCGGTTGAACTTTACGACTTTCGGTCCGAACGGGCAACTGGACGTACGGACAGGTTTGTTCGTACCTCTGAAAGTTCGTGAGTAGAATGTTCGTAAGTAGAGGAGGAGGAGTCCCTGTAGCAGCCCAAACACTCTAAACGCGTGACGTTGTTGATTTGCCACGGACGCTGGGCTAACATTTAAGGCAATGGCTCTCTGGTCATGTTTACACAACGCCAAGAGACCCATTACCTAAATTATTAATCAATTACGTGAAAAAAAACATTCACAAGGCAGTGTTAGATTGATATCTCAACCAGTCTTTTTCAGAGTACTTGACGGAATTGTGATTACGGCATTTTTATAGTTAATCGAATTACTTCATTATTTCCAGTGTAATTGGCAGCATGTGCATTCTAAGCATTATAGATCGTAAAGTCCCAACGATAGGAGGATAAATGACAGGCATATGTTGAATAACCTGCGGTTAAATAACGTTCCAGTAACCTTAATTTATACTAGAAGCACTGCAAACCGCAACGAATACGATGAAGCTGCAAAACGCTGGTCACGAATTTGCCACGATCGCCACATCGTACAACGCGATATTTTGTGCGCGTCGCTAAAACGTCTCATCCCGAGAGCAATCGTGGCCGAGGCACGTTCCCTAACGAATCGCCGTCTTCCTGCCTTGCCTGCGTCTCCCCGCTCTTCGCGACGACGACGACGACGTGGCCACCTCCGCCCCTCGCCAGCCGTTGCGTGTGCCCCAGCGAGAAGAACACGTGCATCAACAAGCCGTACACCGTCCTCTACAAGCACATGCACCTGCGGTCGGAGCGCTCTGTGCCCACCGACATCTTCCAGATGCAGGCCACGACGCGCTACCCCGGCGCCTACTACACCTTCTTCATTCGCGCCGGCAACGACCAGAGGGAGTTCTTCATGAGGGTACATCATACGGACCGTCTCGTAGACGAGCACAAGTACTGTGGAGCAGATATGACCGGCGCAATATGCCGTTACCCAACTTTCAAGTCGAATTGACCGATAGATCAGCATTGCCGTGTGCGTGGCCAAATACCCAAGTGTGTGTGTGTATGTTGAACTTCGTTCTCACCGTACGTAGCTAATCGGAGGTGCGGGGGAAGGACACCAAATGATGATAGATAGCGTGACGAGCCCAGAGACCCCTACTTACATTTCTGGGCATACAAGGAAATGAAGGGAATGTGTTAGCAGTGGTTCATAAGCATACATATTTAAATAACGCATTTTATCAACTATTTTTTTTATTTTACTAGATAAGGCCCACTGAGCTATATAGCTCTATTTCAGAAGCGACCTGGCTATCACAAATGATAGCTCAACGAAGTGGCTCATCATCACGTGGAAATGTATAATAGTCGCCAAATATTCTAAACGCGTGATGTTGATTCCAAATGTGGATTGAAAAACCGGAGGACCTGGAGAAACATACAAACTCCAAATACAGCAGCAGGCGTCAGGGTCGGGATCGAACCCACGACCTCCTGCATACCAGGCAAGGTAGTTAACACCTCGCCCACGGCCTGTAGGTGAGCACAATATAGTATATCTAACCGTCGCAATATGCTGTTCCCAACTTCCGAGTCCGATGGACTGATAGACCAGTTTTTTTCGGCGGGAACATCTTCAAGGAAGAATTCAACCAAAGCTCTTGCACATATATACCGAGACTGCATGTCCTTAGACTTTAAAATCATAGCGAGGCACACCGTCATAGCACACTGGTCAAATCACTGCATCTATGTTGCTTGAAAACATAAAATGTGATATCCTTAGAATGTATGTTGAACTCATTTCGCACCGCAAGTAGCCACTGTGATAATCGGAGGCGCGGAATATCGTGAATAAGTTATTGACAATAAATGTTAAGACTTTTCCTAAACCAAGCTTCGAATTTGGGTCAGACAGCCTTGGACGCAGAGCCGAGAAACATGCATACCAATTGCGCTATTCTTATTGCGCAGGTTATACCTTCCTTAAACCTAAATAATCGCTTGTCCTCATTGCTTCCCTGGGCCCACGCCGCGTGTGCGTGCTTGTCGTGTGAGCAGCCCCTGGGCCCAGCGAGCGCCATGCTGGTGCTGGTCAAGCAGCTGCAGGGCCCACGGGAGGTCGTGCTGGACCTGGAGATGATCACCGTCAACCCGGCGCTCAACTACCACGGCACCTCCGTCATCCAGCTCAAGATATTCGTGTCGGAACACAACTTCTGAACGCCGCGTTTCGCGCCGGCGAGCGCGTAAAAAAAAGATTTATATTGTTCCTCCGCGGATTTAACAATCAGCAAGATTCGCATAAAACGATTAGTTATTTTGGTTCTGGGGAATACACCGACAATTCATGTAGTTTTTGGGGTTTATTATTTTTTCACCAACAAATCCATTGTTGCTTTTTTAAAATGTTTAGTTTCTCATGCGCCTCCTTCTCAAATGCATGCTGTAGAGACTCGCTTGTGTCCAGAGTTATTAAATATAATTTCGAAGCTTATAGAATATGGAACGTGTTAATGTGTGCGCAACAACTGACGCAGGACATCGGTTCACTGAATTATCAAGGGTTTACAGAGCGCGTCGCTGCTAACGGTTCAAGGGGCAGCACACTGAACTCACAATCCAGACTTTTCCAGTTCCACTTAATTTCCCGGTGCAGCAGTTAAGACAATGGGACCGCGTCTAAATCTCCACCTCCGTCCACCCAGCCACGTGCACGCCGCTGTCAGTCGATCGGCAGGCCGCGTGCGGTAGGGTCGAAGCGCGGCTACTCCCACCTCTTCCGAGACTTCTGGCCAGTGCGGAAGAGTAGGCCAAATACCCTCGATGGATGCTCCCTTTATTGGAGGCCCCATCTTCACAGCAGTGGTGCGAGCGATAAATTACCGCGCTGCGCTTTTACTGTCGTCTACCGCAGTACAATACAATGTAGCTTAACAGATGCAAAAACTTGCATTCTCATCAGATGCCCCGATCATTCTTATGTCCATCTTCTATCAGTGTTGAGCATTTCACCTGCAGAACAGGCAGGATGGATGTACAGGGGTTCAAAGGCTCTTTATTTTTGCCGCCAGGGAGAAATTAAAAGAAAACTAGCGCATTGCAGTCGAAGCTATCACAATTGACGACTGCACGATTTTAAACTGCATGCGTATTATACATACACGATTTATTTGGTATAAAATGCATTGGTTGATAGGCCTTCGAGATCAAATATTTCTCAACGACACATATAGAACAGAGGAGAAATGCAACAATGTACTCTGGATGATACTGTATATAGAGGTAACCCCCCGTTTAGCCTTTCGATTTTTTGATCATCATCACGATCCATAGGCAGGTAGCCGGTAGTGGTTGTCCACATTTGTTTCCACTTTCCTGTCTTGTGCCAATATGCTCTGAATGTCATGAAGCTATTATCTGTTAGGCATTACATCTGGCACAACACACGCACACGAGAGGGCGGTGCGAGTGAGCGAGCACGCGGCCAGCACCAGAGCAGATGTCTATACACGGTGCCAGGTACTCATTCTAGGGTTGACGTGACACGACCACGCATAGATAATAAGTTCAGCAGATCTGGCAGCAGCCTCCATCCAGAGACTGTCGTTGACCAAGGACAATGGGGATTGCAAGTTGCCGCTTCACAGCCCTGTCAATGAGTTTTATGTTCACCAACAATAAACAGGTTTTTAAATCGGTTTACCACGTAGGCTTTCGCGACCAATATTATTATCCATAATAGTTTTTTTGGGGGGTGAGATCGCGTAGACATAAATGTGTCGTTAAACCCGCCACCAACCGACACAGACAATTCGTAAGGTTTGTCACGCACATCGGTGTGTTGGAGAGTAAATCCACAATTGTAAATATTGTCGATTTACTCTCCAACACACCGGTGTGCTCTATTAGTAACGAATTGGCACGTTTTGTTTAAGTGACAAACCTTACTTATTGGCTGTGTCGGTTGGTGGCGGGTTTAACGACACATTTATATTTAAATGATTTGAATAAATATATCTGATACGAAGCATCATCATCAATTCTCATCGTTATAATTAGCCCTTGTCTATCCACTGGTGGATTGATGACTCCCGACACCATCGCCATCCCTCACGATCTTGTTAGTCCACAATCCACCTCATTGCACGTGAGCTGAAACTGACGTAAAAACAATAATGAATGATCCTTAGAGTTGACATTATTTCCATATTAGGTGCCAATTATTCTTGTCATGTACTCGGTATTGTATCCAGCAAGATACTCTACCAAGTGATCTTCTCAATAGCAAATAAATATTCTCATTACCAAATAACCACGCCTTTTGGCGTCCTCTGGTCTGACACCGTTTGAGACGAGGCTCAAAAGAATGCTGTCTCTGGTGTGGACCAATCAGTTTCAAAGACAATGCATATATTATCAGAGTATGTTTTTTGTTTGCATTCTGACCACAAGCATTGTGGTTAATACAGACATGATTCCTTGTAAAAAAAGGTTTCAGTTTGGTGTTTTAACATCTTAACACCTGTTTTGTTGCCAGAAAAAAGGGGAAAAACCTATTATCATACCAAATAACTGGTTCAGCAAAATGGTTGGCATGAGTGGTGTATAATCAGGGAGGGCTATTCAATATCGGTAATCAGTTAATATAATTTTGCATGCTTCACGTGTACTTTTAAAATGTATTGTAATGCTATAATTCATGCGCGGTACAAAGTGCAACGTTGAAAAAATTGTGTTTTACAATAAGTTAGCTGCCTTGCATTGCTCATTTGCTATGCAATTGAATGTAGAGGATTTCTTTTGTACGAAATTTAATGTACGCTTGCATGTGCTACAAAATACTTTGCTGCAAGTTTACGTGCGATAGAAAACAAAAAAAATCTACTGTTACATAATGGAAGCTTGTGTTGTGAATTTCAATAAATAAAGCATTTCAATATCAAACAGCACATAAGTCAGGATCCGTCAACTTAGGAAACCAAAGCGACTGGTTTCTTGAAGGCCATTACACGAAGATTCTCGGCAGACACCGTTTATATGCCTTGCGCATCGTGTTCGTAGCATGGCTATCCAACCAAAATTATTACATTCTCAAAGTTGGAATGTGCTGAATTAAGTGGCACACTATTTGCCTTATTTATAAATGTTAAATGGTCTTTAACATTAAGATGAAAAAATGAGCATCGATAATCACGGTATGACGATATGAGCAAAATGGCAAATACAATTATCGTTGGTCTTATATCGTAAAATATATAGCAGTATCACCATGTAGCCTATATTTATGCCCATATGTAATTCCACTGATTGGTGAAGAAAAATGCAGAAAAGACAAGAGTTACCAAATACTTCATAACTACAAATATGCCAGATTTTACATACTTTCATTGCATACAAAAAACATTGTTACAACAAAAAATCCATCGTCCCATTAATACATTTCAAATTTATTGGCACGGTTCCATTATGCATACAGAATACTTTACATGGCAAAGTACATAATACAACATTTAGCTGACAATGTACAGCAGCAGCAAGTGATAAGATATGAATCTGGTGGAGTGGGGAAATACTCTTTAAAGACTGAATAACTCATAGAGGCAACATACACAAAGTCATTGACATTAATTACTGAAATAGCTTCTCACGAGCACAACTAAGCAATTGTATTTACTTAGTTCTTAACTTTAGTTCTTACCTTGAAAATGCATTATGAAGGTTCATTATTTAAATGCGCAGTATGGTCCCTAGTTTAATATAAACATACTATTAAACCAAATCCATTGGCTACAAACAGCCAGAGGCATATTTCACACACATTCAAGTGTCAAACGTGGTTCTCATGAATACAGTATATATTTGTTACACGATGCAACATTATGGCAGCAATGAAAGGCAACACAATGGTGCTTTCGGTTTCATATAGCTGCATGCAGCATGTGACACAATGCACACAGCATCATCCAATCATCTCCCCTGGCCTCTCCAAACACGCATCACCATGCACACTCGGGTTAGAATGATGCATCAATTCCATCAGTATCCTCAAGCACACAATCATGCAATGTATCACGTGTTTTAAGTAGTATCCAGGTAGACGTTCATTGGAGGCTCTACATTATTCACCGCGATGTAAAGAAAATGTATGGATTGCAGCAATTTGTCTAAGCAAACTTAATGAAATCCAAACAGTCAAATGGCAACAATTCATTGCATCACAAGGAGCGAATCATTCCTCCCTGCAAACACATGAAGTAACATCGCAAGCACGGAGTGTCATGCAGCCGTTGCAGCAGTGCAATGCACGGCACAGCACAACCTTGAGAGTGGCGTTCACAAACAAAAGGCTCGACCCCTCACTCCAGAACCGTTGTAGTTTCGCTCACAAATGGAGGGAGGTTTTTGAATGCACAAAATTTTACTGCGGACCCACAAGAGAGCTGCACCTTCCCGCAATAAAGCAATGCACGCGTTCCATCAGTCACAAGTATTTCATCACGTGAGATGCAACCAAACAGCTGCATGTTGTAGACAGCCATCCAGAACTGCCACGAATAAGCAACAGTTTTGTGAAAAATAAGATGAGTTTTAAGGTTTTTTTTTTTCCTCACATAAAGAAGGAACTGTGTTGTGATTATATTGCTGTCAGCTCAAAGGCCCAGCTGTGCAGTAGAATCCAGCAATGAGTTTGCTGAGGGCTGGTCCCAGGTTCCTGTGGATCAAGTAACAAAGACATTAAATGAGTAGATGTTTACAGCAAAAACTCCAAGCCACTCTAATCTGTGAAATTCCTTTAGAGCTCTCGCTCAGATTTCAACGTTGACACCAAAATTCAACCGTAAAGACCATCACGCACTGAATGCTGAACACGTTACATGTAAACGGTTCATGAATCTGTACATCACCATTGATGCTTGATCACGACACAACACAGGATTCCCAGTAATTTTACACCTCTCATTTCGTTCAATGTCTGTTCATGGCAAAAACATGCGCCCCGTTCCCAACTCACCGTTGCAGCTTCCCGCACTTGAAGTTGGCCAGAAGCTTCTCCCTTTCGGTGTCTGAGGAGCACTTTGAGTAGGCCGTCATCAGGCTGGAAGGCACCAGGACAAGTGGGAAACAATGAAAAACTCACAACGTAAGTGCCCAGAATAGCGAGGATAGGCAGGATAGCCGAAATGCCCCCGAATCTAGCAATTGGCGTGTATATGTGTATTTACGATGAATATACGTACGTATATAAATATATGTTTTGCTCAATTAAGTAGAGGCTGGCCCTTGCCATACCAATAAGGCACTTCGGACAATGGGTCAGTTCGCCAAGATAAATGTGCCCCATCCCACTGCTCATTTGGGCAAGAGGACAATAATTTGAATTTTTTTAAAGACCATACATTTGGAAATTGGTATGCAGTTTGCATTTGTGAATGCAATAATGAACAGGCTGTATTTGAGGTGTATTAAGGGCTGGTGAGTACCTTTGTGGGGTGGGGTATTTATCCATGATAGCGATGACTTTGTCTCCGCTTACGCCACTGAACTGCAGCAACTGCCGTGCAAACACCTCCTGAACGGTTTGAGCCTGAAAATCCACAAAAAACAAGGAAATGTGGACTTAAAGCATTGAGGTGAACGGGTAGCTCAGAGGGCTAATGTCCTCATCATAGCATTACACCAACAAGAGTGGCCACCAAACACAAAACAGTTTCCATTCAATCTAGATTGGAAGTTTTCGTGACTGCAGGGATCCATACTCTTTGGTTCTTTCGGTAAAGTCACGTAGGTAGAAAATAAAATAAATCACGACGTTTCGATTGCAACACAAGCAATCGAAACGTCGTGATTTAATTTATTTTATTTTATACCTACGTGACTTTACGGAAAGAACCAGAGTAAGTTTCCATTCATTTGCTTGAGTTTGATTAACTCAGGAAAAAGAATGCAATCTGCTAACCCTAGGTTTTAGGATGCTCCGATATGAATAATTTTAAAGCATATAAACCCAAATGAGGCACACCAGTGAAATAACAAGTGTTATGTTAATCCGCATCAATAATAATTTTGTCTTGATTTAATTCAAAACGAGGAAGGCGTATACTTGCTCAGATCAGTGGCCTGTACTGTGACCTAAATATAATAAACTGCTAAGGGAGTGTATTGCCTGATGCTGCACCACTTTGGATAGTAGGTTACTGTTACACAAGTGATTAAACAGTAAAAATCATAAAACTTAATTTTACAACAAGTGTTCATGATAAATGGCACAAACATAGCTGTGAAAACACTGGATGAATGTGGAAATGAAAGGCTGTATGTCTACAGTTATTAAATTAGCTAATATAGTGCTATATTTAATGTACCACTTTCACACAAGCACGTGAACGTGTGGCATTAGCAGAGGGGCAGTTATGACGCAATGGCTCCCTTTCACCTTATTGCTGGTGAAAAAAACCTCCCGTCTCCTTCACTAACCTCAAGTCAAAACCGACAATTCAATTCAAGCCACTTAGCCAAGTCGTGATTCTGGCCCAATATCTCGTGAGGCTGATGTGGCCAACAACGGTGTGGTACGTACCTTGTTTTTGGCAGCTCCCTGGTTGAACTCGGAAAAGGTGATGAGTGGCAGTGAATCGTCCACGGAACAAGGGCGGTCAGCTGGTAGCAGAGCTGTCCTCTCCTCCTTTGTACAGCTCATCAGCGTGTTGTGCTGCAAACGTGTAACAAATTCACCTCAGGTCCACATCACTTCATCGTTATCATTCACATTTAATATAAAAACAGATTTAGACAAGTTAGACATACAGACCACACAGTATCATGGTCAAATCAATAACACATCGCAAGCCAAAGAGAGTGCATAAGCTGTACTGTATATATACAAAACATCCTCAGTTAAAGACTGCTCTTAGATTTTGAAGTACAACAATTCCACATCTTCTTGGTTCTTTCGGTAAAGTCACGTAGACTCTGTCTTCTCGACAGACCTGTTCTCCACCTGAGGACGGCTGCTTGCGTTGTGGCCGAAACGTCGTGAGAATTATTTTATTATGTTTTATTTTTATTATTTTATTATTTCCATTCTACGTGATTTTACCGAAAGAACCAAGAAGATGAATCCCTGCAGTCACGAAAGCTTTAAATCGAAACAATTCCACAGTTTACGTCGGGGATGTGTTCCTGAAAGGTACGACGACGAACCAAAACAATCAAAGTGGTTTACAGGGTAGGTGGTGGAGGCTGAGAGGCGACGGATAACGAGAAAGGATGGATGATGCTGTCAGCGAGGTGAGTGTGGGTTGAGGTGATGGAAATCAGGTCGTGATATTTATAAAGTGACAATGTATTTGCAAAACAGCATAAAAGGGGGAGACGTAAATCGGGTTATAGCTGCACTGTATTTGATCACTTTTGGTAGTTTTTGTAAATTACTGCAGTTGGGTGCACTGGCATTCTTGTCAGATGTCACTTTTTTTCTCAATGTAGGATTTGCAATACTTTACCCGCACCTTTGATTAGCACGCTTGGCTACGTACGGTTTGAAGGAAGTTCAACATATACACATTAATAATGTGTAACTTTACACACATGAATGTGCCTAATAGGTGAGAATGTGGTCGAATGCGCTGAGGTTGTCAGGAATGTCCGCCGAGTACAGGAACCACGGACGGTGCGAGGTCCTCACCGCATACGCGTTGTGCAGATAGCGAGTCATGATGGTGAGATAAGCTGCTGACTCCCGTATGTCCCGGGTGCGTTTAATGAAGAAGTTATCCACCACCTGAACAGAAATAAATAACACTGGTCAAAAAAAAAATAAACATTTTTTTCTGGCCTGGACTTTTGCAGCTGTTTTAGACTAATTTCAGGGTGCTGATTACAAATCTGATCTCAGATTTGCTCTATCACATCTCATTTTATGCTATCGGCATAACCATTTTCATTGATTTTACCCGAAATTAACTCTTTCACTTATGATTGCAAGTTGTTGCGAGTCAGTGACTGCGTTAGTGTTAAAATATGGTGCTGTATTTTTAGGATAGTGTGTTTATAATATTATTTTATATAGATATCCAAATTTATTTAATATTTTTCTTCTGCAGTTTTTATTCAAAATGCAATATTTGATATCTCAAAAACCTGATGTGATAGACAAAAACTAATGCCAGATTTGGAATCAGCACCCCAAAATTACATTAAAACCGTTGGAATACCTTATGCCAGAAAAAGTGTGTCGACCAGTGCAATACAATCCCCAGCTCAGCACCATGGACTACTGGAGAAATACCCTGAGTCAGCATCTTTACCTGGTGTGGCATAAGACTATGAGGAATTGAGTCATTAACTTGTCTGAAGTGTCAGCGACATTGGACGGACTAAGAGCCGATGGAGGTCTTTTAAGAACATGTCTGAAAGACACACCAACGCTAGTTTTCAGAACTTATTAAATAAAGTAGTCAATCAACAAAGGCTTTCCACCCAGTCGTAAAAAGGGGTACAACAGAGAAAATCAATCTGAAGGTCACATGCGGTGTTGGAACCCCAACCACTTCCAAGATTTCTGGACCTGCATGAAAACATACGCTTTGGTTGGGCTCTCTAGAACTCCCTCTAGTCGAGGCCTCTTCCACCTGGAGAGGTTAGCAAGTCATAGTATGGCTGTACCTTTACCTTTTCAATCAATAAATCATAGACAATATCATATTTATTTTTATAAAAAGTAAAATGTTTATATTCTTGTTTTTCCCATACATGGGACAGGAGGTGACTCTTGCCTGTGTGTTGACCACGGCTTGCTGAAGAGTAGACTCTGGGAGGCTCATGTGTTGAGCCTTCTTGAAATCCTCCACCAAATAAATCCAGTTCCTCAGCCCGCACTTCTTCAGACGGAACTGTCAGGCGAGAAGTAAATGGATAAACAATATACTCTAATACCGAGTGACTTTACGTCCAGGCTGTAGATCTTAATTTGAAGCAATGCCTTTATTCAGATCGGAGCTTTTAAAACAAATGATCTAATTGGCAACATATAGCTGAAAAATATAATAATGATTTATGTAAATTCCAAATTGGGATTCCGGTAATGATGTGGGAAATTAGCACTTTTAAAAAGAGAGTGCAGTTAACTAATTTCATACAGATATTATGTAAGTTAACTACTGTATGTGCAACTGGAAATTTGGTAAATACAATGGCCATTCAGCTATCCAGCAACCCAAATGAAAACAAATGAATCCAAAATAATAGATTGTAATTGATGTATTCGTCAATTGCAATATTCAATTTGAGAAATATGTCAAACCAATATCCTGCATTGACATATGGAAACATTAACAATTATAAATCTTAGCATAACTTCATGAACAACATGTGATCATACTGGTTAGCCAAAAGCCACCGCTGTAAGGATGATCGGAGTTTGCGTCATGGTTTATGAAAACCAACGTATAAAGGTGACTACCATCTGACCTTTTGCTCCTTAAATCGCCCATCGATGATGCTGCCACAGAGGTCATCCATCCGCTTCCGCTCCACGATGTAGTCAAGCACCAGCTCCCTTGCTGCCGGTACCTTCAACTGGCCTGCAAGAATTCAGTCATTATTGGAATTTGTAATGTTCTGAGCCATGGTACAATGGTTAGCACAATTGACTTGCACTGCACGAATGTTCATGCTAAGGTGGCAGAAAACCCACCACCAATTGCTAGTCGACTGTTCCAAGGCACGCGAGACCACGGCAGCTTAGAACATAGCAGACCTCACTGGTTTATTTGTTCAGAAGATGTGCCACTTAATTGTCTCATCATAATCCTACCAAGTAAAGAACTGACCACACCTCTGATAACACAAGCCACAGCCAACCAGACTTTCTGTATTTCAGAATCAGGTGAATTATCCAAGTAACATTTACCAGTCATCGTAAGGCTGTACTCATGCCACACCACCAAGACCAGTGTTATCCCCAGTCCCAACAATAATTTACAGCACCGCGAAAAAACATTGATTATAAATTGTTTCTGACATTTGAGCAGCTAAAACATTAGTGTCAAGTGACGAGTATTTGAGGCAAGCATAATTTCTACTGCGGTATTTAAATTAAATATCGTTCACTCCATGTCTACCAAAAAGACAGCAACCATCCAAAGATCATAACAGCATGGAGAGACATCGAATTATTTTTGCTTGGTGTGTGTAGGGAGGGAACTCGCCCGAGAGGACTTCCATCCCGGAGATGAAGCGATGAAATCAGCTAGTGTGCAGGAGCTAGATGAGTTGTTGTATTGCGAGACTGTAATAGATGGCAGAGATATGGGAAGGCCTTCAGCCATCAGTAGATAAATGATGACCGCTGTTGAAGACGATGCATTGAAAAGGACAGCGTGTTTTATTTATCATGCACACACAGCTGCGGCCAGAAGCAAGGCCCGCAAACCAACCAGGGAGAGGCTGCACTCGCTCCTGAGCGGCCCACACGAAGTCACCCACGTTCAACTTCCGCACATCGAACTGCACTCCGTTCTTTTTGAGCTCGTTCACCAGCTCCTGCTTCATTGATCCAGACCTGAGAACAGAGGGGAGCCAATGCGCAACATAAGTTGGCAACATTTTCAGAAATATGCCAATTACGGTCAGACCACCTCCCAATGCTCAAATGTGCTCAAATGAGCATTGGGAGTGTAGAACTTCTTTTACACTGTACGTAACCAACCGTGCACTAATTGGTGGACCTGAACCAGCGGTTACACATTCCATGGAGGTGTCAATCCTACGAGAAGCACTGAAAACTTTCCAACAAGAGGTATTCTAATTATCGACCCAAAAAGGGGTGAAGCATGACCAGGATTTGAACTCACAACCATCATCAAACTTTATTTATCCAAGTTGAAGAATCCAAATTATATTCGCAAGGAAATTATGGTAAACTCCTTTGAAAGTTGAATGTTTGTACTTTTTAGACAATAGTAACACAAGTTATATTCAAAGTGCGGATATATGTCACACCACCGGAACACAATGATGCATACTTTGTGAATGATGTATACTTTGTGAATGACGTAACAGGAACAACCGTTACATTGCACTTTGTTAATTCCAAATGGAATATTCCTTATCGGTAGTAAGAATCACATCACCAAGGGCATTATCTATTATCCATGAACTGTTAAAAAAGCAGCCTTTCAATATATCCAGCAAAATAATAAAACACACCTACGATTAGCACACGTGGCGACGTATGGTGCGAAAGAAGTTCAACATACACACATACATGCAAAATGTATTTCAAAAATTAATCAGCTGTCCACGCACCCAGTCGTTTCGATGACATCAACACAAAGGATAATGTCGAATTCTCCCGGACGTAGAGTGATGTCAGGCACGACGGTCTTAGGCTGAGATGGTGGAAAATCATCTCGGGGTTCCATATCACGAGGAAGGAAGTCACGGTATGCAGCCACCGTCTGCTCTTGCGCTGTAACGCGCCTGGCCGGTAGGGAAAGCGGTGCCTTCGTCGCGATCACTGCTGTCCACGTTTCCTGCATCTATGATCATCCAACATTATCATTGATTAGAGTTGATTTAAAAGGGATCGTTTCAATTACAATCGTATAGCATATTTTTGATGCATTAACGCAAGACAACACATACACCATATACAAAAGTATTTTGATTGTAGATAAGTCTTAATTTTGCAAGATCATCATTGTCAGCTCTTGTCTTTCCACTGCTGGATAAAGGCCTCCACACAGTAACGCGATCCATCTCATTGCTGCACATCAACTGGTCATCCTCTTGGATGCATTCCCTCTATATAGGTACCAAACGAGCATTATATATTTTAAGCTGTTTTTTATTTCATACTTTAGATCACTGCATTCACAACATTTAATCATATCACTGGGGGACAGTGAATCATTACACCCTAATTATCTTAATCAACTCTAACGTGCTTAATACATCATCCAAATACCCACCTGTCATCAGAATGCACCCAGTCCTATGTCATACTTGGAGTAGACAAAGAAATACCTTGTCAATATATGTTAATGAGCAGTTAATCAATGCAATCACACATAAGATCGTACCTTTGGACCAGTGGTACCCACTTCTGCTCCCAAATCCTCGTCCGATTCTGTGAGGTCAATGGCGCCATCCGTGGCCGGGTACAGTCCCACGGTTTCCACAATGGTTGTCACGTTATCACTTCCAATTCCTGTCTGCTTACCTTGCAGAGCCTCAGCACAGTCTATCCTCCGTGCCAGCTCAATGCCATTTTCTGTGATAAAATACCTGCAAATGGGACATTAATTAAGTGACAAAAAGTGGTTTGCAATCGTTGATTTTATCATTAAATACCCCCCCACTACTTTTGCCAATATCAAAACGTACATGCCTATGCTTATGCATGTTGTACAGACATAAAAACTAAATATATATTTCCCTTAAATATGGGCAACATCATGAGTAAGAGCCATCTTACTCATGCCATTGTACAACGGCCAATGGCATATAGGCCTCAAGTAGATCGATGGCAATAATTGGAGATAAATTCATTTTATTAAGTCATAAAAGTCCTTTGTTTTAAAGAATACACATACTTACCATGCTCATTAATATCTCAAGTATTTGTGAAATTAATTAAATTCAATCTTCAATCAACCAATATATTTTATTGAACGAGTTAGGAGCCCATTCATATTCAACAATATTTCTGTATATGCATGGGACTGCTAATGATGTGTGAAACTAATTTTACCTATTTAAATGAACTTTTCTCAAATATATCAGCATCTTTTTGGTTTGTTTATTTTTGACGAAAAAGGGCCGTGGATCTGACCTTCACTTTAAAACTCCCACCCAGCCTTCACCTGAAAACCACAGAGACTAGGTTAAGACTAGGAGCCTCAGCATCAGAGCTGCAGTTTGGCCAATTCTGTGCACAATTGGGCATTTTTTAAAGCTGCTTTGAAATGTAATTCAGAAAAACGACCGGATATAAATAAATAATTCCTTTTTGGGCTCCTCTTTGGAAAAATTATGCCGGGAGTTTAGGCGCTATTTGCTGAAAAATAAATCGAATGACCTTGCTCAGCCTTGGCCTAGCCTCAGAAATTGTCACATATTGGATATTATTTGTTAAATCTAGATTGAAAACTCCTTTTGTTAGAACTGCTTTTTGTGTTTAGTTTATTGTCCTTCCCCCGCACCTCCGATTAGCACCGTTGGCTACGCACGGCACGAAAGAAGTTCAACATACATACATATGGTATTAGAATAAAAGGGGAAATGATTTGTTTTGTAGGTTCCTGTAAACATGGCTGAAATCGTTTAACGGCAAACAAAAATGAATGCTTTTATAAACGTGTCTGCGTGAATGTTCTCACTTGGCGGGATTGCTACACTTCTCCACGAGGCCTTTGCTGATGAGGGTTTTCATGGACGACCACGCAGAGTAACGCATTCCTGCTTCGGGCTGTTTTGGAGAAACAGGGCGGCAAAAAGTTATTTTTAAAAGATGTTCCCATGCACAAACTTTATGAATTTACAGTGAGCAGAAACTAGCAAATATGTACACTAGGGCTATAACATCCATATAATACAATCCTGTTGCAAATGGATTGCAGCAACCGAGCTTTCTTATCTACCCTATCTATTGTCATACAGAAAAAAATTTGCGTGTTATTTCTCCAAACATAGAAAAAAAAACCACGAACAGCATTGTGGTCTCTAATTCTCTTTCTCCTGTTGCCCTGATGAGGGGCAGAGTCAGTGGTGCACACGATGAAGTTAAGTGATGCTGGCCTCTTACAGCAAAGAAGGATGTTTCACAGTGAGGTTGGGCTTCCTGCTGAAGCTCAGGTTTGGTCATGAAGTATTTTCCATCAGGTTTCTATTGAGACACGAGTCACACACAAAGCATTAATAATGGAATTACAATGCAATATGGAGTATGTCCACGTGACACAGTGGTTAAGCTTATCAATAAGAAGTTGAGTCAGAATCAGCCCTTCATCCCTCTGGGGTCACTAAGTACCACATTGTGGGATGTCAACAGAGGATGTCTTATTTGCTCACCCTGTCATAAGAAAATGGAATCTCCTCCCTGTGGTTACTGCTCCAAGGCTATGACCTAGAGGTGAGCTCATTTAAGAAGGAAACTATTTTGACGTGAACCCTTTTTAAGCATCTTATAAGTGACTTCATGATGAAGTAATCTGCGGAAAATTATCAAAAAACCACTTTCCTATGTGAAGCTAGTTTCTCCATTGCACGGCCAAGATTCACGTTCCACAACGCTTAACTCATGCTTTCAACCCAGGAGTCAACAACTGACTGGAGTTTGAACTCTAAACCTTGTACAAGGAACTCTGCCACAGATCAGGAGCTCTGCTATAGTTAATCACCAGAATAATAAACGTAATTAAATTATGTTTTAAAATGTGTTAAAAGCAGTACTGCCATCCACAAAAATGTTGACATAATTTATCACGAGGGCAATGATATACCATCCCTGAGTTGTGTTAGCAACTGACTCCATTAATTATGTGCGCACTTTACATCAGACATTGTTATTTCTTTAAATAGGGTTTAGAAAACATTAAATGGATATTTATATTGTTTTTTATATTTTATCCACGAATGCCTTAGTGATCACGGCCCAGTGGGTTTGTTGAGTTTCAAAATCTATGTGTATACAACCTCGCTACACTGACATTCATTCCATCTGCTACAATGTGAACTCGACACTACGTACCTGCTTCTCCCAGTAAAGAGCCATGATCAAAGCATATCCACCTGATGACTTCTTAGGGGTGTAACCTTTTTCGTTTGTCCCCTCCACCCGGGTCCGCTTCTGTACAATGCAAACATCAACAAGTTGGCTATCTTAAGGTCAACACTCTAAAGCATTTCTGACTATCTTTCTGCAAAAAACCCTAAACAATTGCACAGCCAACATTTCCTTTCCAGAGTCTTTGTCTGACCATGTCACCCCATCTTAGGTATTGTGCAATGCAATCACAATTATGCTGGGGGTATTCTGCCTGGTAGCACAATTCTAGGTGCCATACCAACACCTGTTTCTCTTACAACCTCCATTCAATGCTGTAGGTATATACAGATGTATTAAATGGCTAAAAGTGAATATTATTGGTGCTTTAAGTGTTTCTTTGATAATTTGTACCAATATAAAACTACCATATCATTCCATTATAGTGTTTATTGAGTCAAATCAGTATACAGTACACGTAAAATGTAGGGGTAGCACATGATACTGATGATTCCTTGTCATGGTGATAATGGTAGACAGCTGTAATCTAGGGTAGAAATCTACACTGTACCAATGATCTGATGAGCATAAAATAGCCATGCAGTTTACAAGTTACTTTACTAAACCTAACTTAGAAAAAGTCCCAATGGTAATGGTGAAGATCCAATGGCTACTAATTTTAGCAGAAAGTATTATATAACAGATACAATGTAAACGCGTGGCATTTGAAATATGTGGACCGTGTCTCCTGAAATCTATTAAAATGTTCCCCTAATAAAACTTTGCTTCATAATCAACGTTTTTGTTCCAGCCCTGTTTGATGCGAGGTCTGAGTGGGGTGCTTACCAGTGGGGGTGCGTCCCTGGTGGAAGGTGCGTCATCGCTGCTGCTCATGCTGCGAGAACTCGGCACTATTACGTTCTTGGGATCTGGCATGAGCAGTTGGCAGATATTCATTTATTAGCGGGGCAATGGATGGCTTGCTCGCCTGCACTTTCACAGTTTTAAACTGAACATTAACCCAATGAAGGCATTGTTCTCATGAAAGAGTCACGTTGTCTTCAACAATACATTCCACTCCAGTAATGCTCATTATATCTGCAATAAAAGCAGATCGTGTGATTGTGCAGATTATAAATTATTGGTTGTCCTTGTACAGTGTAATAATCGCCAATGTGGGTGTTAGTTTTGTCTTGTTGTAGAGATCAAATGTTTAAAGTCAAGCTGGCAATAAATAAGAGCAGAGGGTCATTGTTTTGTAGACTTTAAGCAAGGACCAGAGCTACAGGAACTTTAGTGTGAAGGCATTCCAGGAAAGATAAAACTTGTTTTGCCACCACTTAGTTCGTTGTCATATTTGACTATGTACTAACTGAAATACCATGAGGAAAATGGGTAATTTGCAAATGAGAAACCAGGAGTATGCAAATTACGTAGTAATTTCGATTTAAAGCTTTCGTGACTGCAGGGATTCATCTTCTTGGCTCTTTCGGTAAAGTCACGTAGAATGGAAATAATAAAAAGAAAACATTATAAAATATAATAAAATAATAGATTTTCTTTTATTATGTTTTATTTTTATTATTGTATTATTTCCATTCTACGTGACTTTACCGAAAGAACCAAGAAGATTATGTAGTAATGTTTGTCAGCTCGGACTCTGGCTGGGGCATTGCTGGAGTTCTTGGTGGTTTTCAGTACAGAGGCTGGACACTGGAGTCTAGATTTGCGCTTTGTAAAACTAAGTGGATTGCAGTAGTTATGGATAGGGGTGTATTTTCTTATCACAGGCATCAGTGGGAAGTGATAATTTAGAGGCACTTTAGGACTGTGCATTTAGGTAGCACGTTGCACAATATAGGTGGTTTTGAGAAAGTCAAGAGATATTTAATTATATGGATGGATTTTGAGGGACAGCATAAATCACTCTAGATGTATAAAGATGCCAATTGTAGTATGACAAGATGGATGTCTGAAGTAGGAGTAATGAATTTAACAAAGATGCTGGAAAAGCAGCACGTGGATTTTAAACGCATGTGCATGTGGGGTATTCTAAGAATTTAATGGAAAGATTGGGTAAGCAACTTTAAACTTCAGAATAAAGACAATTGATGTTTAGGTGCATTCAGAAAGAAGACCTTGTAAAGAATGATAGGTACAGGATGGATGAAGGACATTGAAGCAAAAGTCAAATTGGGGCATACAGAAAATTGATGAAAAGGTCAGATGTCGACTAGGCAACAGCAGGTAATGGTGAGGTGTCGTGCAATCAATAGCATTGGCCGTAATGTCCTCTTCCATCTAACATACTATAGATGTCTTAATTTGGATAACAATCATAATTAATGAATGCACACTGAGACATGTTTACCTTTAAATAGAATACACTCCTTGGAATAAAGACACGTAAAATGTTGTTTACCATACCTCTATTCGATCCAGATTTTTGTGACTTGGCTTTTGTAGGGCCTGCTACATCTGCCATACGCTTCAGGTTGTGTATTGCAGCATCAGATCCTGATAGGTGACAGGACAATAACACAAGTGCTAATTAAAAAACACACCAACATTTTAATCCTACAATTTAAAAACACAATTCATATCAGTATGAATTACATAAAATATACATTGCTGATAATCTTTACTTTTCTTAACGAATATTTCCTGAAATATTATCCTACCTCAGTGAAACTCCTGCAAAGTATAATTTTCTAATTCGCAAAATGTATTAATTATCCTTGTGAGCTTAGATTCTGTGATCCTCCATTATCCAGAAATCCTCAAAGTTTTACGCATTTTACGGGTTGAGTGGACATTCCTAAAACATCAAAACAATAGAATTTAGATGTTTTGGGGCTTTCCAAAGTGGCAGAAGCAACATTCCCTAGCAGCCCAGATGGCTGCTGTAAATTATGTGCATCTCAGGAGCTGACCATGCTCAGCGTTGTATTCGGCCAACTTCTGATCCAGCATCTTGCAGATTCCATCTCCAAAGTTCTGTAGAATTTTTGCCTCCTTGCCATTCTGCAGGGGTAGTGGGTATTTCTTCAAAGAGCTCAGCGCCTGTGCAGAAAAGTTAAACATTAAGTAAATACCACATACAAAATGAAAAAGAGTTTAAAGAAAATTCTAGATTTTATCTATCTATCTTCCTGCTGAAAAAGGAGTGTGACTTTTGATATTCTCCATTGGTGTCTTAGACCCACTGTTAATAATTACACATCCCTTTGGCGGTATTCAGCCTCACCATTCACTATTGGTTGCTTGTAAAGTTGAAGTATTCTGCGGCACTGCGTTAGAATGCTCAAATCGTAGTGGAAGCTGTGAGTTCGAATGCTGTTCTATGGATAAATCATCCCCGAATCAGTATATTGATTTAGACCGGAGGAATGAGCAATAAAGCTCTTTTCACATTTGTCTAGGAGGGGCGGGTCAGAAAGTTACAATAACAAACAATACAAAAACCTACAGGCGTGTATTTTCCATCCTCGGTCAATAAAACGATTACCAATTTGTAAGAAGCCAATAGCTAATACCTAGCATTTGGTTGGTGAAGTGAACACATCCGCATATTAGCAAAAAGCCCCCATTGTTAGTAAAATCAGACATTTTAACATTCCATCACGGAGGTTTGTATTATTGTAATCTGTAAATGAGAAGCATTGCAATGCAAATAGTACACATAGCTTTGGGAAGCGGAAGTATAGCACAATAGCATTTTTCCAGTGACCAGGTCTGTATGAACTTGTGAACGGACAGGTATGCCCTCCTTGCATATCCGTCAACCAATACGGTTTACCTGTATTCTTGAACAGGGAAATTGAGTTTCCAGGTCCATACGGCGTACAGCCGTTCCAATAGGGGCAATTTCTGTTGTCTATTTGTTTGTGTTTCTCCCTTGCGATGGGACTTTGTAGGATGAACGTTGAGATGTTTAATGGCACGGGGTGACCAATAAGGTCTGAATTGGTCTGTAAGGTAGGCACTGATAAGGGGTTGACAGGTATTTGATTCTGAGGTGTTTCCTAAATTCAAATAACCGTGACATTCATTGTCTATTGTGACTTTTAGACGGATCGTCAATGTACATTGTGACAAGTTGAGTGATGTATTGTACCTCACGAATAGAATGCATACTTACGCAGCGTCTATCGTTCAGTGCACACAATGCACTAACTAAACAATGTTTTATTTTAGCTGCAGTGGAGAGTGATATTTGATCCGGTCCCAGTTTCCACCAACTAAAACCATTAAACTAAGACTATTACTGAGCTATTTTTATTTTACCAGGTAAGACCCACTGAGCTACACAGCTCTTTTTCAGAAGCGACCTGGCCACACATGATGGCTCAACGAAGCGGAGCTCATCACGTGGAAATGTCAAGCAGCCAAAATACTCTCTCTAAACGCGTGGCGTCCGTTCTAAACGTGGAGCAAAAATCCACGCGACCACGGGAAGATACACCGTCGGAACCTCCTTTGCCAGTAGAAAAATATGATAATTGTTTTTTTTACCCTTTTATCTGGCAACAAAACTAACACCTTTTTTACGAGGAGTCATGTTTTCATTGACCACAATACCTGCGGTCGGAATGCAAACAAAAAACACAACTCTGATAATGTATGCCTTGTCCTTGAAATTGATTGGTCCATATCCGATACAGCTTTTCTTAGAGCCTAGTGGCCAAAAGGCGTCATCTGGTCCAACACCATGTGAGACTAGGCTCTAAATAAGTATAACCCGTAAAAACAAAGTTTTTCACTCTAAATCCTTTATATGCGTGGCGGCTCGAGTCCTCTCGTCCTCTGGCTTGAGATGGCTGCCACCTATGGGTCAGATGATTGTCTGCCAGTATTAAGCAATTGGTAATTAAATATTTAATTTGTTTTCCCTAAACAGTGTAAAATTTTGGAAATTTTTTTTTCACGAACATTAATTGTCTCGCACAACGAGTCTGTGTGCAAAATGTCAGCTCGATTGGATCACGGGAAGTGGGTTAAAAAACGACCGAAAGATTTGCACGGTCGTAAGCAAGCAAGCGAACTTAATATAAAGGATTTAAAAAAAAGCTGTCTCGGGTGTGGACCAATCAATTTCAAGGACAGTGATAACATTATCAGAGTTGTGTTTTATGTTTGCATTCCAACCGCAGGTATTGTGGTCAATGCAAACATGACTCCTTATAAAAAAATGTGTCAGTTTTGTTTCCAGATAACAGGGTAAAAAAAACACAATTATCACGAGGAGATAGACCACGCAAGCCCCAACAGACGTCAAAAAGTCGAGATCGAACATTGCAACACCAGCCGAGATGCACCCAACAGCCTCGCCACCGCGGTGGGCCCCGAAACTCGTACCTCCTCGTACCTTCTGGTAGACGTAGTGGGACTTCTTGCCTTTGGAGGCGGCCTCGTCGCGCAGTTCGGTGAGCCACCTCACGAACAGGGCATTGGGCCCCGACGCTGGCACGCGGCCCTTGGCTCGTCCCGCTTCCTCCATCGATCACGAAGCCTTTGACCCCAGCTGAGAGGAAGCACAGCGCACATTTAAACAACGCGATCGATCGATTGATTGCGCGTCAAAGACTCAACTGCGGATCTGTAAACTTTGCACAATAGACGTTTGCGGGGCGCCCGTAGAAACTTAATTTCCTAAGGCACGCGGGTACATGACGCCTACAACTTTTAAACGTTATTCAATTGTCTCGGCAAAGTATTTGTTGCAGTGTAAGTGGCTGCTGCTGCTGCAACATTTCTACTTTACGATGTGCTACTTCGCCAGGATATATTAATGTGATAGCCGAGTCGCTTCTGAAAAAAGAGCTATATACATATACTGTAGCTCAGTGGGCTTTACGTGATGAAATAAATTACATATAGTTGAGTTTAGTTAATCTCAGAAACATGCCATCATGAGCAGCAATTCCAATGGAATTTCGACGAGCTAGTAAAACGTGACCGTGAATCACCGCTATAAAATCGTGAGGAAATTCTCTTGGATCCACGTGGACACTTAATGGACGAGGTAAAAGTGAGACGTACGCCTTTGTACTTTGACAAACACCACGCAGTAGGAGTGAAACTTTAATTCACCGAAACGCCCGCAGATTCCGAGGCTCCCTGCCGAGTTCACCCGCCTGAGGCCTACCCTAGGCTCCTGGCGGGAAATCCAGACAAAGGCCCCTTGCTCCCACGGAGTCAGCTTCACAGCTGCAGTGGATTCGCAGACGCATTATCTCAGAAACCAAGTTTATTGTTTTTGTTACAGTAATAACACGACACATGAACCTCAACAACAATACAAATCCTTAAGAGGTTGTTTTGGGCTTATTTGCGTCACATCATTACGCGAACATTTTAAACGACTGGGGATGACGCAAGACGTGACCGCCTTCGATTCCGGAATCGATTTAAAGTGAAAGTTTAAGGAATCGAATCGTAAATCTCAACAACGAACAAATGATTTAGCTAAAGTGAAATGCGGATTTTGTATATTTAAGAAACAATACATTAATATCTACATAGCCATGTGCTTTTTATGCAATTTTTGTGAAAGTTTTCACCGACAAAATTCGCGCCGAGACGCTACGGCATTCATAGCTGTCAATCCCTAATCTGTGCCCTACCTCATTACAGACCAATTCTGACCTTATTGGTCACCTCGTGCCACTTATACATCTCAACGTTCATCCATCAAAGTCCCATCACACGGGACAAACACAAACAAATAGACATTTAAAATAAATTTCTGCCCGTATTGAAACGGCTGTACGCCGCGTGGGCCTGAAAACTCAATTTCCCTGTACAAGATTATGGAGTATAAACCGTATGGGTTGACAGCTGTGGGTATTGCGTTCACGTCACTTGGGGCCGTCCATAAATGACGTCACGCGATTTTGGACAATTTTTGACCCCCCCCCCCCTCGTCACACAACGTCACAAATGTCTGACCCCACCCCACACCCCAGGTGCCTGACGTCATTTATGGACAGCCCCTTGGTATCTGTGATGATTTTTGCAGGGGATGTTATTTATAGGCCAGGTTGAGCTATGATGGTGATTGTTGTCTCCTTGTATAAGGAGAGAGTCGTTTCATGGTGGAATTGGTCACGGTGAATATATGATGCGTCGTGGGATCTGAAGCGGGAAAGAGAGAGAGCGAGAATTGTCCACCTTTGGCAGTGCAAGTTAAAAATACAGCATCACACACCTTGACTTTGCTTACATAAATATTAACCTGAGGACATTCATGCATAGTACCATATTTTATATACATTCGGTTATCTTAACATATTCGCGTAAGATTTGAGACGTAAGCAATAACTATTCACTCATTTTAGTACAAAGGACTTGCATATCATTTACGAAATATACGTATTCACACTTAGCCACTTCCCTTCATACCTGCTTGCAATTAAGTGTTCGAGCTTGAAACTCACGTTTATGTACCTGCTCGTGTTCACATTATATACTGTTACACTGTTTTTACACACAATTCCTGAGTTTGTTTTATTGCACCGAAACATTTTAATCAACAATGTTCAATACTACTCAACTGCTGTGTCGACGCACCCAGCATTTTATCACAAGCAACATTACTTCGCTATTTTAAACCCACCATACACACACACACATCTTTAACATGTCTTCTCTCTCTTGTCCTCTGGCAGATATTCGTCCCCAAATTCCCTCCATCCCGTCCGATCTTCATCTTCGTCCTTAACGTCACGTGAGAAGCGCCAATGCTCTCGTTGTCTTCCTCGTGGCCCAGTGGTAGCAAGTTCACCGCTTGGCCTCAGTGCCGGGTGATCCTCGTAGCAAAAGTAACAAATGCTACTGGCCCCGCACTTTCAAGGACTCCGCTCTAAATGCTTTCAAACTATCAATTCCGGTTCAGTAATTCTTGCACTTGCTCTATTACTATAGTACTATACCGCCTTCGACTTTTATGAACGACTGGGTGTTTAAGGTTAGCGATTTATCATATTATCTGGCTGTATAGCAAATGAAAAAATACAATTACTTTATTAGGCAAGTAAAAAAAATTGTCTTTTAATATTTGTGCGTTTTTATTCATTTAGGGCCCCTTTATAACATATGCTACATGTCCCGCACTAGCTTAATCCGGCTCTGCTCGGCCTCCCTGCGCACGTGTGTATTTAGCGTGAAATGCGTGTGCCGTCTGCCTGCTTCGACAAGCGGACGCTTCAAATCCCACTGACGTCAGTCGAGAAGAGTAAGCTCACCGTGCGCCGCTGGAATCGCCCAGATTTGAAAAGCAACGACAGATAGCTCGATTGGGATTGCACATTGCAACCATCGCCGCATACTGTCAAACCGCTGCACATCGTGTCTGTGAAACATTGCGCCCCGGTGATAGCCTTGCACCATTGGAATGGTGCACATACCAAATGTAATAATTACGGTATATTTTTTACCCTCCGTATATATGTGTACTCAAGATCACTGAGTAAAAATACCACTTCTGGCTGCCATCAATCCTCTTGAATGCCAGTTGCCTTCTATATTTTGCCACTATTATTTAAAATGATTCTTATCTCATCTGGCTCTTCATTCCAAGCATTGGCAAGTTTCTTGTAACTGTAATGTAATAGCTTCACTACGCGCCAGGAAAGTCTGTCCATATGGCATAATTCATGTTGCAATTCATGTGGTTGACAGGCACCCCACTTGTTGATTGACAAATATATTTTTGATTTCTCGAACGACCAGAGGGAGCAGAATGATCAAGGTGAGGAATATCTGCAAATGCAACATATAGTACACAATAAATCACACAGTGAGCATTAATTATACTTATTTATCCGTGATGTATTTTGATGAGAGGGCTTGGGTACCATACATCTAATCGTGTCAACAGACATTTATGCAGTTTAGTATTTTCTGCGGTAAAGTGCAATCCATCACTCATATCACCGATCACAATACAAGCTTTTAGTGAGCTCAGATGTAATTTGAATGGCTTACCAAACTCAGCACACACAGTTATAAACTCTTCGTAACTTTACTTACCATAACAATGAAGAATACGAAAACCCATTCCCAGCCAAAACGGCTGTATATGACTGCCACGATAAACTGCAGCGAGAAAAATCAGTGTGGGAAGTAAAATAACTTGGTTAAAATAAACACAACAGTACCTGTGAAACGCATACGCATGTGGTTATTGTAAATACTTATGTTAAAAAAACAGTGCACACTACGTTTCATGATGCATACATATACCCTCAAGATAATGATTCATAAATTGGGTCAGCAGACAGTCTCTCAACTATCGTGAAAGTCACATTGGCTACCCCATGCTGAAGCTAAACTAGACATCTGCTCAAAGTTACATGCGGTGTTAATTATATAACATATTTCGCAGATTTTAGATAAATATCACCACCACCACACCAGAATATGGGAAACATAATCAGCAATGTGTAATGCATTACTCATCATGTATTTCACACCCTAATAGTTGTGTGCGATTCCCTAGGAATTTGTCAAACTGTCTGGGTGATTTCCTGTTATCCCCACAATTGACTGGAAAATAGTATGAATGTAGCACGTGGTAAATAGGAGCATGCGCACAGCAAGGAGGGTGCACGGATAACAGGGGATTGCAAGATTTTGTTTAACCATCTGCTCGTGCTGCTACGCACATTTTATAAAAACTATATTAGAGAGATGTATTATTGTACCGACACCATACTCTCATACCGCAGGCTATGCTTACTTACATAGGCTTAATGTAATTATGTTCGGCGTGAAAAGCTAAAGAAGATATTAAAGGTAGCCCTGCCTTGCTGAGGTTGAAGAGGCGTGGGTGCTTTGTAGCTATACCGGATACTGGCACCCATATACCAGAATCACAATATACTGGAGGAATCCGATGAGCTATAAAGCTTTCTTCACAGATGTCCAGTGGGGGCAGGTAAGAACATTATTACAACAAACAATACAAAAAACGATAGGAGTGAAAAGTACAAGACAGGTAAACAAATCACCCAAACACGTACAAATACACCTAAACCATCCCCATCCTACCAGGCAAAACCCACTGATGTATTAACTTGTTTTTCGGAAGCGACCTGGCCACAAATAATTATAGCTCAACAAAGTGTGCACATTTATAGCAGACAAAATGTGTTCCTTTCACCAACCTGCACTGACCAGCGTGGTGAAGCACGGTGAAGGATGGAGGTAGGGGGGGGGATGAGTATTGGAGTTACCTGTCCTACGGAAGCCCCCAGGCTGCCCGTTCCATCCACGATGCCAGTCACGGTGCCCAACGCCTCCCGGTTGCCCTGAATTGTGCCCTGTTGGCCCAGGTCAGCCGGCACAGCTGAGCTGATGAGGTTAGCTGTCCCACTCACGAAAAACCCTGCGCCCACACACGGCACCGTGGACACGAGCACACGTTATTCATTGGGGGCATATCAGTGGTTCTTATACTTATTACCTCTTGGTCCACACTTTATAATTACATCAATAAACTGTGATATATTTTGGGCGGAAAGCAAGCATTAAGTGGGTAAGCGCATAGCGAAATGAAGCCGATCGCCTTAGTTTGATTCCTGGCCATGGCTAAAATGAGTGGCGAGTGATGTCCGGGCGGATCGTGTGACTGCCTCCTCAACTCTTCACGAGCACACACTGACCAGAGTCGTGATGTATCCTCAAAACAACCCCCGTGACTAATACTGCCTGGGGAGGCCTTTATCCAGCAATTTATCTTTATACCTGTTGTCTGTTTTTTTTTCTTTACGTGACACCACAGAAATAATTCCGATGGAAATTAAAGCTATGAAAAATGATGACAATGCCTAACAAATCTTGACTTAAAGTTTTCGTGACTGCAGGAATTCATATTTTACCGAAAGACCCAAGAATATGCCTAACAAAGTTTTGGAAAAGAATGAAGAAAGAAGTTTCACGTTCATTTTGTTTAACCAATTGGGATTTTATAGATAGCAGGATGAGTCTCATTTTCAAGAGTGACCTGGGTCACCAGGGTCACCAAAACAAAATGAGAGAACACGAAGTTAAACGAAGATGTAATGAAATGCAAATAGATAAAGTTTAAGAATGGTAATCGTCGTTACATAGAAACTTAAACGGAACCGTAATGCATGATAGAGATATAACCATTGAACCAGAGAAGCAATTCCATGAAGATCTTGACATTCAAGTAAGCTGGAAATATTACCTATAAATACATTAACTTCAAAAAAAAAAACTAAAGCAACTCTGCCCAGTACACTTGAAGGTGAATATGCTTCATAACAGAAGTAAAAAAATCAATGACTGAGCAAATATCTGACCTGTAACAACCAATAAGAATCCATTCCAAACTCTGTTGCTGAAAGGATCTGGAAAGAGAAAAAAAAATATGAATTATTTCTGAAAGCAATTCGCGATAAAAAAAAAATAAACTCACAACACACCAGCAGCATTCTCATTGCTACAGCGTCTGCTTTTCTAAAGCAACTCGCATCTTGACTTTGTTTCGCTCGCCAAACGTAATTCTACCACCGTAAAGTCACGTAGAAGGGAAATAATAAAATAATAAAAATAAAACATAATAATATACAATTCTCACGACGTTTCGGCCACAACGCAAGCAGCCGTCCTCGCTGTCTTTCCGACAGACCTGTTCTTCACCTGAGGACGGCTGCTTGCGTTGTGGCCGAAACGTCGTGAGAATTGTATTTTATAAATTTTTATTTTTATTATTTTATTATTTCCCTTCTACGTGACTTTACCGAAAGAACCAATAAGATGAATCCCTGCAGTCACGAAAGCTTTAAATTTAAATTTCTACCACCGTACTCACTGAGGTAGCAGGCCAGAGTGGCAACCGCCAGCAGCAGCATCAGGGCAATGACGGGCGCCCGCTTTCCCAGGCGGTCGGATATCAACCCAGCCATGGCGCCACCTGGAACATAATAATCTGCTAGTTAGAGATGTATGTATGTCTGTGCATTGAACTTCTTTCGCACCGTACGTAGCCAACCGTGCTAATCGGAGGTGCGGGGGGAAGGAGTGAATGCGCTCGATACATATACATTTTCAATGAGAGTGGAAAGCTGAGTCGGAAGCGCAGTTCAACAGTAAACAACTGAAGCCAGGAGGATGCCGTGACCTCGAGAATAAGAATCAGAACCATTTATACTGCAGGAACCCGATGAGCTACAAAGCTATTTTTCACAGATGTCCAGAGAGAAACAAACTTGAATTTCGAGCGGTGCCAAATTCTTCACACCGGACCCTTTTGTTATCATTGAAAAGGCTTCAAACTCAAGTTGTGCAGGCCAAAATACACAGCCCAGGTCATCTGCTTTTTAAAATTCAAAATTGCATCTTCCTGTAAATGACCTTTATGTATGTACGTCGAACTTCTTTCGCACCATACGTAGCCAACCGTGATAATTGGAGGTGTGAGAGAAGGCAACCAACTAAATACAAAAATCAGTTCTAAAGAAAGTTGTTCACAATTGAGATTCAAAAGTGCATAGCTCAAGTGGCTTCCTAATATCGGAAGGAAGAGTGGTCCTGACGGTTGTAAAATTCGCGGTCTTCCACCACATGGCAGAAGGGGCTCTTAGGGGTATATTGGCCTACTCTTCCACGTTGGCCTGACATCTTGGTAGGGGTGGGAGTGCCCACAATTTAGCCCACCACACCGCGACCTGCTGATCGACTAACCATGGTGACCACATTTAAATTGCTGGGTGTACAGAGGTGGGGGGTTTGGACGCGTGAAAAGAAAATAAACCGATAGGATGAGAGGTGCCATGAAAGGAGTCCCTGAATTCGCCCTCCAACTGTTGTGGAACGGTCATGAGTTTACAGTCTGCCCCCAGTAAAACTAAGCCCAAGGATAATTAGCCGGCGAAATGCTTTAAGCTTGTGACCAAATCACCAGCAATCCACCCGATCTTGTTATATCTTGGAAGCTAAGCTGGCTTGAGGCTGGTCAGTGCTTGGATGGGCGACCACCGTGTGTAAAACAGATGCTATAGGCTGCCGGCCGCGGGGCTACGTTGCCGACAGAGGGCAGTGCGGAAAAAAATCACCGTTGCATTGCACGATGCTCCAACATTTATGCCGCTCGCCTTCAACCTGCACCGAGCAAGTGGTGTTGAAGTATGGTCAAATAACCCCCATGTGGAACGTGGGAAAACTTTCATCCAGCAGTGGTACGGCTATTCTTGTACTATCGTGCAGATGAACTTCTACTTGTGCGGGTTGACAAAAGACAAAAATGTTGCTGTGACATCATAAAACACGCACAACGATCTAAACCAAGTCCGGACGTGCTCACCAATGATGCCTCCAAAGTCGTACCATATTGACATGCGGCTTGCGTCCACCTGGGTCCAGCTGAACTCGTAGGCCAGGTAGTACGGCAGCCAGAAGAAGAAGGCGTAGTTCACCAGCTTGAGGCACGCGTACGCCAAGGCGTACTGCACCCCGGCAGAGACAGGGACGGCGATGGTATCATTTACGCAGAGATGCCCACGCAAGGAAAGTCAATGCAGGCTATGTTCCCCAATAGCGCCGCGTGTTTTTTACGTACGCTAATTAGATATATAACGCGGTGAATGTATTACGGAACACGTTTTTAATAACGCGGACGCCAATTGGATGTAACGCGATTGAGTGAACGGATCTACGTCGGGCGAGTAGGAATAAGCGGTCGTACGGCTGGACTTTTGCAGCTGTTTTAGACTAATTTCAGGGTGCTGATTCCAAATCTGATCTCAGATTTGCTTTATCACATCTCATTTTTATGCTATCGGCATACCCCATTTTCATTGATTTTACCCGAAATAAACTCTGTCACTTACGATTGCAAGTTGTTGCGAGTCAGTGACTGCTTTAGTGTTAAAATATGGTGCTGTATTTTTAGGATAGTGTGTTTATAATATCATTGTATGTAGATATCCACATTTATTTAATATTTTTCTTCTGTTTTGATTGAAAATGCAATATTTGATATCTCAAAAACCTGATGTGATAGACACAAACTGATGCCAGATTTGGAATCAGCACCCCAAAATTACCTTAAAACCGTTGGGATACCTTATGCCAGAAAAAGTGTGTTGACCAGTGTTATAGACGCTACCCACGCTCCTCAGTCTTTGTTCAGCCTGCATTACGCATCTCACGCGTTATCGTGGCCTGTGCTTTACCCCCCCCCCCCCCCCATATTAAATATTATTTGTTATATAACACAATTACCGTGCTATAGGAGAATACATTGTACAGGTATTTATCAAAACGTCTCTTAAAGCAATGCAATCAGAGCAACTTGACACACAAATGTGTACACTAATGTACTGCACACAAAAAACAAATACTTTGGTGTCAATTGAGAAGTTGGTGGCTCGGCACAGTCCCGGCACGGTCCCGGCACGGCTCGGTTGCGCGGTGGAAAAAAAGTACAAGGGTGGCAAGCGATCTCGGTTTGGCGAGATATCCGACAACCGCTCCTCACCACTGCCACGCCAGGCAAGCAGACGATCTTGAAGAAACCCAAAGCAGGTTTTTCCGTGGGTATGGAAGAACCCTCCCTCGGCCCATCGTCCGGAGGGGTTCCGTACGTGCGCTGGTTCGCCATGTCCACCACTGGCAGGCTTTCCGAAGCTTTGCTCCACGTCACGGACGCCTCCCTGCAACTTGTTTCCTCTTCTTCTACGCTCGCCAAAGGCAGGCCTGCAAATGCAAAGTGGCATTAGAGTTGTGGTCCGCTCGGGTGTAAAATAGTGCGTGGTTCGATAAAGATGGACACAGCGATATACCCCGGTTTACGTCAGGTGGATGCGTTCCCGAAACGTGCGACGACGAATATCATCTAAACGACATCAACCGAAGCGGTTTACAGGTTAGTAGTCAGTGGTGGTGGTGGAGGCGAAGGCTGAGAAACGACGGATAACGAGAAAGGACGGACGACGGTGCTGTCAGCGACGTGAGTGTGGGGTTGAGGCGACGTTCATAAAGTGACGACGCATTTGCGAAACGACGTGAAATGGGGAGGCGTGAATTGCGTTGTTACTGTACAGTTTATAGAAATATTGCATGGCCACTTGGGTAGACGACAGTTGTCTAGTGAAGCCTGACGACTGACATCGATCACAACTGGCTGTCAGTGACTGAGTACTTTCGTGGACTTAAGCAGTCCACCCAACCATATCGTCAATAACAAATTATTTCCTTTAGTTTAAAACAGAAGGGGGAAGCGGTGGTACACTGTTGAGCTTCCTGCACTATGAACCCCGCGGTTTGAGCTCCATTCCTGACCACGGCTAACATCGGTGGCGAGTGATATCGGGGTTCATTATAGCCCAACAAACCCACATGGCTAACGCGGTGTTGGAGAGGTCCTCAATCAACAGGAATGGGATACCCATAGGGCAGCGTTCTTCATTGCAAGGCCCGCAGGCCACTAGCGGCTCCTGGTGGCCTTTAGTGCGGCCCTTGACGTGCTGCTCCCGACAGTAGACAAATGTGAAAACACCCCCCACCGTCATCATCATCATCGTGCTGCTGTCAAACCACCCGATGGTTTCAAATGGTGTGGTGGCCCTCACACTGACGATGTCTTATCGTGGAAAGTGGGCCACCTCTGAAAATGAGTGAAAAACACTGCCTTAGGCAATACTAATAACGACATGTCATAATGTCATCTGCGGTGTAAGATGGCAGGGAGTGCCCTCACCAACTTCAGCAGGGGAGACGGCCATCCCGAAAAAGACGACGATTCCTCCAGAAAACAGGAGGGACGCCATCACGAGGAACGTGTACTGTTCCGCAATCAGAGACACGCGTATCATCATTCGTTAGTTTTAACGGTCTCATTTTTACTTTGCGTGCAATCTCTCTCGTAACTGTTCACTTTACAACCTCGATTAAAATGTATGTCTCTAGCTTACGTGCGTTCTCTAATCCCCGTGTGTCTCTTTCTCTCTTTCCGTATAATTCCCAGGCTGCAGGACTCCGTGTTTCTTTGCACACTTTCCATTTGCTATGTTAATGTTCACATGTCTGATCCATATGTTATTGGAGGTCGTCTGCATTCATTATATTTTTTAAAATACTTTTGAGCACAAACACTTGCTGGAAAGCACTACAGAAACCATGCATATGCATCATTTTTCTTCCTTGTTTTTATTAAAGTTTCGTACTATCCCATTTACCCTCGCGGCATACATCAGAATAAAGTTCCATTCCGGATCTTTGTAACTGAATATCTACACAGAAAGTAAAATGGCCTAGGATTATTATCACAGGAATTTGCGAAACATCCTCCAAGGGCTTGTATATCTAATACAATCTCTAGGCTGTACTCTTACTGGTAGGAACCTCCTTGTTACACCAGCCCACAGGGGATTATTGTGTCCGTCCGTATCGTCGTGCATCCAAAAATGGGAGGGGTGGGGCTGGGTGGAGAGGGGAGGGTGGGGAGGGGCTGGGTGGGGAGGGGAGGGTGGGGAGGGGCTGGGTGGAGAGGGGAGGGGAGGGTGGGGAGGGGCTGGGTGGGGAGGGTGGGGCTGGGTGGAGAGGGGCTGGTCACCCCGTGGTGCCCTTATAAAACTCAACGCTTAACCTACTCACGCCGGCTTGTGCCCGCCCTCACAGTCGGGCATATTTGCGGAATACACCACGCCGCCGTTGAACCTTGCCATTGACCGAGCAACCCAACGTTCCTACCAGCTCCCTCCGCAGAAATGTGTTTAAATACGATCAGAGGAGTGACTAGCTATTTCCGTCTGTTTGCCAGAGCATTTGAATGGCATCAGTGGTATGCAGCATTTGTTAAACAAGCCTGCTTCTGCTGATGAGATCCAGAAGTTCAAAACCGGTCCAGTCTGTTTACCGCAGGATGACATTGGTCTGGAGAGTCAATAGGCTGACTTACGAAAATTGATTTGTATTTACATGTGCATTGAATGGAGGTTTGCATATATGTTCTACCCATAACACTCCACAGCATTGCATACTGAGTTCGTATACAAATACTATGCCTGTCAGGCTGTTACAATATAGGGGCTTAACTGATCAGATTCGTGACAGTTCGTGTTACCGACTGCCTGCCAGATGAACAGATTTACAGATACGTGTACTTTGACTGACATACGGACATCTGACATAGGCAATCATGGATAAATGTGCCGGCTGACATTTAGAAACATGCGTTGAAAATAAGTTAATACCTGAGTGGGCTTTGCCGAGTAGGATGGGAATAGTTTAGTTTTATTTGTACGTGTGTGGGTGATTTGTTTAACTTTTTTGCACTTTGCACTCCTGTCATGTTTGTGCACTGTTTGTTGTTGTAAGGTTCTGACCTGCCCCTACTGGACATCTGTGAAAAAGAGCTTTATAGCTCATCGGATTCCTCCTGCAGTATAAATAAACACATTCCTGCGGAGGGAGCTGGTAGGAACGTTGGGTTGCTCGGTCAATGGCCAGGGTCAACGGCGGCGTGGTGTATTCCGCAAATATGGCCGACTGTGAGGGCTGGCACAAGCCGGCGTGAGTAGGTTAAACGTTGAGTTTTATAAGGGCACCACGGGGTGACCAGCCCCTCCCCACCGAGCCCCACCCAGCCCCACCCTCCCCACCCAGCCCCTCCTCACCCTCCCCTCCCCACCCAGCCCCTTCCCACCCTCCCCACCCAGCCCCACCCTCCTCACCCAGCCCCTCCTCACCCTCCCCACCCAGCCCCTCCCCACCCTCTCCTCTCCACCCAGCCCCACTCCTCCCATTTTCATTTTTGGATGCACGACGGACGGACGGAGGGACACAATAATCCCCTGTGGGCGAGTGGGAACCAGGTGGTTCCTACCACTAACATTCTGATTCTGAATGGAGGATAGACACAGTGACACACGAGCCTCACCGTGCAGGTGTGTTCACTGACTCGAGCGTGGCTCGCATACCTCATAGCCGTAGCCGATGACCGTGGAGACGAGCAGAGCTCCCAGGATGTTTCCAATGCAGCCGCAGGAGCTCCACACTCCAAATATGAACCCACGGCTGGCAAAATAAAATGTCAATAACGTCAGAAAAATGTAGCGGAAGGCGGAATAAATTATTTTGTGACGCTGCTGCTGTATTGGCAGCGGTGCACAAGCACGATAAACTAAAACAACTCAACACATTTGTCAACAACGCTGCGTTAAAAGTGGAAAAATATATAAATAATCGACGACGTTTTTAGGTAATGACCGTTCATCGTAGCACATGGACAGAGAGGCCACAGAGGTAATGAATCAAGAGTTCGAGACTGCACTCAGCACCTCCTCGTCTAAGTGATTTCGTAGCAATGACCTTGCGCTAGACGTCTCTACCTCTTGTTGCCAAACCAATTGCCCATGATAGCCACAGTGCAGGGCCAGCCAGTGGACTGAACGAATCCGTTGAGAGCCCAGAGGAAAGCGTAGAAGGGCATGTTGTAGAATCCCAGCCACTCCGTGACGCTCCCGAACACAAATGCCTGCGTGGGACACGAATACCGGTCACTTTACACGTAGAAGACTCGAAAAAGTTAACGAACGTTTCTTACTTAATTGAGAATCCGGTAGACTTTATCCCCTGTTTATAGCCCTGAGTCAGTGGTGGAATATTCCAACATTCTTACGGTGATTGTGAGTCTTTCCATTGAACAATAATTATTCATTTCTCATGTAAAGATGCAGTACAGTAGTCATAATCTCAACCCGTCAGCTCCGTAGCAAAGGCGATAACAGCCAGGAATTATGCACAGAGATTCAAATACACGTCCCTCGTTGTATGTCCTTCCAACATCGTAGTGCATTTGTATGAACGTGCAGTCACCGCACAGCTGCAGATTGGCTTCGGCTCAATCAGATGTTGAGAAGTGTAATCGTGAGAGACGTAGAGCCAGAGGTTTCTTACCACCAAAGCGGATAACCACATGCCCACGGACAGCACCAATCGCAGGTTAAATCTATCGCTCAGAAATCCGCTGATGTATGATCCCTGAGTGAAAAACACCGACACATACGTATGCAATACATCGACAATTCTGCTCACCATTGTTATTATTCACGCACACACAGTAAGAAGAGTTAACACTGCTCAGAGTGATCACTATTCAAATGCAAAGTCATACTTCCGCAGTGCATCAGGTTGCCACATCTGGGGTAGAAAAAAAAAACCTGGCCTCGCTAACAACACTTGCCCCAACAGTTTGTTCAATGCTATAAGGGGGATATTTGCCTTTGTACATATGTATGCATGTTTAACTTATTTCGCATCGTACATAGCCAACCGTGGTAGTCAGAGGTGCTGGATAAGGACAACAAAATATATACAAAAGTTTCTGAGCAAGTTTGGCCACTCATGGCCAGTATAATTCGGCGTGGTGAAGGTGATGGCAGACCAAAATGCACGGGAATGGACCCATGAAGTGATGCTGGCTCTGAGCACTGAATGTCGTGAATCAGGGCATATCTCTGCGTCACCTACCAGGGCATATGTGAAGAGGAATATGGTGTCAAGGGCACCGAGAAACAGTGACGCCTTTTCTTCATCGGGGAAGAGCGAGTGTGCTGACCAAATCTGCAGAGACCGATAAAGACCGATGCCACTTTGTTTCCATGTTCACACACTGGGAGGGTTAACGCAATATCATTGTTATATTTACGATATTACTTTGCACAGCATGGCGATTAACGCAACATCTACGTTCCATAACTTTGTAACTGTTTCATATTTTTAGCAAATATATTTTTGTATTTGCAGCGCAAAGTAAATATTGGCCAAAAGTTCTTCAACTGCAGTTCACTCAACATACACCTGCCGAAAGTATAATTATTCGTAAGTCGAGGACTGCCGGTATATATGTAAAGACGACTTCGACGCACTTGTCTTCAGAAGGTTTATTTTATTAAGGAGACACGTGCTCACACTCCAACAGGCGGAGACCCCCACTGCAACAGCTCCGAGTCTCCCGTGCATATCCCCTTATATACGGTCCGAGGCCACGCCCCCATTCCCGAACCTTCTCGCTGGTTCTAGATGCTCGCTCTACCGGCAGACTCTACCATCCTCTTCCGTCACCTGGCCACGCTCCTATTTTCGATCATTCCCGTAGCCACCAGTTCATTCATACTGCAGGCTGACTCCCCTGTCATTACCTCTCGTGGCCACTAGTCCATTCGTACTGCAGACTGACTCCCTTGTCATTACCTCCCGTGGCCACTAGTCCATTCGTACTGCAGGTTGACACCCCTGTCATTACCTCCCATAGCCACCAGTCCACTCACACTGCAGGCTGACTCCCCTGTCATTACCTACCGTAACCACCAATCCATTCATAGTGCAGGCTGACTCCCCTGTCATTACCTCCCGTAGCCACCAGTCCACTCGTACTGCAGGCTGACTCCCTTATCATTACCTCCCGTGGCCACTAGTCCATTCGTACTTCAGGCTGACTCCCCTGTCATTACCTGCCGTAGCCACTAGTCCATTCATACTGCAGGCTGACTCCCCTGTCATTACCTCCCGTAGCCACCAGTCCACTCACACTGCAGGCTGACTCCCCTGTCATTACCTCCCGTAACCACCAGTCCATTCATACTGCAGGATGACTCCCCTGTCATTACCTCCCGTGGCCACTAGTCCATTCGTACTGCAGGCTGACTCCCCTGTCATTACCTCTCGTGGCCACTAGTCCATTCACACTGCAGGCTGACATCCCTGTCATTACCTCCCGTAGCCACCAGTTCATTCATACTGCAGGCTGACTCCCCTGTCATTACCTCCCGTGGCCACTAGTCCATTCATACTGCAGGCTGACATCCCTGTCATTACCTCCCGAAGCCACTAGTCCATTCGTACTGCAGGCTGACTCCCCTGTCATTACCTCCCGTAGCCACTAGTCCATTCGCACTGCAGGCTGACTCCCCTGTCATTACCTCCCGTAGCCACTAGTCCATTCATACTGCAGGCTGACTCCCCCGTCATTACCTCCAGTAGCCAACAGTCCACTCACACTGCAGGCTGACTCCCCTGTCATTACCTCCCGTGGCCACTAGTCCACTCACACTGCAGGCTGACTCCCCTGTCATTACCTCCTGTAGCCACCAGTTCATTCATACTGCAGGCTGACTCCCCTGTCATTACCTCCCGTGGCCACTAGTCCACTCACACCGTAGTAGGTTGGCTGTACTGTCATTACATATCTATTGTGCCTCTTCTCGTTTCACATCCACTGTCCTCGCATCCCGTTCCACAACATCCTTCCCTCCCACCCTCGGTCTCCCTCTACTCCTTCTGCCCAGAACCGATGGCATCTGCATAGCCCTGCTCATTGCGTCTTTGTGCTTCCTCAACACACGTCCAAAACCATATGTTCCACAGATGTCCACTGGACATTGATGAAAAACAGCTTGATGGCTCATTGGAATCCTCCAGTATACATAAATATTCAAGTATAAATACATATGCCAGTAGAAATACATATTCCGATCTAAGTTCAGCTTCTCGTACCTTCTCGATTGCGCTCGTAACCCCCCACTATGGCTTGAGCTTCGTCACACACGGACCTCGCTGAGAGTAAAAACATTTGTGCAGGAGGAGAGATCCTGGTGCCTCTCTCACCTCGGGTGGACTGAGTGTTTCCGTCGAGTCGTTGATCGGCATTCGCGTCCACTCGCTGAGGAAGCTGACCTTGACGCAGCTCAAGGTTTTCCGCGTTGCGTTGAACAAAGCGTAGCTGTGAAACAGGTCGGCGAGTGGATCACGCGACCTGTGGACCGCTACTCCTGACGCAATACTCTGGCTCGATCACCTCAATGTAAAATCAGAGTCGTTGCTCTACATCAGCGGTCGGGAACCTATGGCTCGCGAGCCATATATGGCTCTTCCGGTGACGGCATATGGCTCCCGGACAATTTTGAGTTGAAAAAAATAAAAAAATAAAATCAGTTTGGAACTGATTTTAAAATACTTGTGATATTGCTTAATAATACTGTGTCTTTTTAAAGTAAACAGAAATTAGTTTTGAAGATAAATTTCACGGGTCACGGGTCCCGTGACCAGAAGTCGCATTAAAAGTAAGACATATTTACTTTATTATACGTTAAAAATACTATATGGCTCTCAATGAAAGATATTTAGAAATATTTGGCTTTTATGGCTCTCCCAGTCAAAAAGGTTCCGACTCCTGCTCTACATCCACATGCGCCATACGACGGAGGGTGTTTTTTTAAAATCAATTTGAAGCAAAGCAAGTTATTGGAGCACTTGTAAATACATACAACCCGAGTATTATACCTGGAAAATGTGAGAAGGAAGATGCACAGGTGATGCTGCGTGTATCCATGTCTGGTTAGAGCAGCATGCATTCTCGACCCACTCCAAGCATCTGCTCTCGAGCAAGGAAACAGAAGCAGCATGACAGATTGTTATTCACAGCACTCTCCGCCACGAAAACATTGCCAACACAACTCTGAACCGGGCCCTCTGCAAGCAACGCCTGCGTAACGGGGTTGCCCCTTACACGACAAATTCCTCCGTGTCTTTGTTGGAGTACAGTTGTGTTGAATTGACTTTAAAGGATACAGCAGTGCAGAAGGATATTATCTCGACAGGTGTGCGTGTGGGAAGAACGATGGCACAAGACCGTGACACGTGGAGGCATTGGGTTACCTGATGCGTCAGTGACGCGGGGCAGACTAAGTGCTAAGCACGTTTCCTGTAAAGATGCCCGCGTAACTTAAATGCATGACCTTTTGTTGTGTATAAAATAGAATAAATACAGTCCATTGTACATGCCGTGCCACTCTCGAGCCTCGATTAGCATGGTTGGCTACGTACGGTGTGAAATAAGTTCAACATACACGTCGATGCATTCCATCCAGTAGAATTCCTCACGATACCTCGTGTGTGTGTTTGTAGTTATATCAAACAGTTCAGACTGCTCTCTATCATTCATTATGTTGGATAGAAGACACATGAACAGAGTGCCTGACAGTCCAGCAGTTCAGCGCAGTATTTGGTAGACCCACTGGATTCAGCTGATGAGGCTAAAGCAGCCCACGATTTGCATGCTTTCAACAAGTGTGGATGTTTAACACAAGTCTGGCGGGTGAGCCCAGTAGCTGACTAATTATACTTTATTTTGAGATACAGAGTCGAAGATATTGATTCATGTATTTACCATAATGATCCATTACAGAAGTTGATGTGATATAATAATACTCATTATAATAATTGACACTGCTTTGTCAATTTACGACAGGGTGGAGGTCTGTGGCATTGCCTGCCTTGTTGGCTATGGGAATTATTGGACCAAATATAGGAACGTGCCCTGCCCAGGAACACTTACCATACTATTCTTAACAGTTTGAATGATGGCACTAATGGGTGTCTATTCACTAATCCACGTGTTCATCGCTCTCTCTCTCTCACACACACAATATCACTTCAAGCATTATCTTACGTAAACGCAACTTGTAACATCGCCAAATGATGACACGATTACATTTTTGGAGACTGGCTCTACGCAGGGAATAATTAAAAGGTCTGTTAGATTTTAGGTTTTAGTTATTTCATCCGGATGAGCTGTTCTGCTCTATTTGATGGGTATCCTGCGGCGGTATAGATGTTGTACAGTACAAATCATATTTACGATCATTGTTACGGAGGTCGCGATACAAACAACGAGTATTGGCACTAGTTGAGGAAGAGCCGAACTTGTCTAACCGTACGAAAAGCAAAACAAACATGAGTACGACATTACTTTTTGAATAGAAATAAAGGATGCAAAACGTAGCCATGAATAATCAATCCGTAGTGTTGATGTGACTTACGAAAAAATATTTACATTAAATATGGCAAACAAAAATAATCAAATCTCCACAATGGGAATTTGCAATAAAATGTAAATAATTCCAAAATGTCACACTTCAGATATGGAATTGATTATCATTTTTATTTATTTATGACCGTGACTCATCTGCGATTATACATTTTGAGAAACAAAATTTTCAACAGCTTTACGAAACACAACTCCGAGTGAGGCTTATAGCACTCACAACCCAACACGCCATTTGGCTCATGGAGATTGTTTTAGATGCCCGAACCAGGTGATGGCCCTACGAGACAACATAATGTTAAAAATTCTATACCCTGACGAATATTAGAGTCATTTTATTATTTCAACTTGTAACACGCACAGCATTTGCTCACTTCGTAGAGAAAGCAACTCGGAGGTGTGCTGAGGAACCACAGACACGCAGGAAACCAGCTAGGCGGTTAGCCGGTACCAACAATTGCCCAATCTCTCGGTCCCCTCTGTAGTAAAATGTTTACAGCCAAATGCATGAATCTTGATTTGAAGCTTTCGTGACCGCAGGAATCCATACTGCTTGGTTCTTTCGGTAAAGTCACGCAGGTAGAAAATAAAATAAATCACTATTTTTATACCTACGTGACTTTACCGAAATGAATGAATGCTTACATATGGAAATAAACCGGAGCACCAAGCGAAAACCTACACGTGTGAGGGAAAAACATTTCCCGTGTGCAGTATAGTCCTGCCTTCTGGCGAGCCAGGGTGTCACGGCACGGTGATGTCCACGTGGAGGGAGTTTCGCGAGAATTGTGTGGCGAACCACCAACCCTCGCTGCCCTCCGCACGGCTGGATTCGAGGCGTGCACCACCAACACCCGGACAAATGATTAGCAAGGCCATCATCAAAAGAGATTTGAGAAAGTCAGGGAGGCTTTCGTCGATACATAAAGAACATTTTTTTGTTAACTATAAAAAAAAGTTTAATGTGAAATTTTTCAAGTTTGGGAAATGTGTTTTGTTAAGTGCATATTTACCGACTACACAGTGAACACGTTTTTCACAACAGTTATTTCCAGGACAACACATCACAATCGATTGCCTCAACATATACACACATACTGAACTAGCTAATAAAAAAACTAGTCATACATTAATTAAAAAAGTATTTAAAAATTTGGCACGCATATTCAACTAAATTAAATGAGATTATGAAATTGTATAAATGTTGAAATGTGCCTGAAATTACGGAACTACATGTTAAAACGACACAAAAAGCTATTCACGCAAAAATGTAACTGACTCAAAACAAGCCGACGTGTTCTACTTATTTCCCAACAATTATTGTCTGCCCTTTATTACTCACCTACAGATCCCTGACGAATAACAGCAAGAAGACAAACAGAAATCCAATGTGAAGTTGGGTTTTTTTTCTTCTTCTTCTTCTTGCGAGAACTCAAGGAAGCAAGCCCCGTGCTGCCGGTCAGAGTTCTGCTGTCATGCGTCTGCGCCCGTGCGCTGCTTCTTAAGAGGCAACACGTGCACGATCTCCACCATGTGGGGCTTTCTCAAAGGCAAGTTACGCTTCGTATGCAAAGCACGGTTTAGGACATTCCTGGATGTGTGGCCACCAGAGCTACCCAGGTGTTGTTTCGGCATGCGCCTGAAAGGTGCGGCCAGGAGATGGCAGTGCTGAATGTCACAAAGACAAAGATCCCCCGTGTAGCCTTCACAGACTAATTCTAGATTTTAAGCTTTCGTGACTGCAATGATTCATATTCTTAGGTTTTTTCGGTAAAGTCACGTGGGTAAAAAACACATAAAAAAGTAAAATAAAATAAAATAAAAATCACGACGTTTCGGAGGCAACGCAAGCTTCCGTCTTCAGGTGGTACCGTCACAGCCACGACAGCTGTATCAAGTAAATGAGAGATTGCAGGAGCTACCACTCCGTTTATATAATGGTTGGAGAAGATGGTGGGGCAATGGCCGCATACTTTTTATTAATATGGTAAGGTGAGGCTTAAGACTAAGAATAGACTGCATAACAAAGGCTGAGCTTTTGTTATGGAGAGGTGCGGTTTGTGACTCAACCTGTGACAGGGGGTACCACCATTAAACATGGTAAAACTGTAATGGTTCTCTGTCAAATAAGATTGGCAAATAAGTGTAGTTAAATCTTTTTTGCATGGCTAATCACATCTTTCCAATGATTACTCAGTTTGTAACCGTCATCACGGTGCTGTTAGCGAGCAACTACGAAGGCCGGCACGGCACACGAGGGGGGTAAGGTGCCAGGCAGACCACGCCCGGCCGCCTTTGTCTCCCGAGTGGCGATGTTTACACACCACACTAGGCACTCAATTGAGGCTGAGTCGACCTAGGGGAGGCCCAGGAGCGGTTCACATAATCGTCACCGGTGTTTGCCGTGAGCGGGATGCGAACTCGGGTGGCCGGGTTCGTCGCACAGAGCGCTAACCGCTACACCACCGCTCCCACGAGTGTTTCGAACACGCATCCCCATGGGATATTTCTGGGTGTCTCCGATTTTCCTCGCCACATGAAACCAACCAACCACTCGTTCATGATGCTGACCAAACATTCATTCCTGAAGGCTACCGAGAAGCAAGTCTTGAGACTCAGTGGGGTTTGTGTCGGTAAATAATTGGCAAAATGCAACAGAGGACACGGTAGAATGACAATTCTGCGTCATATGGAAAAATGGAACATCTTTAAAAAAAGTGAAACTCCATAGAAAATAATATAGAGGCGTTTATCAAAGTGTCGATGCGAATTAACACGTTTAGTCTTCGCAACCACATCACCTGGACTTTTAAAGCCAACGTAGAAGGATTTCCTCTCACATTTTCAGATATTTTCTTCTATCAGATTCACAGCATAGGTAAACTTTTCCAACTAATTCACAACTCGTCTTCTGCAGATTACAGCTGGTATATTAAGTGTCGGTGACGTGGTTGTGAATGACTGAAAATAGAACTTTAAACAAACGTTGTCACGGTATGTACAACCCACTTCCTGATAACATCCAATACCCATTCTTACTACGTTCTATTATTTAATCATTATTAACCTGAGTTGTGTAACGTATTGTGAATTTTCTTCAAATCTTGATTTGAAGCTTTCGTGACTGCAGGAATCCATACTCTTTGGTTCTTTCGGTGAAGTCACGGAGTTAGAAAAATTATTAAAACACAAGCAATCGAAACGTCTTGATATATGGTTTATTTTATTTTCCTACCTACGTGACTTTACCGAAAGAACCAAAGAGTATTTCTTCATGTAATTGTATTCAAATTTTTGAAGGTTATTTCATTATTTGTGAAATCGTTTTTTCCGTGTTTGGTCTTTTGGGTTTGTCCCAAGCGTTGAGCACATCTTGTTTTTAGATTCTATCACGCACTAACTTGCGCTCCATCTCCACGGACCACTTGAAGCCACATTTCTTTCAATTAATTTCTTTTACTGAAGTGCAGGTAACATTTTCACGAAATAAATCATGAACATCAAAGTAACACCCACAGCCACCACAATTCACATTTGCTGATCTAGTACTCATAATATAGCTGTTAGGAAAGGGAATTTATCTACGACAATGCCGGATTATCCTAGTAGCAAAAGTAGCTACATATTCTACGGGCCCCGCACTTTCAAGGGCCCCACGCTAAATGCTTTCAAGCTATCAATTCCGGTAAATTGATTCTGTACTTGCTCTATTACTATAGTCCTATACTGCCTTCAACTTTTACGAGCGACTGGGTGTTTAAGGTTAGCGATTTGTCGTATTATTTGACTGTATTATAAATGAAAAAATACAATTAGGGGCCGTCCATAAATGACGTCATGCACCTGGGGGGGGGGGGTCAGACATTTGTGACCATGTGTGACGAGGGTGGGGGGGTAAGAAATGTGACGTCACATCAAAATGCGCAACTTTAAATAAATATAGACAACACGTTCTACTTAATTAAATACACTTTTTAATGAATGTTTTCTCCTACAACGTCAGAGTGCAGCGCCACATTAAATACGCACTACAATGACAATAGTTGAAAGCGGTTTGAAGAATGTATTTTTTTTGGGGGGGGGGGGGGGCAGAGCTTTGTGACGTCATATTTGAGGGGGGGGTCTGACTTTTTGTGACGCCGTGTGACGAGGGGGATGGTCAAAAATCGTCCAAAATCGCGTGACGTCATTTATGGACGGCCCCTTACTTTACTATGCACGTAACACAATTTAGATTGAAAGCTTTCGTGACTGCAGGGATTCATCTTCTTGGTTCTTTCGGTAAAGTCACGTAGAAGGGAAATAATAAAACAATAAAAATAAAACATAATAAAATACAATTCTCACGACGTTTCGGCCACAACGCAAGCAGCCGTCCTCAGGTGAAGAACAGGTCTGTCGGAAAGACAGCGTCTGAAGTTTTATTCGGCAATGATCTAAGATATTTAACACGTGACTCTGAGGATCATAGTACTCTGTGCAGGAGTCATGTTGCATAGGGATCGAGCGCGTCTGTTTACATTTGCCTGTGTGGACAGGTAAACGCTGCACTCGTGCCCTGCCCAGAGAACACGTGAGTCCCCGTCTAAACCATTTTACTCGGGGAAATACCCACGGACGTCGATACAGGATACATACTGGCTCTTACACAGTACAGTACTGGACAATCAATCAGTGCCACGTGTACGCCGTCATCAAACGGCGGACACGTGGCAGAAATCCGATGCGCTATAAAGCAATTTTTTTAAAATCCTTTATATTAAGTTCACTTGCTTGCTTGCTTGCGTGCTTACGACCGTGCAAATCTTTCGGTCGTTTTTTAACCCACTTCCCGTGATCCAATCGAGCTGAAATTTTGGACACAGACTCGTTGTGCGTGACAATTGATTTTCGTGAAAAAAAATCCAAAATTTTCCACTTTTTAGGACATTTTTTTTTTCATATTTAATTTAAAATACCAATGTGATAAAAATGAAACTCTTACTCAAGAAAAACAGAAATGAATAATAAAATAAAACCAATGCCACGCATATAAAGGATTTATAGTGAAAAACTTTGTTTTTACGGGTTAATTGTTTACAGATGTCCTGTCGGGACTGTAAGAAACGTTATACTACAAAAAAAAACACTATGCGATGATCAAGCACCTTTGCACGAAACGTCGACTAGTTAAAGTATGTGTATAAGTTTTTTTTCTTTCAAAAATGATGTGCTATGAAGTAGGGTCATTGCCCGAAACGTCTTCTCGCTATGTGCTGGGGTGGTGGGGGGGTCTCAGTGCATTGGCTCTGTCCCCCTGAGTAAGATGGCGGCCGTCGTCCACACCTTTGTGACGTCATGCGCGGTCGGTGACGCCGGGCCTGCATCGATTCAGCCCACCAGCGAATCAGTGAAAGAGGAATCGAAACACGCGTGAACGATGTCAAAATAGGTGTTCAAATAACACCAAGGTTTTTTTAAAATACAATATCAATAATTATAAATACGAATCGAGGTAAATATCGCAAGATACTTTTGTTTGAGATCTAGGCAATGGATTAGCCCCTGCGATTCCATCTGTTGGAACGGTGCTGCATCCCGAATCGATTATAACAAATCGGTTCTGTTGAAGGTATCCTGTTTAATCCCTGCAATATCTGTACGGTCCGTCCCGTGTGCTCTGTCGCCTAGGCTGAGAACAATCACCCCCCCCCCAGTGTAAACTCCGCCAAGCAATGGTGCGATATTGGGAAAACAATCGATTTGTGCTGCTCCAGAATCGACGTGCGTAATCGATAGAATCGAGAGCGCCGTGTGTGTGCGTGTGTGTGAGCCCATTCGTCCGTTGGCCGCTCGCCTCGAACGTCGATCAACTTCTTCTCGGGCAACTTCGTAAAACTGCAAGTCGGTAAATGACGACAGCTTTACAATCCCCGCAGCTACCTTGAATGAGAGAGGTTCGTCGCCCGAAACGTCGCCCGAAACGTCGCCTACTGCTGCCACAACGAACGTTCTACTTTTAGAACGTGGATTTTATGTTATTGATTCGTTGTATCGGCTCAGTGGAGCGGAGTGCCTGTAATGCGTAACCACAGCTGTCAACCCCGTACGGTTTTCCCCGTAATCTTGTAGATACAGACACAAAAATGTTTGTTGTTTATTTGTGTTTCTCCCTAGTGATGGGACTTGGTAGAATGATCGCTGAGATTTGATGACCAATGAGGTCTGAATTGGTCTGTAATAAGGCAGGGCACTGATAATGCTTTGCCAGGTTTGCATAACGGTGACGATAACAGCAGCGGGAATTAATTGGCAGCGTTAATTGACGAGCGGTGGATTTTAGCAAACAAAAACATGCTCTGGTAATAAAGAAGGGCTGTCTCTGGCGTAGACCAATCAGTTTCAAAGACAATGCATTTATTACCAGAGCACATTTTTTGTTTGCATGTTCACCACTGTGGTTAATGCAGACATAATTCCTTGCAAAATGATTCTGTCTGGTGTTTTAACATCTTAACACCTATGAGACCTCCTTTACCAGTAGCAAAATATAGTAATAGGTTTTTATCCTTTTATCTGGTACAAAAACTGACACATTTATACAAGGGGTCATGTTTGCAATAACCACAACACAAGCAGTCAAAATGCAAACAAAAATAAACAACTCTGATAATAATATGCACTATCCTTGAAGTTGATTGGTCTACATCCGAGACAGTTTTCCTTAGAGCCTAGTCTAGTAACACCAATGGAGACTAGGCTCTAAGAAAAGCTGTCTCGGGTGTGGACCAATCAACTTCAAGGACAGTGCATATCATCATCAGAGTTGTTTCTTTTTGTTTGCATTTTGACAGATTGTGTTGTGCTTATTGCAAACATGACCCCTTGTATAAAGGTATCAGTTTTTGTACCAGATGAAAGGGTAAAAACCTATTACTATCTTAAACACCTGTTTTATTGCCAGATGGGGTACAACCTTTTCCTAAAGCTTTGTCGCTCTTTAACCCCCAACATCAGACGATGTCCCCCGGGCGGGAGTCGCTCTTCTCGCTGGAGCTGCTGGTGGAGCTCATGGTGCTGGACGCGTCGCGGGCTCCATGCGTCTCTCCCGGCGTGGCGCTGCGACTCCTCGACTTCCCCACGCTCATGGTGTACGCGGCTGGCAAAGAGAACAGCAACAGCATCGCCATCACCGGCGGCAGCAAAGGCGGCGGCGGCAGCAACGTGAAGGAGTTCCACTTTGCCAGGGGCAAGTCCTGCCTCTTCAAGATGTGCCCGCACTCTCTGCGTGCCCACTTGTCCACAGCGCCCCTGTACGCCATGGTGGTTGACGTGTGCGGCGGTGGTGATGGTCCGGCCACGCCGGCCCCACCCGGGCGGGCACCTGGGAGGCGGCCGGACCTGGGGACGGGAGGAGCACGCGCCGAGGCTGCGGATGAGAGACCGCTCGCCCCGTTGCCCCGCCTGGTAGCCACCGCGTCGGTGTCCCTGGCTGGTGTCGTGGACCAAGCAAACGGTGGCGGTGGCAAGAGAGGAGTGTACGACCTCCGAGACCTCATGGGCAGTGACGTCGGCCGCCTGCATTTGGCTTTCAGGCTGCTGGACCTGGGGCGATCGAGTCTGCTGCCACACCTGGGACAACACCTGGAGCCACGCCTGGGACCACACGTGGCCCTCTCAGAGACCACCTCGTGGGTGGTGAATAGGGGTCCGGCCACTGGGAGTTGGAGCGCCACTGGCCTGGTCTCCACCGAAGACGGGGCAGGGGTGGCCAGCAAGTCGGTGGCGATTCCTCGGGGACGAGGACACGCGGAGGTGACCTCTGCAGAAGATAACGACGCGGCTGTGATAATGAAGAGGGCATCTGCTGGTGCCGAGGGAGATGGAGATGTTCACAACAGGGGCGACGTGGTGGCCGTTTCCACCGTGGATCCCGCAGCCAAGTTCAAAGTGCGTGCTGGGTCGCAGGACCGGCGTAAACTGACCCAGCAGCAGAAAGCGAAGGCATCGGATGAAGAAGATGAAGCAGTTGACTGAGAGCGGCCTTGCGGATAATGTGTTTTGCCCTCCTCCCCTTTTCTACAGTCATTCGACCGATGATTGTCAAGAAATTGATGGCGTTAATGTGGAACAAGCATATTTGGAAGAGCTGCCACAGGCAGCTGTGATTGATGAAGGTGATGTTGAAGACGTCTCTGTGGAGGTTGGGCCACCAACGGGACCAGTTGAGAAGCAGATTGATGATGCTGCCTCTGTCCCCCAGAAACCGAACCCCTCCGCTAGGGCCAGAGTTCAGGTGTCCCAGAGAGAAAGCACCGGTGCAGTTGGCAGTGCTCTAAGTCAGTTGCCTCTGTTGAGTGCTCTGCTGACTGAACTGGCCTTGTTAAACGGCCAAGGTGCACAGCTGGGCAACCTTACAAATGTACAGCAGGGATTTCAGAGGCTTGGTCAGCAGAGGGACACTGGACTCGTGCACACAGAGCGCCAGAGAGCGCGCCAACATTCCCCAGTCGCGGCCAACAACAGGCAATTGTCGGCGTCGACAGAGGGTCGACGGTCCATTACACCCACGCGGCAAAGGAGACCGAAATCTGTTTCTCCAAAGCCGAAAGCCAGTGCCAAAGTAAAAACGCAACGTGGCGTTAAGGAACGGGAAAAGTGCAACCAGCCACCTGAGGTGAAGAAAAAGAAGCTCATGTTCGGGATTACGAACACCCTCCGACTGCGTTTGCAGAAAACCAACCCTGGCCTCCTTTTGAAGCAGGAGAGAATGGAGGCGCAACGAAAGCGAGAGATGGAACGCCTCAAGCCAAAAGCTGGGAAGTTCGGAATATCTGCCCCAAAGGGACGGTGTGGAAAGAAATCAAAGCAACCCCATCGCCAAAACACACCCATCGATGAGTACGTAGAAACATTAATAGAAAGCAGCCTGGATGTGGATTCCCCTCGTTCAGAAAAAGAAGTTCAAAAACTTTATACGCCAATGCCCGTCGCCCGAGCACGTCTGGAGAAGATAGCCGAAGTGGACAGCAGTTCAGGCCACACATGGAGCCACCATGAACTACCGCCGCCGTTAGATTCTTCATTAAAGGACTTGGAGGAGCCTGTCTTTGATGCCATGCCTTTGTCGATCAGAGACCTTGAGGTGAAGGCATCAGGTGGTGCATTATCCGTGCGACTACCTAGGGCACCATCACATCACTCGCAGCCCAGTTGGAATAGTGATGATGATGATGATGAATTTGAACATGGTTATGAGTTTGAGGTTGATATTCCCCCTGCAGTTGTAGGGAGGATGACGCAAGAGGAGCAGTCTTCTAACCGAGAGTGGGGTGATCGGGAGAGAGAGAGTCCCGTAAAGTACAGTGACGACTACGCCAGCAGCCACTGACCCCCACTTACTCCGAAGACTTTGCTTCAAGTCCAGAACCCACCAGCCGACAATCGAGTGCATTTAAGAGCAGCCCAGAGCCACGTGCACTTTCCCGCGCACCAGAATCCGACGCAGACTCCACTTCGACAGAGTCCGATCACAATGTTGTTCCAAAGAAGTCAAAAAATGTATTGCGAGAGACATTCGTCGTGAAGAAATTCCAAGAGTTTTCGGAAAGTTTAGAGGACAAACAACCTGTTGAGGAAAAGGGGAGAGGCAGATCAGTAGTTTCGTGAGGATTCGTCTGATTCGGATCGGTCTGGCCTGTCGGATCGCTCCACTGATCGATGGAAAGGAAGTCCAAATGAATCACAAGTTTGTAGGTACAGTGCCATCGGTGAAACCCGCTGTCAGCCCCAGGGTGGCCTTGCTTCGGAAGATATCGACACTGGAGAGCTCTTCTCTAGAAGGGAGTCAATCACTCCACACTTCTCAGGTAGTTACTAGAGTTGGTGGATCACGTTGACCTTTTTTAACTCGCTGGGCTGTGATACTGGCAAAAAGGGTCCCATCGATTGTGACTGGTCATTGACAATGTATGCCAATTACATTAGTGTATAAGCTGTCACGAGAGAGTATCTTGTTGAAAGAGGCCTACTTGCCTACACATTCTCAAATGTCTACAAATAGACCAAGATAATGGCATAGCGTATTGATTGCACATTTTTTCTGTTTTGCAAAAAGTACCATTTCATATAGTACACACTAACTTGACATGTTGGCCACACAACATGGGGATAAAAAACAATATCGTGCGTACATGTTCACGCAGAGCAGCTTTTTCTTTCTGAGCTGCATTTAAAATGTCACTCGCACAGATGTCCTCAAAGTGCTGATGTCTTTCTGTCTGTGTTCAGGTGAGCTCGTACGTTCCCTCCAACCTGTCGGACCTGGAGATGTCGAACCCAAGTGCCCTGCAAGAGGGAGGGCGATTGAGCAGCCTCGACACTCTGGATGAGAACCTCCCGAAGGCAATCTCTGAGCTCAAGTTGGCTGCCAAGCTTCCTGGGTACACCATGTGAAAAGAAGGGCCTGCATTTCATTCAGAGGGGCTCACGACCCCCGTAAGGACTAAGCTGCTATTTTGGTGTTTATATTGTCCCATCGAACGTCAACTGTGGACTCTGTGTATGCTACCACTACACTAATTTGTCTTTGTATGGGAGGATAGTGCCAGAGATGAGTACAATGCGTTGATAAGAGGGCGTCTTGTCAAATTGTCTTCAACACATTTAAAATATGATTTTGATTATCCGCTACATTCCATTAAAGGATTCAATTATCGTAGCATTAAAATATGGTCATATTTTTGTCTGTGAATGTGCCACTTATTTAGACAGCTCATCTGCTGCGATTTGAATTAACTGTGGATCGGCTGGATCAAGTGTACAACCAGAGTTGCAGACAAAAGTGATGCGGATAAATGTACTGTAGTTTTGGATTGAGAAAAATAGCCTTTTATATGATGGCAACAAGATAATTGATGTTTGTGTGCGTGTGGTGTTTGTATTAATTCATCTTAGTTGATTTTTATATTTACCATCCATCAACACTAATTTATTAAAATGTATTCTAAGAACAATTCCTTGCGTGAGATGTAATGTATTTTCATATGTTAATAAAAGGCAGCTTGTCAGACCTTATAATCTATTAGTTATTCACATCTACATCTTTTTTAATGTTTCACTTTTCTAATAGGAAGAAATACCCTTTAGATTTTTTTCTTCCAGTTTTGAAGTTTTGTCTAAACTAAGCTACATACGAAGTGCAGTGGTGGTGCAGTGGTTAGCCCACTGCACTGAATCTGGTGACTCTAGTTTGATCTCAGGGCCACAACTTTGAGTTGAACTATGGGGTGGCCACCGTAGTGTGAAGTGGCTCTGGTTACAGCAACTTGACTCAATTTGGAAGGTTGCTCGTTCAAATTCCGGTCATGGGTTGGCTTGGCCCAATCGTACTCTGGAGTTGATCAAGTAAGTACTGCTCGAGGGGAAGTCAACAGTGATCGACACATTGATAGACTGGAACATGGACTCTCCCTTGCAGGATTAAGGCCATAATACATTAGGGCAATCTTTGCTCGCAATTTTCCCCAGCATTACATTTGATATGAGCAACTCGGGCAACCTGATTACACATCGGCATGTAGTTTTGTCTAGCCAAATAATGCATCGTGTAGTTTGATACCATTTTGTTGATGAACAATGGTTAAGATACAGACTTGACCGTTGAGTTTCTATGTGATTGTGATTAGAAGTATTAATCCGAGTTGCCCACTAGAGGGAGCAGAGATCAGATGTGTCCAGGTTTTAGGCAACTGCAGTGTTTCTCAATACTCAGGAGTGTTGCGATCCCATTGATCCTTTACCCAGGAGGACATTGACTCGAGATTTTATTTGAAAGTGTGGACTTCAATTTGCGTTTAAGATACAGCACCAATGTGTTGGGACAGTGTTCCATGCAAAATGATGTTTCGTGCATAATATTTGGATTTTCTAACCAAATACCTCATTTTCCTACAACATTAACATGTTCCTGTAGCGTTAAACATGGGGAGAGAGAGGCAATGGGCCAGGCAGAAATGAACATAGCAAGACTACTCGCACTAAGAAGCAAAGAAACGGAAGAGTGTGGGTGAGGCCCTGGGTTTCAATCAGAATCTTTATATTGGAGGAATCCGATGAGCTATGAAGCTTTTTTTTTTTTACAAAAGTCCAGTAGGGGCGGGTCAGAAGGTCATAACAAACAATAGGAAAGCACGCTAGGAGTGCAAAGTATAGGAAACGTAAGCAAATCACTAAAGGGGCCGTCCATAAATGACGTCACGCGATTTTGGACGATTTTTGACCCCCCCCCCTCGTCACACGGCGTCACAAAAAGTCAGACCCCCCCCCTCAAATATGACGTCACAAAGCCCTGCCCCCCCCAAATAAAACATGCTTCGAATCGCTTTAAACTATTGTCATTGTAGTGCGTATTTAATGTGCCGCTGCACTCTGGACGTTGTAGGAGAAAACATTTATTAAAAAGTCTATTTAATTAAGTATAAAGTGTTTATATTTATTTCACGTTGAGCATTTTGATGTGACGTCACATTTCTCAACCCCCCCCTCCCTCTGTCACAAATGTCTGACCCCCCCGCCCTCCTATATGCGTGACGTCATTTATGGACGGCCCCTAAATCGGCACCGTCAACCACGCGGAGGTTCTAAACCTCTCATCTGGCACCGCGGGGCCGCTCGCTATACGTGAGCCATTCGCATGCGAATCTCAACGTCAAGAGATTAGATTCGCCAACTCGGCTCTAGGTTCGCTGTCGACGTCCGTCGTGCTCGAGTGTGTTTTTAATATTTCTACATTAAGTCGCACGCTTCGATATCGCCGCAAATTAAAAGTCCGCTGAAGACGTTGGTGAATGTGGGGGCCATGACGGCGCCTCCACACAGACACGTGTTCCTGTCCGGGAAGCCGGGTATTTAATTACCGCAGCTGATGTTCTACATCAGGGGTCGGGAAACCTTTTTGACTGGGAGAGCCATAAAAGCCAAATATTTCTAAATATATTTCATTGAGAGCCATATAGTATTTTTAACGTATAATAAATAAAATGTCTTACTTTTAATGCGACGTCTGGTGCTGCGTGGTTTTGCTGATGGCCTTGTAGTCTGGTTCATACGTGGTGAGGTTGAGCTGCGTGCAGGCGTGACCCGTGAAATTTATCTTCAAAACTAATTTCTGTTTGCTTTAAAATGACACGGTCTTATTAAGCAATATCACAAGTATTTTAAAATCATTTCCAAACAGATTTTTTTTATTTTTTATTATTATTTTTTTCAACTCAAAATTGTCTGGGAGCCATATGCCGTCACTGGAAGAGCCATAGGTTCCCGACCGCTGTTCTACATTGTACACTTGCACAGGGCACTGAAATCCGTGGTTTCATTGCCTCCCGTGTCTTGAGGTTTCCTCTCTCATCACGCTGCATTTGACTCTTCCCCCCCGCGTCTCTTTCTCTCTCTCTCTTCCCTCCCTCTCTGTTGTCGTAACTTCCTCAACTCGGTGGAACGTCAAGGGTGGTGAGTTTGTTAATTAAGGATAAAATACGTGCCACCAGAGAAGAAAGGGTGCCACGGTGGCGAGATGTTAACTACCTCGCCTGGCATACAGGAGGTCGTCGTTTCGACCCCGACGCCTTGCCCTGGTCGGGTGGATTTTTATATTTACAGGTGTCAAATATACAGGTGTCGACCTCGACACCTGTATATTTGGAGTTTGCGTGTCTCTTCTCCTGGTCGCGTGGATTTTTATCCGGGACCTCCGGTTTTTCCTTCCACATTTAGAATCAACATGCGTTGAGGCTATTTGACTGGTATACATTTCTACATAAACCACTTCGTTGAGCTAGCATTTGTGGTCAGGTCGCTTCTGATAAAATAGTTATATAGCTGTGGGTCTTGGTAAAATTACATTTTAGTTTATATTTTAGTTTGAATGTGGAATTACCCTCGCTTTGTCTCAGGAATTTGGCAGTACAGGGTGCTTCAAAAATATGTTAACACGTCTGAGAATCTGCAACAATATCACAACAAATGTGCCTCTAGGCTCTGGAGACCACCTGGAGAAGATTCCAGGCATGTGTGCACAATGATGGAGAACAAGACTCTTTGAAGCTATTAACATACTTTTTATATCATGTTACAGTGTATTATCTGTTCTCTTTCCGTTATAAACGATAGTGCCATGTAAGTGTTAAAATTTTTTTGAAGCACCCTGTAGTTGGAGTAAGGAGCGTAGGCCTTTGACACCCCAGACCATGAAGACATAAACTATAATCAGCTTGTTTAATGTACTTGTGTTGTTTATCTGAGACAGGCGTGGGGAAGACGACCCTGGTGCGGAAAGCCTGCGAGGCCCTGCGTGTGGCCGGTCTGGGAGTGTGGGGCTTCTACACCGAGGAGGTGCGGCAGGGCGGCCGGAGGATTGGTTTCGACATCGTGTCTCTGGCAGGAGAGCGCGGCACCCTGGCTCGGCTCGGGTGAGCGAGGGGAGGGCATCTACCAGAGTCCACGACGTGTGGGGAATCCTTGCTACGCCCTGTGGGCATCTGAGAAATAGAACTTCTTAGCTCATACGATTTCTCCAGGATAAATATTCCGATTCTGGGTGTTTGAGCAAAGCACACCTGAGGTCAGTAGTGTTGTGTGGCCGATATAGATCCTGGTGCAAGGAATTAAATTGCCACTATAATTCCTACACGCTTCGTGGTAATTAAACCACCTGCACATATGCAAGCTATGCCACTGAAGTAAGCTGTCCCTGTACCGAGCCCTTTGCTACTCACAGGGCATAGGCGCCTTAATGTTTAAAATTTTAATGACAGTTTCAATGCTTCATCATTCATCTCCATAAAAACTGAATAACAGTCATCTTTGTGATATTAAGTGGAATGTTTGCTTGAGATGAATATTCGTCGTTTTAGATTTGGCGTGTTTTCTTTCACGCAGCTGTGATGGCGGTGGTGTCCCCTCTGCGCACCGGGAGTATCGGGTTGGACAGTACGCTGTGGACCTGGCCTCGTTTGAACAGATTGCTCTCCCGCTGCTGAGAAACGTGTGTTGAGACAGGGAGACCTCGAACCATAATTTACACACCTACTGTGCCACGTCAATTTAAAAACTGAATTTCATATAGCATGTATTGGATTTCGATTTAAAGCTTTCGTGACTGCAGGGATTCATCTTCTTGGTTCTTTCGGTAAAGTCATGTAGAAGGGAAGTAATAAAATAATAAAAATAAAACATAATAAAATAATTGGTTTAATCGGAAATCTAACTGGATTTCATAATTGATGCCAAAGCTTTAGATAATCGATTCCGTAAACGATTATTGAAAATTTTACAATTGACATCGTGATTTGCAACTGACTGGTGATGTTTTGTCTCTCAGCCATCGGACCCAAGTGCTGGTGGTGCCCGAGTGCTGGTGCTGGATGAGATAGGAAAGATGGAGCTGTTCAGCCAGAGCTTTGTGCAGTGTGTGCGACGGGCTCTGGAGATTCCCACCACAAATGTGCTGGGCACAATACCCGTGCCAAAAGGCAAGCCTCTGGCGCTTGTTGAGGAGGTCAGAGGCCAGTGGGGACATCAAATTGTTCATGGTATGTTGAGAACACCATTATATTCAAAGAAATATCCCGCATTTTTAAAATATAAATATCGGTGTTGTGGTTAGACATGTACGTTGCAGGTGTATGAGTTGTGGTGTGATGTTAGCATTACATAATCATGTCTGTTTGTACATATTTCATTTTGACCAGGTCACGAAGGAGAACAGGGATTCTCTTTTGCCAGCCATCGTGCAAGCAGTTCAAGAATGCAAATGATTGAAAGGCAGAGGACAAATGGCATTGAATCTCTGCATAAATATAGGTTGACCACAAATTGCACTGGTCACATCAAAACTCCTTCTGCATCTTCCTTCAACCTCGATGTTACATGTTGTGTTGCCTCTGATGTATGTAAACAGCAAGTGGCACTGTGGTTAAGTGTTCATTCCTTAAGTTGAAAGCTTGGAATTTAAATCCAAATTTGGGGTTAACTCTCTCACCCCATTATCCTTCCAGGTTTGATACAATGAACACCGTTGTGGAAATGCAAGCGATTACCCCATGAAGAGAATAGACCATCATGGGAATGTGGATTTTCCACCACTGGTTTAACCACCTATATAAATATTGACACATTGTGCATTGGCAAAAACACAATGTTTTGTGCTGCTAATATGTTGTAACTTATATTTGGCTATTACAGATGCTTTATAAAAATATAAGAAAGTCAAAACATAATAACACTTAAAATTATTTGATGCAAAGCCTTTATTTACATAAAGTGTCGGCATATGAATGAGCTTGAGCCAAATTAAGGGCTAACATTTTACTTCAGGCTAGATAAATAATGCAGGCTGAAGTTTATAATTTGTACAGTGCACCTTATAAATATTTCTGTGCTCAGGTTTGTTTTCTTTACATGAGTGTTGAAAGTGTTGCAGTTGTAAATAAAAATAAATGTCTTCACTTTTGTCGTGTTTTATTACATATGGAGGATATAAGATTCGGTCATTAATATTGAAACTATATATACACACACACTTGAGAAAATCTAATGTCCAATTCAATGAGCGTATTAATCATCAATAGACTAAGCAGTACACTCATCAAAAAGTGCCCATATGATTTATGTACATGAAATATTGTGCACGTTATAAATTGCATTATTAAACATCTTAGAAATATGCATTCTATTTTTTTGCAGGAACAATTGTTACAATGTTTAACATGTACTTAATAGAAGGCATTACACTTTCAGAATCTACAGTTAATTGTAAAATATCGGTCAAACACAATGTTATAACAGCTATGACAAGGCTAATAAGGCTGTTCTAAAAACCAAATTAACATGGTTGTGCTGGTGACGGATTGCTGGAAAAAAAACACTGGGACAATCTTGAGTGGGTTGGGAATTCGGTGGGGATGGTATGCAACCTTTTATACATCTCTAAATAAATAGAAATGAAAGTTACTATCTTCTGTATACGTTGGCACGAAATGCAATTTTTATTTGCGGCTCGTAACTGTAAAGTAATTATGACCAGTAATTTGGCAGACTGGCAACGATTGAGAGTTGAGTCTTCTCCATGTAGAATTATTCAGCAGAAAAGTCTGTCTGTTCCACAAACAAAACAAGCATGGTTGCAGACATACAGCATATGATTTCAAAAGCACAAAATATGTACATGTTTAAAAATGTATATTTAAATAACCCACCAAGTACTTCTTTAGCTCGTCAGCCAATGGTTTGTCCATCAGAATTCTGAAAGAATACACGAGATTAACATTTTTAAGAAATACATTAAATAGAATCCAAATAAAATCAATGAAATTTTCTTCAACTCTTTTCTGTGTTCCCCAAATATAAGTTGGCAGTGATTTTGTAAAGGTATGTTTGGATAATCCTTTATTCAAGAAAACCTAAAATGTGTCTTACTACATTGAAGAGAGTTTCTTGAACATTTAACAAAATTCGTGGAAACTGCAGTGCCGAGAAAAAACGAAAAGATCAAACAATACAGTACTCAAAATCTGCTGATTGTAAAATAAAAATTCGACAAGGCAATCGTGTTATTGCTACATTAGCTTCCCAACATGAAAGCAAGTAAGAATGACTCGGACGGATGTACTAACTTATGTCATGCCAAAATATAGTACCGTACATTTATACGTATCCAGTACTGTATCCATATCTCATGGTATACAGCATACTTTGTCAAGTCAGCGTGATAAACATGGACCTACTTGTGTAATGAAAATATCCTAGTGTGGAAAGTTTACATTCAAAACCAGAATGTGTTTAGACTACAGGAGGAATCCGATTAGCTATAAAGCTCTTTTTCAGTGTCCAGTATGGGCAGGGTAAACAAGTTACAACAGCCATGCAATTTACAACAGCAAGTGGCAACATACATGACAATCCATAAGAGGTGTTTTGGGTTAATGACAATCCCTCCGAGGCAATCAGCTTCTAGCACGACCCCTTACTCCGTCTTAACATCGATTACTTTAACATGGTCCGTTTTCATTGTTTCCATCGCATGTCTTATCCATCCACTTGCAAATAAGGTCGATGGGCCGTATAAACAAATCACTTGGAATTCGTCCCGACCTCGACAGATAAGCAGGGCCTCGACGATGCCTGGGATCGGCGACCATGCATGCATAACAGGTGTTATAGGCTGCGAGGTTCACTGGCAGAGGCCAGTGCAGCACACTCCATAGCTGTACGCTCTCGTCTATAGCCTCCACCAACCCTCACTGGCCAGCGTGAGGTCAAATATACCCCCTCGACACCAGCTTGGTGTGAGAAGAGCCTCATCCAAACAGTGGATTGACGGGACAGTGCTGTAACAAATGTAAACACACATCTCTTGAGGTGACATCTGTTCAAACCTCACTTCTCCAGGGCGTCGTTGACGATGGACACGTTCCTGGTGATGGCTCTCGTCACGACCGTGAGCTTCTCCAGGGACTGGGAGAGCGAGGAGGACGCGGGGAGGAGATCACTGGGCTCCCACGCTTCGCTGCCCTCCTCCTCCATGGGGGCCGCCATTGCCGCTTCCCGCCAAAATTCGTGAATCGATTCCTTGAAGAATCGTTACCGTGTGGAATCGAGTTCCCCGATTCGCTGAATGGAATCTAAACAGGATTCAAATTCGTTCGGGAAAGAGCAGAGTTCGCTGCACAGCTGATTTAGGGGCGTCCATAAATGACGTCACGCACCTAGGGGGTGGGGGGGGGTCAGACATTTGTGACGATGTGTGACGAGGGGGGGGGTGGTGAGAAATGTGACGTCACATCAAAATGTGCAACTTTAAATAATATAGAATTGTTATAACAACACTAATTGTTATAACAGCACTAATTGTTCTATCAACACTCCTACAACATCAGAGTGCAGCGCCACATTTAATACGCACTACAATGACAATAGTTTAAAGCTATTTGAAGCATGTTTTATTTTCAAAATGGAAATATGGTTTTTTGGGGGGGGGGGGCAGAGCTTTGTGACGTCATATTTGAGGGTGGGGGTCTGACTTTTTGTGACGCCGTGTGACGAGCGGGGGGGGGGGTCAAAAATCGTCCAAAATCGCGTGACGTCATTTATGGACGGCCCCTTAATAAGAAATATAGGAGCACAAAACCTCAACGCATTCGTCAAGAACGCTGCCCTGGAATGAAAATAAATATATATAGCTGGAGACGTTTTGGCAAATAGCCATCCTTCATGGCAGAGATCATGAAGAAGGGGCATTGCCCGAAACGTCACCTCATCTCTGCTGCACAGTACACTTGTGATTTGTGCTTGTGCACCACCGCCAATGCAGGATGCCAACAATATCTACTTGTTGGCATCCACAAATGGTATCCACTCATAGGTGTGGGTTTTCTGCAGGTATCCCCAACGAAAATCAACACTCTACGTTACATTAATTTGAAGAACATTATTACATTAATCGTCAGATTATGCTGCATTTAATATGCATGTACAGTATTACATTCCATCACCACTTAAACACTGAGGAATCAGTGATTAGACTCTTACACTTTTAAAAAGTAATCCTCACAACAATTTCCAGTGGATAGAGAATGACCAACAAGATTACGACTGTTAATTGCAGGGGTTTATTTCAGCCAGAGATACCTGGGGCTGAGTTCCAGAAAATATTCCCCTGTCCCCCCCCCCCCTCCCCTCCAGCCCCCCCCCCCCCCCCACCTCCCAAACAACAGAAAATATTCCATAAAAAAATTAGGCCCTGGTGTAGTATATGTGTGCATGTGAAATAGAAGCTGTGTAAACCTACACTATGATTTCCTGTGTACAGCGTTTGAGCGTAAGTGTTCAATACGTATGGTTAGGAGCTTCAAAGCCCTGTTAATGCTCTTAACCTTGCTGCCTTGGCTCTCTGTAATGTGGAACATTTTGAGCTGCTGAACTCAGCTCAACAGACTACAGTGAATATAGATCGTCACTGAATAATACATGTTGCAAATATATGATGTTCCATATTAAAGTGTTGCTTTTTCCATGCAATGTATTAAACCATTAATCTACCGTCATCCCTTCCAGGGTTGATACAATACGTACCATTTTGTAAGAAGTTACAGAGACTGGTGGATAGCATCAGAATGTGGAATTTCCACTACCAACTTAGGGCTACCTTTTAAAAAAATAACGACATTCCAACGTTCATTTTGTGAAACGAGCTTTTAACAGCGCCTGTGGCAAGAAATTTGAAGAAACATTAAAATACAAAGCAGTAGGTTATATAGTAATGTATTGGTAAGTTTCATAAAAACCTGAGATATATATTTGTAATTTTATTTAAGGCAAACATACTGCGTAGTATTTTTCCATCTTAGACAATTACATTTAACACCTTTGACCAAAACACCCACACTGTGCCTGACCTCGTAATATCTATACACATATTTCTAGGTGATATTCAAGTTGAGCAAATTTTAATGATATACTTGGAGTATATTGAACTACACTGTATTAAAATGTATGATTCTATTCTTTGATTCTTGCATACAGCAATTTGTTCAAGATCTAAATGCTGCCATCGGATCTAGAATATTGCTTTTACATCACAAAGTGGCTTTTGGTAATTTTGTGCTGAAATATTAGGCAACTGTGGGAATTTATCTGTTATAGACACACACGCTGTCTGTTTCATGACCTCTAAGGTTATGCTGTTGCTTAGAGTTCTTAAAAATTAACACTTTGCACTTTTAAAAAATTAATCAATCTCATAAATATGTATCCTGCTCATGCCACAAACTTTATCCAGCCCTGATTGATAGCCACTAATACATTCCAGGGTTCACGTAAGTACAGATGGGATGGAAAATATATGCGTGGTGATTGGTGTCAATACATTGTGCAGTAAATAGCACAGGGGATTTTAGAATGAGCAACTGTTAGCAGCCAATACGGGAACAAGACCAGAGATGCTTAGAACAACCAGCTGAGTGTTAGGCAGACACAACACAGCGGGTTCGCACAGTGGACAATTTAGACAAATCATCTGGCTTCGAAGTGCACCTCGCCTGGTACAAGCGTCGTGGTAATTCCACCACCACCGTGGTGAGTGGCGGTTGTCTTTGTTATTTGTATTGGTGTAAGTGTTGTTGTGGCCGTAGTTATGCTCTGAAAAATACAGATTCAGTAATATGTTGCATTTCCGACTCACTGGGGAGTGAGGTGTATGCAGATAGGTGAAAAGGTCAGATAAGGTCAGAACTTCTGGAAAATATCTATAGAAAATGACAGTTTGCAAACATAATTTACCTTGCAAACATAATTTACTGGACAATATGCCATTTATATACGGGAATGTCTTCAATACAGTACATTGGAAGTAACTTCATCTCAGATTAAGGATACATTTCTACATGTAAATAGGTTGGATTAACGACCATTCATAGATATTGACAGTTATACCATACACAAACACTGCATTGGATATGGACAGTTATTTGGTCAGGACGGATATGTGATGGTCGGATTTGCGACATATTATTAATCAAAATTAGTCTTTTGTGGCTCAAGGAAAACGGTACATTTGGCGCATTAATAGGTCTGCCATCACTAAATAAGTGATAGGGGGATGCATAGTGTTGGGGTGATTTATGGATAGGATTGGGACTATTGATTGGCTGTGTTTTTTGAACAGCAGTACATATTTCATACTTCAGGGTAACGGTTGAAGAGATGGTGGTCGTGGCTGTCGGGAGGGGGCGCAGGAGAGTGATAGAAATGTAAATGGCGATTGGCAAGAAAAATGTATTTGTGACAAATAGATTAACACGATTCGAGTAGACAAGTGATGATTTTATGGGGGTGCCTGGGGAGGCAGATACCCTCCTAATAAACAGCGGTCAGTAGCTCCTCTGTGTTGATCATTCATTCAGTTTTTTTGTTTTTCTGTTTCATTTATTTGGTATAGCCCTGTGAGCCATTCGGCTCTTGAATCGGGTGCAACCGCAACAAACAAAAAACAAAAACATGAACAAGAAAACATCTTAAAGTGACTATGTGCAAACAGAAAATCCAAGAAAAGAGAGCAAAAAAAGAAACATAGGCAGCGCTTGAGGGTGTTTTGGGAGCCACTGAAGTTGAAGATAAAGAGGTCATCACATCCAATGCCGCTTATACCACCACACCGTGTCATCCCTTCCTTCCTACTGCCAGATCCCACCGCAGTTGCAGTCTACACCTGACCTCCAAGGGCTGCTTTCACATTGAAAGTGTGGATGTGGCCATGGGCTTCACTTCTCACTGAATATTTACGAATTGTGAGTGGACTGGGAGGTGGATGTATGGTAGCCACAGCGAGCGATACAAGATGCGGTGTGCCTTGGCGTGGACATATTTTACAGATCGCCAAACACGACAGACCCGGCTGATATTATCCATAGATAAGCCCCCCCCCCCCCCCCTCGTATTAGGTCGTGGCCACCTTCATTGCCCTGTTTACTGTTGCCGACAAGCGCTATTGATAGAGATATCTGGATGGATCTAGATCATTGTTTTTCATTGCAAGGCCCGCTGCTGTCAACCCCCCAACAGTTTCAAATGTGTGGCGGCTCTCACACTGATCTGATGTCTTAGGGGCCGTCCATAAATGACGTCACGCGATTTTGGAGGATTTTTTACCCCCCCCCCCCCTTCGTCACACGGCGTCACAAAAAGTCAGACCCCCCCTCAAATATGACGTCACAATGCTCTGCCCGCCCCCCCCAAAATAAAACATGCTTCAAATCGCTTTAAACTATTGTCATTGTAGTGCGTATTTAATGTGGTGCTGCACACTGATGTTGTAGGAGTAAAACATATTTTAAAAGTCTATTTAATTAGGTAGAACGTGTTGTCTATATTTATTTAAAGTTGCGCATTTTGATGTGACGTCACATTTCTCAAACACCCCCCCACCCCCTCGTCACACATCGTCACAAATGTCTGCCCCCTTAGGTGCATGACGTCATTTATGGACGGCCCCTAATGTCACATAACAGTGGAAAACCGACCATAATGATGAATTTAAAAATCTCCACCAAATGAACACCAAACAGTGGGTCGTACTGCTCTGCTAGAGACCGGGATAGATATCTTTACATGCCACTAATACCACAATCAGTAAGACGCTATAGCATTTCAAACACAATTGCTTAGACTTCTAAATTTGAATCATTATTTGGTGGCACTGTGTTGGCAGGCTGCTCTATCCTGGAGCAGGTTGGAGCAGCCTGGAGCAGGTTGGAGCATCCTGGAGCAGCCTGGAGCGGGCTGGATCATCCTGGAACAGGCTGGAGCAGGCTGATCCAGCCTGGGGCAGGCTGGATCAGCCTGGAGCAGCCTGCAGCAGGCTGGAGCATCCTGGAGCAGGCTGGAGCGGGCTGATCCAGCCTGGAGCAGGCTGGATCAGCCTGGAGCAGGCTGGAGCAGCCTGGGGCAGGCTGGAGCGGGCTGCTCCAGCCTGGAGCAGGCTGATCCAGCCTGGAGCAGGCTGGAGCAGCCTGGAGCGGGCTGGATCAGCGTGGAGCGGGCTGGAGCATCCTGGAGCAGGCTGGAGCAGGGGCTGAGTGAACGCGCGGCTCCACAATTGGCCGCGCGCGTCCCGTTACGAGGCGCGCATTGGTGGAAGCGGCGCTGGGCGGGGGTGGCGCTCCGCGTGGCGCCTACAGAGGGCGGGCCAGTGAGCGAGTCAGTGAGTCAGTGAGCGAGTGCTGGTGGTGGTGCTGGTGGTGGTGGTGCTAGTGGTGGTGGTGCTGGTGGTGGTGCTGGTGTTGGTGGTGGTGGTGGTGTTGGTGGTGGTGGTGTTGGTGGTGGTGGTGTTGGTGGTGGTGGTGGTGTTGGTGGTGGTGGTGTTGGTGGTGCTGGTGTTGGTGGTGGTGGTGTTGGTGGTGGTGGTGTTGGTGGTGGTGGTGCTGGTGGTGGTGCTGGTGGTGGTGCTACAGGCGGCCGCTGCTCCTCGTGCAAGAGAGAGGGAGGAGGAGAGAGAGACGCTCCATCCCTCCCTCGCTAAGGTCGGGGACGATTGTTGCGGCTCTCTCCCGCATTGCTGCGCGCTTCGACCAGAGAGCCCCGCGCTGGTCGTGGCATTGAGGTGAGTTGCCCCTTTGTTGCCAGGCTTGAATGGTGTAGTCCGTGTGTGTTGTGTGTGTGTTGTGTGTAGTCTGTGTGTGTAGTCTGTGTGTGTGTAGTGTGTAGTCTGTGTGTGTGTGTTGTGTGTAGTCTGTGTGTGTTGCGTGTAGTCTGTGTGTGTATTGTGTGTGTTGTGTGTAGTTTGTGTGTGTTATGTGTAGTATGTGTGTAGTGTGTGTGTTTGTTGTGTGTAGTCTGTGTGTGTGTAGTATGTGTGTAGTGTGTGTGTTTGTTGTGTGTAGTCTGTGTGTGTGTAGTATGTGTGTAGTGTGTGTGTTTGTTGTGTGTAGTCTGTGTGTGTGTAGTATGTGTGTAGTGTGTGTGTTTGTTGTGTGTAGTCTGTGTGTGTGTAGTGTGTGTGTAGTGTGTGTAGTGTGTAGTCTGTGTGTGTGTAGTTTGTGTGTGTAGTGTGTAGTCTGTGTGTGTAGTCTGTGTTTGTTGTGTGTAGTATGTGTGTGTGTTGTGTGTAGTCTCTGTGTGTGTGTAGTCTCTGTGTGTGTAGTGTGTAGTATGTGTGTAGTGTGTAGTCTGTGTGTGTGTAGTGTGTAGTCTGTGTGTAGTGTAGTGTGTAGTGTGTGTAGTCTGTGTGTGTGTAGTCTGTGTGTGTGTGTGTAGTCTGTGTGTGTGTTGTGTGTAGTCTCTCTGTGTGTGTAGTCTGTGTGTGTGTGTAGTCTGTGTGTGTGTGTGTAGTCTGTGTGTTGTGTGTAGTCTGTGTGTAGTGTGTGTAGTCTGTGTGTGTGTAGTGTGTGTAGTCTGTGTGTGTGTAGTGTGTGTTGTGTGTAGTCTATGTGTGTGTGTTTAAGGGTAGTGTACCGGTGACCCGAATTCGATTCCCGCTCACGTCCATTCAACACCGGGTGACTATTATCTGAACCGGTCCGGGGCCTCCCCTAGGTCGACTCAGCCTCAAACGAGTTTACCTGGTACGGTGTGTTAAAACACCGCCCCTGGGGAGACAAAGGCGGCCGGGCGTGGTGCTGACCACCCACCCCTCGTGTGCCACAGCGCCGGCCTTCACAGCACTTGCCCCTACAGTCTGTCGCAGGCTACCCGGGGGATCTTTGTTTTAATGGTGGAGCGGTGGCGCTGTGGTTAGCGTCATTTACGTTACATACCCTGCGGCCACCTGAGTTGGATTCCCGGTCCAACATCACTGGGCGCGCGCGATTATTCGAACCGGTCCTGAACCTCCTTTTAGGTCGGCTCAGCCGCAAGTAAGTCGCCTGTGCGGTGTGTAGCCATCCGCACTGGGGAGACAAAGGCGGCTCGCTCACAGGCACTTGCTGTGTGTTGTGGGGGGGTCTGTGGTTCGTCCTCTATTGTCTCGTGTTCGCTTATCCGAGTCAGGTTGTCAGTAAACACGTCGTGTTGGAGAGCAGCAGCAGCAGCATTGTGATCACCACCACCATGCATCACCATCACCACCATCATCACCATCACCACCGTGTCTCACCATCACCACCATCACCACCATGCATCAACATCACCATCATCACCATGTCTCACCATCACCACCGTGTATTACCATCACCACCATCATCACCACCGTGTCTCACCATCACCACCATCACCACCGTGCATTACCATCACCACCATCATCACCACCGTGTCTCACCATCACCACCATCATCACCACCATCATCACCACCGTGTCTCACCATCACCACCATCATCACCACCATCATCACCACCGTGTCTCACCATCACCACCATGCATCACCATCACCACCATCACCACCGTGCATTACCATCACCACCATCATCACCACCGTGTCTCACCATTACCAACCATGTTTCACCATCATCACCATCACCACCACGCATCACCATCACCACCATCATCACCATCACCACCACCATCACCGCCGTGCATCAACATCACCATCACCACCATCACCACCATCACCACCATGCATCAACATCATCACCATGCATCACCACCACCATCACCACCATCACCTTGTTTAACATCCAGTCCATTCAGCACCCCCCCCCCCTGACCGGCGTGGTGAAGTATGACCAAATAACGCCTCCGTGCGGGGAGAAGCCCTTCACTCTGATCAAGCCACGCGCCCTGCGAATTCACTCGTGCACGGCCATGTGGTTACGTGCTTGCTGCTGCTGCTGCTTGTTGTTGTTGTTATCCTCCTCCACCACCACTGGTTGTTGTTGTTATCCACCACCACCACTGTGCTCTTGTTTGGATGTTGCTGCACACAGTAAACACCCCACGACGCTACGGTGATATTTGCCCGGCACGGTGTAGAACGCAGTGCTTCGTGTGCATCATCATCATCATCATACGCCGATAATACGGTGAACATTTTATCTTCACAAATATGAATGCACCACGTAGACTGTTCTTTACCGATGACCGGTGTCTACGTACAGTGCGGTGCTGTAGAGGCTTTGTGAACGTCGTGTTCACGGGCACAATGTTGGCTGGATGGCTGCGGCACGCAAGGGACAGGATATATACAGTCTACATATTTATTTAAATGAATATTTATTCGTGAAGAAATACGACACCAATTAAATATAAGATCCGTTTACCGGAGTGGCCATGTCCACCCCGCCCGGCATTGCCCTGTGCATGTTTGTTTCTCTGCCTGTGCTTGTAGACGTGCCGTGTGGCTTGCACGGTGGACACAACCCACGACACAACGTGGTGGTGGGGTGGGTGCTCAATGTAACGCAATGCACGTGGCAATGTTGTCTTATATACACCACGGTCAATGCGCTCTCTGTTAGCGTGATAAATTTATTTTAACCATCAGTTATTTCTTTCGACATAATATGATAGGCTGTACCTGTGTTTTGACGGTAGAGTCCTACGGTATTATTGAAGCCCTCTTCTGGCTAGCAAGGCCTCAGCGTCACATGCATTTAGCATCCGAATACATTGCTGCCATACACAAGCAGAGAATGGAACTGCATTTTTATTTAATTGGTCCACACTAAAGACAGATTTCTTTCGAGCCTCGTCTCTAACGGTGTTAGACCACAGGACGCCAAAAGGTGTACAGCACAAAGACAATGTCACTATCAGAGTAATGAGAGCTCGGGTTAAGCAGATACATCATGGGACCTCCTTTGCCAGTACCAAAATATGAGAATAGGTTTACTCTAATAGTGCTTGACAATGCATATATTATCAGAGTATGATTTTTGTTTGCATTCTGACCACAAGTATTGTGGTTAATGCAGACATGATTCCTTGTAAAACGTTTCATTTTGGTGTTTTAACGTCATACAATAAGATGCATGGGAATATTGCGCTACGATGGGAGGAAACAATAAAAAAACTAAATGAGTTGAACTACCCGGCTGTAAACGTGAATGGTGATGAATATTTTCACGTCACAAACTTGCACCACCACCGAAAGCCGGTGGTGGAAATGTCACATTTCCATTGTATCTGTACGAAGTGGCTGTAAAAGGATTTTGAATTATGCGGTGCAGTAAAAACAATATTGTAGGAGCCAGAGAACATTCCAGACACCCCGAGGTGCACAGGGAATGCCGTGACACCTAGCCAGAGAGTTGTGTCTGGGCCTGCCATCAGGAAGGGCCTTAATGGTGGTAGACAGTGGATCAACAACTCAAAAGCCCAGGGTATCTTGATGGTGTCATAAATCTTGGATCAGGTCAATTAATTCGTGATAGAGGTGTTTCTGAAGCAGACAATATAGTGTATTTCCAAGTCTACAATATTTCTTTGAAAGCATGGCTGACAAGATGGTGTTGCATAGACATTTTCTCAGCCCTTTTGTGTCATACTGGGAAAGGAGATACCAATTAGTTTTACGTGACAACTCAGCTCCGAAACAAGCACACCAGTAAGGTGAACCCGTTAAGTCTGGTGAAATTCTGCCCTTGAGCCATGGCGTCACTACGATAAGCTCACCAAATTCCTATCTGCAGCAAAGATTGGCTGTGTGAATGTATCCTCTGTTTTGTGTCCACAGAGACTTCACTTGTGGTCCGTTGTTGCATCAGCCATACTATTGTGGGGATAATGTATGCACACAGTCTGCCCTGGGTAACTATTTAAATCCAGTGATTAACAGATATATGTAGATTTAAAGCTTTCGTGACTGCAGGGATTCATCTTCTTGGTTCTTTCGGTAAAGTCACGTAGAAGGGAAGTAATAAAATAATACAAATAAAACATAATAAAATAATTCTCACGACGTTTCGGCCACAACGCAAGCAGCCGTCCTCAACAGACCTGTTTCTTCACCTGAGGACGGCTGCTTGCGTTGTGGCCGAAACGTCGTGAGAATTATTTTATTATGTTTTATTTGTATTTTATTACTTCCCTTCTACGTGACTTTACCGAAAGAACCAAGAAGAGATATATGTAGGTCAAGTATTTTTCGATTTAAAGCTTTCGTGACTGCAGGGATTCGTATTCTTGGTTCTTTCGGTAAAGTCACGTAGAAGGGAAATAATAAAATAAAAAAAATAAAACAAAATACAATTCTCACGACGTTTCGGCCACAACGCATGCAGCCGTCCTCAGGTGAAGAACAGAGCTGTCAGAAAGACAGCGTCCTTGCTTGTGTTGTGGCTGAAACGTCGTGAAAATTTTATTTAATTATGTTTTATTTTTATTATTTCTCTTCTACGTGACTTTACCGAAAGAACCAAGAATATAGGTCAAGTATGTCTGCAAGGGAAATTAAAGTTTGGTGCATCTTGGCTCCCTTGTATGTCCCACAGCCCTTCCTCTTAAAAGTTAGTGAGTGGGCTTAGACAGGAAATATCACCAGCAGGGGTGGTGGCTGATGGTGACGGAATGGCAGCCAAAATAGAGAAAGATTCCCAAGAGGATGCCCGCTGTGAAGATGGCACGATTGATATCAGCTCATGCACAGGAACGAGGTGGATTTTGGCATCGCAGGACCACGAGGAATGGCGTTGACGCGGGGAAGCCGTCAGCTGGCAGCGGGTGCATCGTGGCTAATGTTGATGATATGCACTTCAAAACTATTTTGATTGACTGACATCTGAATTCTAACCATGTTTCGGGAAGGCCTTTACGTTTGAAATTCGATACAAATAATGTCTAAGCTGAAAACTAGTTTTGAAAATCAAACTTTTCAAATGTGCACCCCTATCGATATATTGCCAGGAGGTTGATTGTTTTTACTCGTATGGTAGAGTCTGCCTAAAGTTATACGTTTCTTAAAGTGTCGTGTGAAATACTATACGTCATATATGATGTCCATAGCAGACAAAGCCTTCTCTATACATGAGTCGTACATAATTCTGTACGCACATGTATGCACTAACACTTTGAAAGGTGTAGATGATCTACTTGAACACATAGGGTATACATATTTAATGAATTAATCAATGCATGGCCATTATGTTTGAGTCAGGTTGCAGACATATGCTAAAGCGAATGCTGCATCATCATCATCATGATCATCAGCCGTAATCAATTTCTGGGCGAATGTTTCCCAAAACTGTCGCCGGTCTCACGGTCCTGCAATACGTATAACAATCCGCTTAGCACCTTCACACGAGCTGCGTTTACACCACTTTTGCAAAATGTTTGGTTGTTCGTATTTTATTTCAACGATAACATTGTTCACATACATGAACAAAGACAAACACCCCAGTATAGCTTTAACAGACTTTTGGGGAAAGTGCTGTTAGCAAGCACCTATGAAGGCTGACACGGCACACGAGGGGGTGGGTGGTGGCCGACACCACGCCCGCCCGCCTTTGTTTCTCCAGTGGCAATATTTTTACACATTGCACCAGGTACTCATTTTAGGCTGAGTCGACCTAGGGGAGGGCCCAAACCGGTTCAGATAATCGTCACCAGTGTTGATTGGACGTGAGCGGGAATTGAACTCGGGTCGCCGGGTTCGTAGCGCGCTAACCGCTACACCACCGCTCCTCAGATACATGAACACATGCACGCATCCCTCATGCAGTCCAAGGCGAGAATACTTGTTGTCCATCACCCTCATTGTCTCACCGATCCATCGCACCCCTTGCCCTTTAACCTCTCCTCGCTCGCGACGTTTAGGAGGGGATGGTGCAGGGAGCCTCATGCAGCTTCCAGTGGAGCGACAGTCACCGGGGAGCTTGGCAGTGAATGGTACAGCGATGTGAAATTATCTGTGACAAAAATTGTGGATCCTGTTATCCACGATGTTGTCCATGATTTTGACTCCACTTACGCACGAAAAAATACGGATAGTCATGGGCAATATACCGTAATTAAGAATTGGGGTGAGGTTAACCTGGGTATTTTCGCGGACCCTACAACTCCCGCTGATGGGCGTCACGGGTAATAGGGTCGCAGTGGAGTTCTACCAGATGAGGCTTGTGCGTTTGATTAAATTCTGAGCGACTTTTATACAATACAGTATCTACGGTGTTGTATGATCATTACATTGCTGTGAATGTGACCGTTTTGTTTTGATGTCAAGCTGTACTTTTTTTCACTGTATTACTCTGGAGGTTCCTAATGAGGCGGTGTCGGGTACAATTTACTGCCCCTGCTTCCTCTCACTCAGGATTTGGCTGCGATCCCAGCCGTTACAGCAGCAGCAGCTTGGACAGTGCAGGGTTGTTCCCTTCACTCGGAGACTACATCACATTCCTCCCTTCCTCTGGAAACTTGAGCGCTGAATCCTGTGGTGGTGCACGGCTTGCTTCTACCCGGTATGTGTACGGTGTTTTTTCTGCAATATTTTGCTGTCTTTTCTTGGATTTTCTGTTTGCACTTAGTCACATATTCACTTTAAGATGTTTTCTTGTTCATGTTTTTGTTTTTTTGTTTGTTGCGGTTGCACCCGATTCAAGAGCCGAATGGCTCACAGGGCTATACCTAATACATGAACTTGAACTTGATGTACCTTCTCGGTTGGCCGGTGGGATTTCGCGATGCGCCGAGTTGGAACGGTGTCACTCCGGGGTTGGGGAACTTTTTTTGTGCCGATGGTGGAATAGGATTTTGAAATAGTTTTTGGCGGGCCACAATAATACGCACCTTACCGTTGTCCAGTAGTGCTGTCACGCAAAAAGTAACACGCGCCTACCTTTATTGTACTAGTGAGACGCCTGTGCCTGCTTTTCTCTCCCCAACACGTTGATGCCGAGTCGCAGGTCGGAAGCAAACGTGCGGCTCGGGTGCTTGCAATGACGGATAAATAAGTTGTGAGAAGGTGAGAAGTGGTAGCCCTCGTACGGCTGTGGAGCCGCGTGAGACGAAGTCGCAGGATGTATCCCGGCCCACAGAATGTAGGTTCCCCAACCCTACTGAAGTACATGTCAACTTAATTTTCCCGGCTTTGCATTTACACATCTTCCTGTACGAGTGAAACGCCTCTTATCCAACGCTGGTATGGGAGGCCACTGTGGGCAGATCTGCGTTAACTACGTTTGTCCTCGCGTTTTATTCTTATCTGCGTAAAGAAATGTACAACATGATTAATGATGGCATATATTTTCTGTCACGTCCGGGTTACTCTTATCCGTGCTCGGCATGGATAACAGGCTTCATGATGTACTGTACTTCCGGGAGAATACTTATGGTCAATTTAGATTGGGTGTAAAGCAACAACAGGGTGAGCGGCAAAGATAAGTCATATAGGAGGAGTTTTGAAGTAATCACGATTGCAAATCGCTTCATGGAATTGGGGACGATGTTAGTACTGTACATGCTTTCATTAATTCACTCAGTTTCTCGAAGTATTTATTCAAGTGCTGCTCTGGTGGTCTTTATGGACATCTGTGAAAAAAATGCTTCATAGCTCATCGGATTTCTCAAGGATTAATACATAATTTTTTTGTGCTTAGTTTGTTGTCCTTACCACGCACCTCCGATTAGCATAATTGGCTACGTACAGTGTGAAAGAAGTTCAAGATACATACATTTTCATTCTGAGTCAAGGGCTGTTCTTTTACCATGGCACCGAAAATGTTCTGTTTTTTATTTCCTCTCCTCAATCACGTCCCTTTATTACAGACACAAAGGTAATGTTACAGTGATACAGGGAATAACAATACATGCACTGTACAGTTTGTTACCATGAACTAAGAAAGGAATTAATCAGTCTAGTTTCATTTTCGGTCAAAACTGGTGAGTTTCAAAAGTTATTGGGAGGATGTGGGATGAAGCTCTGAGCACAGTTACAAGCTGAATAGGGGTCTCGCAAGTTAATAACCAAGCTATCCAGTTACCATTCTCTATGCAGCGCATTGTACCTACATTTACATGTGTTGTGCGAGAGGATAACCCCGGTGATACGAGTGTTTTTACGAGCAGATGTGAGTTGTCATCTTACTACGTGAACACTTTCCGACAACGTCCTTGACACGTTACTTCACGTGACACGAACCTTGCGTGGTGATATTTCATGCAATCTGGGTGCGGTGCAGTTTCTTTCAATGTTAAATTGTAATTTTAATCCTTTCAGCGCTGCTGGGCACTTGCATGTATGTTCAACTTTTCCACAATACGTAGCCAACCGTGCTAATCGGAGGTGCAGGGGAAGGACAACAAACTAAACACAAAGCCTGTGAGAAACATTTATAATGCGCAGTGGTGCTGCACGCGTATGGCTATGTGACTGGCCTTCATGCAACAGATTATAGAAACAATGTGTGTTTCCGTTGAGAAAAATGTGTTTTTACATCACATAAGCAGTTCTTTGATGATGCACATATGGCAGTCTGTGTCACGCACTTTCAGATGCGCTTCTGTGGCTGTCTGGAACGCTCTTCCTTCCGATATTAGGAAGCCACTGGAGCTTATACACTTTGAAATCTAGATTGAAAACTAAAATCTTTAGAACTGCTTTTTGTGTTCAGTTTCTTGTAGCACGGTTTGATATGTACGGTGCAAAAGAAGTTCAGCGTACATACATGAAACAGCCCAGGCTTGTTGTTCACTGAAAGAGGGGATGTCTGGGAGGGGTTGAGAAGCCCGATTGTGAAATGTTACCCTTGAGTCCAGCACGGTGCTCTATACTCGGGGTTGTAAAGATGCGTTGATTCTTCTATTAATATAATTTCTTAAGTGCATGATACATGTATCGAATGGCACGTGCAAATACCAACGTTCTTCAATTTGTGTATGTAGTATGTAATGGTTTAATGTGACCCCCTTCAGTCACAAGAGGCCGTTTCGTTAACTGCAGCGTTGAAAAATTAACGGGATCGAATCGTGACCCAATATAGCGACAATTAATTGAATTTTGGTTATGCCACTTCCTGGCGACTGCCCTTATCCACAGATAATTCTCAATAACAGTAAGAATTGATAATGAGATTAAATGTTTTTCCGCAGATCAATTTGAATGGATGGGAAAACATGAATACTGGACAGTGTTGGTTAATAGGACAGAGAAGAGGATAGTCACTTTGGTTTGCATTCGCCTCATTCTAAGAGTGGTATCTGGTAAATGTATATGAAGAAACACATTCCTGTGGAGGGAGCTGGTAGAAACGCTGGGTTGCTCGGTCAATGGCCAGGGTCAACGGCGGCGTGGTGTATTCCGCAAATATGGCCGACTGTGAAGGCGGGCACAAGCCGGTGTGAGTAGGTTAAACGTTGAGTTTTATAAGGGCACCACGGTGTGACCAGCCTTTCCGCACCCAGCCCCATTCCTCCCACCCCCCACCCAGCCCCACCCTCCCCACCCAGCCCCTCCCCACCCAGCCCCTCCCCACCCTCCCCTCTCCACCCAGCCCCACCCCTCCCATTTTTGGATGCACGACGGACGGACGGCCACAATAATCCCCTGTGGGCTGGTGTAACCAGGAGGTTCCTACCAGTATAAATAAAAAATTGTCACTAGCGTTTCATTATGCGATTATTTTTTTGGCTTGGATCCGAGTGGTGGAGTGACACAGTAAAATTTTGCTTCAATCTTATCTCATTGCCTTCTCATACCGCTTTAATACGCTCAGGCCCTCTGCCCAATGTGCTTCGCATAATTAACATCAATCAACACATGCATATCACTCTGAAACTGGTATTACATGTTGTAATTCTGTCTGGGGTCCCATATGCCAGTCTTGGAATCTATCTGAATTCATAGCATTTCTAATGAAGTGATGTTTAATGAGAGTGCTATTGTGGCGTGATGGCTTAGAGGATTTTTTTTCATCTGGTTGTGAAAATCTAAACCAATTTGCATATGGAAAAATGTTTAGATTAAAGCTTATACAGTATTTGTGTTTCAGACGTTTGTACAAGCATGAGAATAGAGACTTATGGCAACGATTTGGCTTCTCACGAGCAGGATTTATATACAGTACGGCGCTGTGTTTAGATGTACACTGGTCCATCGCGGGTTTGTGACTTTGCCAAAATTCCTTATTTGAAAAATTTGCACGAATGCTTTGGCTGAGACATTAATACAAGAACTGCCAGTGTGAAAACACAATTGGTGTATTCAGGTTTCTCCCATAATAAAGGTGATCACATTAGGGTCGAACATGGTTCACTTGACAGTCGACATACAGCACTACTGTATGTGTGCATGCATATGTATTGTTATTGGTTTATCCATAATTTATGGGCATATGCATCAGTAATACGTGAGCGCAGCATCTAATTCCTTATTCTGTGTTTCGTATACCTCAAGCCACCTTACATGCAGGATAACTATTCTCCATCGTGATGTGAATCCTATTATTCATGGGGTCATTTGTGATTCTGTGCCACTTGTCCATAGGAAAAGCCACGAGTTTTTTGTGGTTTCTTTTTAAGACGAGCACAGTAGATAACACATTCCTGCGGAGGGAGCTGGTAGGAACGTTGGGTTGAGAAGGAGTGACCCTTTTGGCCATAAGAAGTGCCGAACCAGAACATCTCTGATTCCACCTTGGAAACATCAATGCAAAGTGTAGTGCAGTGTAACATGAACTTTGCGTAAATACGAATGGGAAAATTTAAAGGAGATTTAATGGTGATAATTATGGGGATGTGTTGATATAATCGGGTTAAGCACTTGAGTTATCACCTGGTCAAACAATACATTTGTTGGGGGAGCACATAAGGCCCTGTCGAGAGGGTATTTTGGCCTAGTCTTCCACACTGACAAAACGTCTTGGAAGAGTTCAGAGTACCCACACTTTACCCCTCCATACTTGGTCTGCGGGGTGGACAGATGTGGGGGATTTTAGAAATGTGCCCGCTTTGCTAACTGCTGTGTGGGGAGATTGAATCAGCAATGTCCGGATTTATTTATTCTGGGTTTCGCCCAGCGTGTTAACCATGATTGGACTAGAGCATCCCAAGCTACACTATTTCATTTACCAATAATGGAGAAGTCTGTCATAAAAAAAAACTAGCCATAGCACACTGCACATAGCCGATCTGCCACCCACGTGTCTCTGCTTTTCATTTCAACTACAGGAAGTACTTTTAATCTACAATAAATTGAACCAATAAAATGGCCACATACTAAACTCTTTGTGTGATGGTATTGTTGGCTGATCATTGCATGAACGTTGGAGGGTAATGAATGTGGTTAGAATAAATTGACCCAGATATATAATTATACAGTGTGTTCAGTTTATACAATGAACAATCCGAAGGAAATTATTTTGCAGCATTGGGAATTCGAGGGCACATACCTCTGTAAATTGTAAGCATTTCTGAACCGGATTTCATCTCTATTGATTCCGAACCAACTTGCATATGGTTGTGTTTGTCACTATGGAATATTTGTGCTTCTTGTGCGTTGTTGTTTTAAAATAACACTTTATTGAAATCTAAGGGGCCATGTAAAGTAGGGTGTATCTTATAATTTAATGCGTGGGCTGAAACTTTGAACTGGTTGCAACAAAACTATTTCTAATTCTGGTAAGACTACATTATTTTATGGGAAACTATTCTAAAATCGTTGTTCATAACCACCTTCTGGAAGATCGTGCCCTAGATAACCGTATATTTTGAATTTTAAAACACTTTTCTCTGACATGTCACTGTTATATTTTATAACTTAATATTTTACACCTTTGTTGCCCAGTTTTTTTGGATGTCGTATTTTTCAGGAAAAAAATTCATTTTTCAAAATGACCCCAAAAGTTTGGGGTGTGTCTAACCTCTCCAGCTGTCTTATAATCCGGATAATGCGTGCTCTTCCACGCCTTGTTTTATTGCTTATCAGCTCGGGGTCTGTGGTTCAAGTCAAGAGCAAGGCCTAATTGTGCAGTTCATAAAATGCATTTGGAGGAAACTCCAAACTACATACACAGCTCAGAATATTCCTTGTTCAGCAGTTATTGTGTAGCAGTGGAGTCCTTTATACGTCTGTAAGTGCATGGCAGTGCGTGAACGATTCATGAGCCTAAAGGCATTTCCACTCTGGCAGAAGCAGCGACATCTGTGATCATAATGATTGGGGAAATTCCGTTTTTTTACTTTTGTGGCGTGAATGTTTTAACTTTTCAAAAAGGTCATGTCTTCTCGGGGTTTAATAAATATAGTCCCGCCACCTTCCCCCAGCCCCTCTCAAGATTTTCGACACATTTTTGGGGTTCGGTGTCACAATTTGACTTGGCAATACAATTTTTTAAACATCTCCGCGAATGTAGTTGTCACATGACCTGTTACACACAACGTATAGGCATAAAAAAAGTTAATTCTTGAACGTGATTTGCTGCACGTACGTTTCTCTTTGAAGTCAATATTAATTGTCAAATCAATGCATCATTACATCCCTAATGGTTACTACTGCATTAGGTTCATTCTCAAACATGCTCAAGCATCTCCCTGAAATTCTATTTCCCTCTGTCGAGCCATTCACTTACATTTGTCTAATGTACGTAACATTTACTTTGCAGAATAGTGCTTATGCAGATAGTTGAGAACTCAAATAGTGCAATGCTTTTTTTTGCATCTACTTTACCTTCCTCAGTGATATTTTTTTTATATTTTTGGAAAGACAACTTAAAGAAAAAAAGAAATACACGATATGTTGTAAATGAATACTCTGGTCATGTAATAATGGGCCAACTGACGTGGATTTTTGAGGCATTATTGCTGAGAAAATTGAACTGTGCCCCCTCACATCCGATGCGTGATGGACGGAGGGCAACTTTGACCCTGATGTGGTGTCAGTGGCGATTATTACAGAGTGTGCGTGGGAGAATCATCGTACGGTGGTTTTTCTGACACGTTTACAAACTCGGCCTTGGCTGGCACCGCGCCGTCCATCTACGTAATGAGGCGGCGAGGCGACGTCAAAAATGACTCGCACCTGCGACAAACACGCCAGGCTCGGGAGCTCTTCTTGCACTTTCGCACTTGAACTGCGCCAATGTCGCGGGATGCATCGCTTTGTGGGATTGCTTACTGTGCAATGTGCATGTCGGTGGAATATAATACAATCGTATTGCTGTCCGGTTGAATTGTTGATTGGGTGTCTGGCTTGAGTCAGAACCATAGCCAACTGTATTTTAATAAAAAAAACTAAGAAAGGCCCAGAGTTAAAAACGGAGACACGGTGAGAAGAGAGAAGCAAGACAAACGAATGGAGGGGATTACGGTACAAAGAACGAGAGAGTAATGAGAGTTTAACACGTAGGCTTTTGCGATCTAACTCAAAAACCTCTATTATGGAGAGTAATGAGAGATGGAGAGAGAAAGAAAAGGGACAGGTGGGGGAGTGGAACACACAAAGGGAAGGGAAAGTATGAAAACAAGGAGCAAAAAAAAACAACAGAAAAACAACAGCAGATGGAGCGGAGAGAAAGAAAGATGATGAGAAAACGGCCAAAATCATTGAGAAAAATAACAGAAGCAACAAGAGGCGACGACAAAACAGGGAGCGACAACATGGAGAGACAGGTCTGGTCCCAGCAATAGGAATGTCGAATTTTCACCACTGGCTCAATGGTGCAAGTGGATAACCACCAACTCGCACTCATTTGTGTAGGTTGTTAACTCTGGGATCCCCGATGCTACTTAGCGTGGTCCCATGCATTCACTGGTAATGCGGATTATTAAGGATACGAAATATGTTTAATTGCAGCCATGTGAGAAGCAGCCGATGAACCTTCTGCACTACAGCTCTCGTGTAGTTATTCTTGGCGAGACGGAGGCAAGTGCCCTGAGCTGTGTGCACTTGGCTACGGGACAAAACACCGCATAAAAAAAAATCTGAAATGGGTGACATCATCACCCGCTATTTATATTTGTATTGTTTCGGGGAAATGTCCCACCCTCTTATTCCTCCTTAGAGGTGGAGAGATCCATGGAGAAAATTACCACAGCCACTCGAGTGTGATATCAAAAATAACTACGGACTCGTTGTGATGGTTTAGCTCGCGCAGTGGACTTGTGATCCCGAGGTCGCCATTTCAATTCGATCTCCTGGCGCGGCAATTGTAACAATGGACAAACGTCTCTAACCCCCCCCCCTCTACTGCCGGTCATTGTCCTTCCAGCACCATAGATCGCTCGCTCGCTCGCGTGTCGAGGAACCTTCCTTTGTCAAATGTAATGAACGAGGACCATTGTCCAAAAACATCACCTTATTGCTTTCTATTTTAATGACAATTGTGTTGATTTTTTAAATGTATCAATTGTGTTTGTGCACCACTGCGCACACGCAGCAACATCACCAAACAATCTTTTTATGTTTTTATGTTAGTTAAAGTAACTACGGAACCGTATCGGCATTCCTTCCCCCCCCCACCCCATTTTATTATTCGGGGTCTTGCTTTGCATTTAGGATCGGTGACGAACAGAAATTCGCCGTGCACCCAAAACGCACGCTGCACAGTCCAGACCCCCGCGGGGCGACACATGCAGATGCTTGCTTCGTCCTTCGCAGCCTGCTCTGTCGAGGGTTATTGAGATTTGATGGACCCGGCCTCTGAAAATAGATTATCTAGATGCATCGTTGCTGTAATTGCAGGCATGCCTAACTGCAGTATCTGCCGCAGCTATATATATGTGTACGGTCGAAGGTAATAATAATACACAATGGTAATAATTGCGGTGATGATATTCTAAGACGGTGTTTCTCCTTGATTCAGCATACAGTGCTTCTAAAAGGGCTCTCTGTTCATGCTCTTTGGTTTTTTCGGTAAAGTCACGTAGATAGAAACATAATAAAAATTAACCATTCACTTTGTTCAATTGCTTTGTCTCCTCCTCTTGTCACATCCCATTTTCATGGATTGCCTTTGCACATCACCGTCTCCCCCTGCTGCAGCGCAAGCTTCCTTCACACTCGTGATGGCCGCGGTTACCGTTAATCCAAATGTAACCGAGGGAATTATCCTTTTTTTGTTGCCAAAATACAAACTGACGAGATCTTTTTTTTACCCAGTTTACTGCAATTAGTATGACAAAAAAAAACCATTTAAGAGCATGTTTGAATGCATTAACATCGAGAGATACGTAGGTTGCAGTTGAGTGAGCAGCTGTCATTCAGCCACTTGGAGGTCAGGTTTATGAGGCCATCAATCGTACGAGACACCCACGTTCAGGGCAGTGCATTATCTTTGTGACAGCATAACTCGTCAATTTTCTAAACATTTTTGCCATAACTAGCTTCGGCTTTCTACGGGCACGTAGGCAGCGGGTAAAACAAATTCTACAACAATATTCAACCAGGGAAGACCACCGAGCTATGCGGCTTTTAACAACCAACCATGTCGCCTTATTTTCATCCGACGTTTCTCTCTTGGCGTTGTCTGGCTATTGCTGTAGGGATGGTGTAGACGGAACGGAGACTCGGGAGGAGCCATGAGCGTGACGTGGTGGTTCCTGGTTGGCGCAGGCGGCACGAGGCACCGGCTGCCACGTGAGCTCATCTTCGCTGGACGGGAGGACTGCGAGCTCGTGCTGCACGTAAGCACGCACGCGCCACATAATTAGCACCTGCCACGTTGTCATGTATATGTTGAACTTCTTTCACACCGTATGTAGCCAAACGTGCTAAATCGGAGTGCGATCAGTCGGTCCATATCCTCAAATCCCTTTGCTGGATTCACATCTGACGTGTTTTCGGGTTGTTACCGCTGCTGCAAAGCGAACGAAGTTCATACACGTACACATCGCAGAACAACCGCGAAACCCCATGCAGCTGAATTGTAGTCGTTGAACACAGGATGATGGGTCAAACAGAAAGACCCACCACGAGGAAGAAAGTTTTAAAATACTGTACAGTAAAACCTTGGATTGCGAGTAACTTGGTCTGCGAGTGTTTTGCAAGACGAGCAAATTTTTTAAATATTAATTTGATAAACGAGCGAGGTCTTGCAATACGAGTAGTACGTGTATACGCTTTGTCTGCCGAGCGTCACGTGATCACAACTGATATACGAGTGCTTTGGATTACAAACACGTTTCCGGAACTAATTATGCTCGCAATCCACGGTTTTACTGTATATATATTTTAAACACAATGGTATGTATAAACATTTAGAAATGGAGGCAGATAAAGTTGAACACATCGAAATACAGAAAAAAAAACCTAGACTACAAACTGCAGAGAGGCACAATTTACAAGTTATTAATGCGCTTGGCTGTGGGTTCAGTGGTCATCAGTTTGAAGCCACCTTAGCCCAATATCTGACTTGGCAATTTCCAATGGAAACCACATACACAGTTTTCTCTTCTAATTGAAGGTCAAATAAATCCCCTTGGCATTGTCCGCAAAAAAAGTGTGTGCCACTATTTGGAGAATGTATTGCCCCTTATTAAGTTACACAAAATATTCTTGCTGAGCAAAGACGGCAAACGTTCGCAAACGTGGTGTATGTGTGTGTGTGTATATAAAGTGCCGCACTTGTGCAAGGTGAAAGCCAGCCGTAGGGCTCACCACGGCACTGTGGGTAGAGGAGCTATTAATCCCGCACACTTGCACCGTGTTTATCACCAGGTGAGAGCCAATTGAGACGAGAGAGACTCTTTTGCAATGGAGAGCCGGTGTGCAGGACAAAGAATGAACTCGTCTTGTACAAATGTATTTCAGAGCAGAAAAGTGAACAATGCAGCCCAAGCCCACTTATTTTTGCAACATTTTTAACGATGCCATGGTCACAGCCTGTGCGTGCATCTTTTCCAAACCCCTGTATTCCTCATTCTGCCTTTCGACTTAATTCTAAGCGTGGAACTCGCCATGCTTCTTTGCGCGCTTAATTTAATGTTTATTTTTATGAATGGTAATATATCTTTTTTCTCAAAAATATTTTACGAACTAAACAATTCTAGTACACAAAGAGGGTATGGAAAAAGGGGTTGGCACCAGTACAAACATATTACGGCTTACAGTGCAATGGAAATATTTCTAAACCGCGTGTTTCAAAACTGTTTCAGTAAATTCTAGATTTTAAGCTTTCGTGACTGCAAGGATTCATACTCTTAGGTTTTTTCAGGGGCCTACCCTGGCTCCTCCCCCCTCAACCAGTGTATATACAAGGTCGGGTCTCTTGGGATTTCTCTTTACTTGATACAGCAATCGTGCTGTGACTGTTTCACCTGAAGACGGAAGCTTGTGTTGCCTCCGAAACGTCGTGATTTATGATTTTATTTCTATTCTTCTATTATTGTTTACCTACGTGACTTTACCGAAACAACCTAAGAGTATGTTTCAATAAACTCTACAACCCTGTCGTAGAAGAAAAAAAAAGGGAGGTGGGGGGGAAGGGGTGGGGGTGCCTAAATGCCCTAATGAATGATTAAATGACTATTACAGGTCGTAAATATGGACATGACCTATTATAATGTTGGATGGACAGAAGCTTCATTATTGACGACATTCCAGTTTTGATCAGAAACCAAGAACATGGGAACATTGTGAATTTAGGTTGCATCACATCGAGGCAGTCGCTCCATGTAAAATAATGTAACGTGCTGCATGGTAACATTAATTGAAAGTCCATTGTCAATTCACAGCCGAATAAAAAGCTGCCATTGCCATGCCACCCATGATGGTTCATATGACCTTATGTCACCGTATGTGGCTTGGTGAAGGGGGAGGCCACGACCGGTTAAGATGTGGCTCACCAGTGATATTAGATTAGCGCCGTTGGCTGCGTACGGTGCAATTGGAGTTCAACATACATTCATTCATGGCTGGGAATTCATAGGTCATTGTGTTAACCGCGAAACCACTTCTGCACATACGGTACTATATTGTACTGTATGTCTGTTTATTTTTATAGTTGTGCATTTTCAACTGTAGGTACAGTTACATCATGGGACCTTCTTTGCCAGTACCAAAATATGAGAATAGGTTTTCCCATTTTTTCTGTCAACAAAAAAGGGGAAAACCTATTTTCATATTTTGGTACTGGCAAAGGAGGTCCCATGATGTAGCTGCTCACCCCGAGCCCTCATTACTCTGATGGTGGCATTGTCTTTGTGCTGTACGCCTTTTGGCGTCCTCTGGTCTAACACCGTTTGAGACTAGGCTCGAAAGAAAGTTTTCTTTGGTGTGGACCAATCAGTTTCAAAGACTATGCATATTTTTGATTTAAAGCTTTCGTGACTGCAGGGATTCATATTTAACAATGCATATCAGTGTTTTTTGTTTGCATTCTGACCACAAGTATTGTGGTTAATGCAGACATGAATCCTTGTAAAACGTTTCAGTTTGGTGTTTTAACTTCATACATTAAGATGCATGGGAGTATTGCGCTACGATGGGAGGAAACAATTCAAAACTAAATAATGAATGTTTTCTTCCTTTTTCTCTGCTTTTAAAACATGGCCATTGCCTGGAATTGTACCCTGCAGCTCTATCTGCACGTACCTTTATCATCGCACACGAATCTGTATGCCCTACACGCATGAATCTCGCCATTCGTTGCGACTGCTTAGACGATTATGCGTTGTTAAACTCGGAGCTGCCGCCTCGACGGGTCTGTGGCGGTGATGCGTGACTATTAGTGTTGTTCTCTTTTTACCCTGGGCAATGTGAAAGAAGCTATTGTGGGACCTTTCGAATATGAACCCCTTACCAAGCCTCCCAGCCCCCACACCCTTCTCAGCTTCATTTCGTTTTCCTTTATCACTGCCTCCTCCCTGCCCTCTCTCGTCACCTCCCAAACTGCCTTGTGCAAGTCAGCTGACATGACATTCCTTCTTGGCCAGTCTGGTATAATAAATCCACAAAAGAACACCCAACGCTTTCACACGAAAATCCCTGTTGGATTTTTAAAGTTGTGCTGTCATGTGCCAGTCAGACATTGGTCGCGAAACCCTACGTGTTAAATTGATGTGTGTGTGTGTACTTGAATATTAACCTTTCATAGAAATTTAATTAGTTTTTGCAGGACCTCGTAAGTCATTGGGTGTTCTCACAGTTTTTTTTCCCAAGTGTTTTTATGTGACCGACTGTTCTCATTTCCAAAGTGTGCCACTTTTTGTATCATTGTTTTTGCATTGTGTGGTTTATAAATTTAGGCTTCATATATTCAACAACCGTGAAGATCAGAATTTCGTTTTTCCCCGCCCTAATTTGTAAACGTGTCTTGCCTGTGGCAGTTGCTTTGTTACAGGCAGCTGTAGCTAAGCACGTTGTCTTGTAATGGAGATGCAGTGCTTCGCGCCGTCACTCACCCAGAAGCTTGGCCAGCGCAGGGGTGTATAGCGCCCTCCAGGTCGACTGATCCGCCACAAGGCTCTCCGTTTGAAGGAGTATTAACCCTTTCCCATTCCGAGACGTCTACAAGTTGCTGGGTGGGGTCCCGTTCACCGCTCAATCTTGGAACGTGCAAGCCATTCAGTGTTACTTTTATTTAGAGAGGCATACCACCGCTGTTTTTAAAGACGATGTACTCCCCGCAGAGAACTATAGTGACATGACTGCACTCCGTGATGGCTGGCGCCAAACTGTGCCACACACCCTTCCACATGGCCTTTTACGTATGTAAACATCGTCGGAACGAATTGGGAGAAAAACTGATGACGTACACGCACACATACGTCATCAGAATGGGAAAGCGTTGAGTGTGCCTTCTTATTGGGTGTTACGGTGTAGCCTTTCCAATGATTCGCTCACACCACTGGTTGTGGACGGGCCTCCACTGGAGGGAGCTCTAGAAAGCCTCTCTAGCGAGTGTTTTAGCCGACTAACACATTGGCCAGATGTCTCGGAAGCGGTGGAAGTATCCATACTTTAACCCACCACATGTGAACTGCTGGTCGACGAACTGTAGCGCACTCATTTATATCGCTGCTCGGATAGAAGCTGGGGGATTTAAGAAACTTGCACCTTTGTTTAAACTCCTGCGCCAGGAGATCAAACCAAGTCGGTGCCCTCCGAATTGCAAGTCCAGTGTGCTGTAACGCCCACGAGTTATTTTCTGTTCGTGCTGTGACGGCATCAGCCAAAACTTTGGCCATGTATTTTAATTAATGGAAGACTTTTCACTTGTTAATTTGCAAACTAGCTAGCTCGGGATTGATTTTGATTTGCAAAGTAGTTTGCCAGTTTTCTGTAGTGTAATGGCATTTGCTTATGAAACCTTATGGCCCACACAATTCTGGTAGTATTTTTTACCTTTTTATTTTTTTTTTACCTGCGGTTTATTTTCAAATGTGGTATTTTTGGTTCGGTCTGAGCTATCTTAAACTAAATGTGAGAGTGATTACAGTTGTAGGATAAGTATTTGCCATGTAAGCAGGAAGTGGCTGATTGCCATACATATGTTCAATATGTGCCTCTGCTGCAGTGCTGTTGCAGTGCTATATAGGCCAAACTACGCTCAGGAAATATCTGGTATTGAATTCGTTGAATTACTTTTGGTGCTAGAGTACTGTGTTTTGTGTTGACGATGATATTTGATAGCCAATTGACACCAACGCTGCAGATCGTAAACGCTTGATTTTTTTCTTTTTTTCCCCCAACTACACTTTGTGGACCAATCAGTTTTGTGGACCAATCAGTTTCAAATACAATGCATATATTATCAGAGGATAATTGGTTTTTTACCCTTTTATCTGGCAACAAAACTGACACTTTTTTACAAGGAGTCATGTTTGCATTGACCACAATACCAGCAGTCTAAATGCAAACAAATTTCAATTTCAAGGACAGTACAGACATTATCAGAGTTATGTTTTTGTTTGCATTCCGACTGCTGGTATTGTGGTCAAAGCAAACATTATTCCTTGTAAAAAAGGTGTCAGTTTTGTTGCCAGATAAAATGGTAAAACACCAATTATCATATTTTGCTACTGGCAAATGAGGTTCCAATGGTGTTATCATAGGATGTTTTTTGTTTGCGTGTTTACCTCAAGTACGTGTGGTTAATGCAGACAGGATTCCTTGAAAAGGGATTCTGTTTGGTGTTTTATCATCTTAACACCTGTTTCATTGCCATACAGGTTAAAACCTATTGCTATATTTTGGTACTGCCAAGAAAGGTCCCATATTGTAGTCTGGTGTCTCTGTGGGCTTCCTCCTCGGGTGTGTTGTGTTACCCAGCATCGTTGCGTTAGCGGCCGTGTTTGTCAGTCTTTGGGTTCCAGGGACGCTGTTGCCAGGGAATGGCCTCTGGTGATGCCGTAACCTGCCCGTGCCCCAGTCGTGAACGGGCCTCCCGCCCTTTCCGTGTTGCGGCTGTGCGGAGCTGCTGCGTTGCTCGGTTGCTCGCTTTGTTTACAAAAGTGGCTAAAAAAATCCTTCTGTTTGCTCCATCGTAATGCCTACACGTGTTGAAAATGAACTTGATCTCTTGACTTTCAGGTGACGCGTGTATCCATGTGGTCGTGGTCTATAGATGTAACCAGTTGCTTTTGTAAACAGAAAAAAATGCTTATTTATACATTGCTCATGCCCGTATGTATAGGGACTGGCATGAAGTATATACCATACACTGTACTTTTCATGTCAATTGTGTGGAATGAAGAAGCTCATTTAAGTTTTTAATAGAGTTGTTAAAATAACCATCCTAATTTGGAATCAAACCTGATATACGTAGGCGGTCAGGGTACTAGCCTCTGATCGCTACACTCCAGCAAATTTCATAGGGACTTACATTACACATTCAACCAACGAATAATTTCAATTAAAGCCAGACTTTAACAGCAGAAATGAATGCCCATGAAGCTCAGCGTCTCCGTGCTCAAGCGAGCAACGGTGAGGAGCTCGTCTCGGTGGCACTGGACCAGTGGCGGAAATTCCACTTGTCCATGGCAGCGCCAAGGACAATAATTATGGGGAACTTTATTCTCCGTCTTGCACTTGCACCTTCTAATTCCGCTGTTCATTTTAAAATATGAATAGACGCACCCCTGCCAGCAGTAATAACAGTCATTTGTAATTGTGTGTGCTATCACATTAAACAATATACAATATGAAGAAAATGGAGCCTTCAAGTGAAAACATTGTATTTGCAAATTCTATATGTATTACAGAATTGTATTGTTGATTTATTTTGATTGCCTAATTGTACTTTGGAATGGTTAGCTCATTGACCTAATTGGGAATATGTAGCATCACTGTGCGTGCTCCATATTGCACTCTTCGTCTCTACTTGAAAGTTAAAACAATTTCAGTGGGGAAAAACTAAAATATCAGGAGTAACCATGCGTTTTAAATTGCATTTGACGACTTTCCACTGCAGGCTGCGTCAAAGGAAACTGACGTGTGTTGCTCTCTGCACGTCTTGTGTGTGTGTGTGTGAACAGTCGCGCAGCGTGGACAAACAGCACGCTGTCATCAACTACGATCTGGTGCACGACCAGCACGTGCTCAAGGACCTGGGAAGCCTCAACGGCGTAAGTGCAAGTTCGTTGTTGGTTCACCTGGATAGTTAAAGCTAACACGTGGGTTCGTTGGGATAGTTGAACAGCTTGGGGCAAGACCCCGCTAGGCTTGTCCGTGATTAATTTTACAACGCTTTTCCAAAGCTTGAGCACGAGAAAACAAAGCTTCGTTGCTGCTGCCGCCCAGGTTTTCGCGGCTGTGCTGTTGTACAGCTTTCTGACACGTGTTTTCGGGTCGCACCACGTGTTGTTCAACATTTGCTTCCACCCGCTGGAAGCTTCTTCGGTAACTGAATTGAGCAGCTCGTTATCTTTTATATCGCATTCTTGACACAAAAGAGGCCGCAACAGCAGCAAGCAACCCTATATATAATTGAGGGAGAGAGTGAGAAGATGCTCTCAAAACACGGGAGCGAAACGTTGTAGGACATTATGCCGAACGAAATGTGGCACAACTCGAAAACACATGGGAGAGATATAAAGCTTCTTGCTTGCGTTGGACAATCTAGCATACGCGGCCTTGGCATGTATCGGCAAGAGCTGTTTGTTTTGTTGCGTCACCTTTCAAACAACATGATGAGCGAGGCTACTGTAAGGGTGAGCTGGGTGTTAAAAATGCAAGATGTTCAAAACGAGAGTGCTGCGGGCACAGCGATACATTTCGCCGGGTTTTAGGAGAATGCATTGTAACCTCACATCCCTCGGTGCCCTTTAACCGGGTCATATAGGTTCCGTGAGGCGGCGGCCACGAGAACAACAAGGTCTTTTGTCGATATCTTTTTATTTTTGTGAGTGTCTTCAGCTTGTGCGAACGCTTGTGTGCACACTTTCTTATCAGCATAAAGTAGGAAATGGTTGCGAAGTGATTACTGCACTCTTCTTTGGTCTATTCCACTTGGGTTCTACTTTTGGCCAAGGTCTCCATGAGGTCAGCTGATTCCGTAATCATCACCAGCCATGAGCTATGTTGAATAAAAGCAACACCTGGTCTGATAGGTCAACATCAAGTCTTGGATGACCCGGTTTATTGTTTGTCTGACTAAAACTAAACGTAACAGCAGGTTCACCAATAAAACCAGCACCTGCCGACGTTTTCAGAATAAAAGACAAATCTTCGTCCATTGTGCTCCTATTATGTAAATCAGCGTAAGTCAAAGTGTATCCAACAAATGGGATAATGCATTACATTCATATGAACCTGAGTTCGAATCCCGACCAAGGATGACATCAGTAGGCGAGTGATATATCGAAACCGGTCCTGGGCTACCCTTCACGAACCCCCCACTGTTCCTCGTGTTGATGTACGGCACAGACGAGAACCCCACGTGACCAACACGGTGTGGTGGGGGCAGGGCAGAGGCCTTCATCTCCCTCTGGATTGAATAAAAGAGCTATTATTGTTATTATTATTCAATGAAACTGATATATATTAAAAGCAAAAGAAAAATAACTAGAAGCTGAACTGAAAAAAAGTATCTATTTGAAAGCAGACTGTAAGTTGAAACATAATAGAACTTGGCCTTGGATGTTCTTACAGCCATGTGTTTTATTTAATTTAACAAAAATGCACAGCTTGGGGTATTTTTTCATTTCCAGTGTTGTCCTGGTGATCACGTTGGTTTCCAGCTGCTATGACGGGAAGAGATGAAACGACTTTTCTGATCAATAGTGTAATGCAATGGAAATTCGCGGTGGCTTTCTGTTCGCTTGTTCACGTACTTTGTTTTTTTTGTTTGTTCTTTCAGACGTTTGTTAACGAAGTTCTGGTTCCCGATCAAACGTACGTCTCGCTCAAGCAAAGCGACGTTATCCGCTTCGGATATGATATCCTTTACAGCTTCTGTGGCAATGGAATGACAACGTTGGTAAAAGGCGTTTATTCCAGTCAAAAATGTGACGTTTCTAAGACTTGCTGAACATTTCTAAAAATATATATATACGTGTGTATGAAATACATCTGAAATCGGGAGTCTCGTCATACATTTTACTACCATGTGTTTAGAAAAAAATTGTAACACAAATACAATAGAATAATATTCTGACATGGGTATATTTAATTAAGTCATTACATTTACACATATTTTAATAAATTGCGATGATAGTTTGGATACTAATATGATTGCGTAAACATCTGTGTGTCATTTACTATATACCACACATGTGGCGTTATGATGCCACATAGCTTCCCATTATTCATGAAGCCTCAAAGGATATTCAGATAAATTAGTAATTATAAAATTACAGCTGCTTCCAAGGCTACGATTCAACAGTCACTGCTGACATCTCCAAGTTCGTTACGAAGAGGGTGGCAAGGACTCGGGACAAAGTGTACGTCCGGTAGAAGCCAATGTATATAATCTCTGTATTAGAACAAAAAACAAATTTTTTTTCTATTTAAGTTTACGACTCACCCTCCTCGCCTCCCTGTCACAAGCAAGAGCGATGAGGTGGACTAGTCTCAGTATTCACGCCCCAATTCAGCCTTTAGTTAAGCTTCATGCTCAGCGAGTGAATTATTTTATTTTGTTTAGCGAGGTTGTTCTACACGACTCGTTTTGGTCGGATATTTTGAGGCCCACTTTTAGGCCTTCCTTTGTTTCTTATGTGGCTTGAATTAGAGGTCCTTTATCTGCAAGAGAATTATACATAATAGGCGCATATATTCGTGAACATATCATTGAGTGTTATTGAAATTTTATCGCAGTTATCTATACATTTTTCATGATTCTAGGTTGCATTATTAATGACCTTATCACTAGTTAACCAGGATAAACCCTTGAGATTCATATCCTATTTCCAAGGGGGCTACTGGCAAGATAGCAGCATATCAGTTCCACTTAAGATGCATATAAAATAAGTCGGATGTAAAGAAGTTATAATACACATCACACACCACTATAATACATTAATTTAGACTTGATAAAAAAAAATCGAATTTTCAAAGCGTGATATAAAATGGTTTGAAGAAAGGTATTCAACTTTGAGCTTTTCAATAAAGAACCAAACAGTTTTAAAGAAAACAATCCCTTTCCTCGTATGCCGCCTTCCTGTGGCTATTAAAAAAATAGTTTCGGCTAGCACTCAGACGCTACACCGCCCAGAGATATAAAGAAAATACTGCACTTGTTTTTCTCGTGAGCTTTTTGCAGTTGCAATCCAGAGGTTACTGTTCCGAGATCCTGGCACTTTGCCTCTGTCCATCGAGCAGAAGAGATGGTTTCACCACAGTCGATCGGTAGGTCACGTGCGGTGAAGTGTAGGGTACTGCCACCTCTTCCAAGACATCTGGCCAACGTGGACGTGTAGGCCAAACATGCCCTCTAGAGGGGCTCTTGTGCTGCCTGTAGTTGAGGCCTTTCCACCGGCAGTTGCATGAGTAAGAAATTGCCGGGCTGCACCTTTACCCTTTGGTTTTATTAATGAAGTGGTAAAGTTTTCAGATGTGTATACGTGATATTGCAGGTGTACATCCAGGAAAATTTAAAAAAGTATCCCCATTTTACGAGGAGTTACCCACAGATGTGGTCATGCTGTACGGTTAAGCAATTCTGTCGGCAAAATACAAGTGGCTTGATTCATCGTATGCCCTGCTGCTCCACATTTATTCTGGAAGCCACTTTGCCGTGAAATTTCTCAATTTCTTGGATACAACACAACCGTTTGCAGTGTTTTCTGATTAGTTTGAATTGGTGAATTGTAGACACTGTTAAGCATTGTATTTTTCATTTATCGAAGCTTGCTTGCATAATGAACGGAGATATTGCTTCTGTTGTTTGGGAGCGGTGGTGCTCAAAATTCAATCTCCACTGGCATGTCTGTATATGTATGACAGTTGACAACGTGTAAAATGTGGTTTGTATAATCAACACCTCGTAAGTAATGTTTGTTAAAAATGGAAAACACTACACTGCGTTTCTAGGCGTAAAGTTTGGTCATTTTTGGACCATAGCAGTTACTGTCCGTCTGGAGTTTGTCCATATTGCACATCTACCAATCCACAAAAGATAAAACAAAATATCTCTTGAGTGCAAACAAGCATTGATATGGAGCTTATCTCCGTTGATGGTCCTAACTTCATCAGTGGAAATTCCACCTTCCCAGGGCATCTCTCAGGACAAATGTACCCGTGGATTTTGGAGCATTGGAACACCAGGGAAAGATCGGCTAGATTCCCACCGAGTGTTTGGAAATGGGGGGCGGGGGGGGGGAGAGTGGGGAAGCCATATGCTTTCCCCCTTTGCTTCTTGCCCTTCTCTTTTCAAAGCTGTTTCCACATGCCTGATTTTACAACGACAACAAAAACGCAGCAAGTTGTCCACAAGGTGAGGAAACGTCTCGCGCTGCTTTTTAATGCCCCGCAGATGGGGTCCCTAAGGCAAATGATAGTCGGTTAACGCTCGCGCATTTAAAACGTCGACAACAGCAAGCGTACGTTGACAGGTGGCTGTCGTGAAACAAGCTTTTGTTGCCTTTGACCCTTAAAGAGCCTTATAATTTGGTCAAAAGTCAATGCGTCCACATGTTCAACAAATACTGCAGTGCATTCATCTCTGTTCGTGGCCCCGAGCCGTTTGTGGATAATCGACATTATTGTGGGGGCCAGTCTGTAAATAAGACAACCAGTCCGGAGGTCCCATAAAGATGGTACTGAACCTTCTGGGCTGATGGTGTACTGAACTTGTATATCTCTCCGACTTGTTTTTGGGTTGCACCACGTGTTATTTATTATTTCTGATGTTTTCCTTCTTGAAGAAGCGGACACCACGCGGAGCGAAACGTCCGATTTCATCGCAAACAACATCATGCCGAACAATACACGCGGCACATTTCAAAAACACTTTGGGTTAGATAAACAGCACAGTTGTGAAAACCTACTCCGTAGTAACGCAGTATTCTGTTCTCAATATTATCGTGTGGCCTCTTAATTCTCTTGCTGTACTCAGATGTAAATGCATACATGTCTGAGTGATTGCAATTGTCACGTTTATATAAAAATTTTGTATCCAAATATATTCTGTTACATAAGGTCTTGCTACAGCTAATCATTATTCTGCTGCATAATCCTAGTAATCTCACTAAGTTACCAGCATTAATGGATAAACCATGGATATTCTAACGTTAGTTCAGCCGAATCCACGGATGTGTGTGTTTACGTGAAATTCTCAACGTGCATGCGTCGGTGAAGGAAATGTTTAAAGGGACCTTTTTTAAAGAAGAGATACAAGCTGCAGATGACTCCAGTTCACTTGTTTATTTTATTCTTGTACCTCGGTCTTTTGGGCCATTGGAGGCCTTGAATATGTATTCAATATTTAGTTCTACTGGAGGAATCCGATGAGCTCTTTGTTAACAGATGTCCAGTCGGGATGGGTAAGAATGTTACAACAACAAACAATTCATTAACACGATGGTAGTGCAGAGTACAAGAATGGTAAAGAAATCGCCCAAAAACATATAGATACAACTAAACCATTCCCATCCTGCCAGGCAAAGTCCACTGGGGTCTTCACGCTCATACCTCACCGTTTCCTTCACCGGTGTCTTCTTGCAGTGCTCTTCACACATCTGCCTGTCTGTCGCAGTCTCTTTCAACTGAGACAACGTCCAATCCCATCCACATTTTCATTCGAAGTGCTCTCAATCATAATTTACCACGACCCTTTTTGCCATGAACGCTGCTTTATAACGGACAAATAATAATGTATATAGCGGTGCGCTAATGTTTCGGGCAATGACAGTTTCTGCAGAGTCATTGCCTTAAATATTAGGCGACTACTTATTTTATCAAACGTTGTGAACGAGCGTTTTGTGTTTGTCCTTGAGTGCCCCTGCTATAGTAGCCCATTAAGTTTTTTTATGGCAATCACATTAAAACGTGCGATAAAATACACACAGCCGTGCGCTTTTCCTGCCATGCCTTTTGCACTTCGAGTAGCTTGTGTTAATTATATTACAATTGAATGCTAATTACTGTTTATTTTTTTGAAAAGATAACTCAGAAAATTTTATAAAATCGGGAAGAGCCCACTGACTGATGTGCATGCATTTGCGATGAACACCTAATGGATAACCAGTGCACATGGTGCTGCTGTTCCATTGTCATTGGCTGCTTTATTGGATGTTGGCGGCTCATTGCAGAGTAATCCAGCACTTCTAATACAGAGGGTTAGCAGACCACACGTGGTGCGAAACGCTGTGTGTTTGCCGTCGAGGTGCCATACCATGGCTCGCCAGAGGAGGTGGTACAGCAAGCGTGGACTCATCTCCATCTGTTCCATCTTGATGGGAGAGTGCTGCTCCCTTTACACGAGTAGATTTTCTTTGAGTTCTCCGGTTTCCTCCCATGTATAAACTGTCCTTAAGTGGCTGAACACAACTTCAAATGTAAACAACAATGCAGGGCCCTCGCTGGAAATGAGTCCTCCCGACTCGGTATGGCTTCCTGGGTAAATAATAATAATTATTGTTGATATTGTAGCTGTCTGAGTACAGAGGTGAAACCTGAAATGAATCGTGATCAAAGTTGCCAGTGGAAAGACCCATAGATTGAGGTAATGCAATCTCTCTTACGGATTGAGATCTAGAAACAAGGTTGCATCATTGCCTTTTCACATCGCTGAATTAATGCGGTGACGAAATGCACGTGGTTTACGCGCGTACGCACACCTGGTTCGCACTGGCTTAACCATATCGGTGTCCTGTAAACACCGCAAGGTCTTCATGCAGTGTCTATATCTTATATGAGAATCCACTTATCTGTAATGATTCGACTCAATTTTAAGCAGGATATTACGACGTTTCATACTGTCAAGCAGAATATAAGACGCACATAAAATGAAGCCGTCAATCAAGACGTATGTGTGCCGCCTGTTCTGTTTCAGCAGCCGAGAGAGATCGGCTGAAGCTTCACTTTTATTCCTTAACAGTCGATTACATCCCAATGTGTACACAGTGGAGAAAGGGGAGCACAAGGTGCCCGAAGAAGCCTTGAGGGTGAGTAATTCACAATGTTCATGCAATGAAGCACTGTGTAAGCAACGAGAGTACATGTGGGGGCACAGGCATATAAGGCCGCCACACCAGCCGGCCTGTGGCAGTCTCTCCGAGTACCGGATGTGTTTAGTGATATCACACAGCCATGATTGTCATCTATAAAACTGTCCTATTTTCTCAAACAGAACGGTTTGGTGAAAAAAATATATATCTAAGAATAGGGTTTACCCTTTTTGGAAATTAAACAGGTGTGTTAAGATCTTCAAACACAAAGTCGATAACTTTTGCAAGGCATCATGTTATATTGCCAGAAAAGGGTATCTTTTTTCATCATTTCGATACTGGCCAAAAGGTCCCATAGATATAGAACGTTTTGGATGATAGCTTTTAAAAATGTTCACAGTGCATACATACTTGAGTTTAAGGGTTGTGCAAAGTAACATTGTTTTATACATTTTGGAGAACATTTGCTGTAGCATGTACACTCTTTGCTGCTGCGATAACAAACTTGCGTGCAGTTACAAATTTGGATTTATAAAGTATCCAAACGCATCCACAGTTCAAGATGCTGTAGGAATGGAGGAGTGTGCAAAATGAGAGAAAAAAAAAATTTTGGAGAGAAAGTCATGAGGGGTGGAATACTACAGGGAGGAGGAGATGAATGAGATGACATTGCGGTAAAAGTGCGAATGAGGACTCTTCATAGAGGGAGACAGTCACAGACAGGAGGGGTTGGTAGAAGGTCTTGAGCCTGGACTTGGAGGGAGTTGTGAGTGCCGATAGCCAGTGGGAAGACATTCCCATGAGGGAAGATGTGTAGAAGGAGTGACCTCCCATTATTGGATAGCAAAAGGATTTATTATTCTGCTTGTTTACCTGGGACATTAACTAGAGGCTTTGACAGAAGGCCTTTGTTGTTCGAACAGAGAACACGTAGAGGGGAGGAGCTCAAGATGGGGTGGGGGACAAATCCGTAGACGATGTTTAAGACGGTGAGACTGATCTTTTAGTAGAATTATATTGGCAGCAATGGGAGGCAGTGAAGGAATCTGAATGTTCAGGTAATATCTGGATCATTGCCGCAGGTAAAACGTCTGTGGTGGGATAATGTATTTGGTGTGCATATTTACAAACACTGTAATCGCCATCATTTGTTAAAATGTTTTCACGAGGTCTCCTAAACAAACACTAAAAGTGTGTAACGTTTGACTGTGGCCTGTGTAAAGATGATATTTATACCTGTGTGAGTCTCTTGCTACCTTTGGCAGGGATATGTGGGTTCGCTGAGACTGTGGCTTTGGAATGTGCATGGACCCACCCGTTGTTATGGTTTTGAAAGTTTAGGAATGTTTGTGTTTCTAACTGCTTTTCCATAAGCATAATTTATACCGTATTCTCCAGATTACACCACACTTTGGAAAGCTAGACCCATCCCAAACAAGTGCCCGGTGTGAATAAAGTTACTTAAACCCAGTCACGCACACACACACAGGACCGCAAAGTGGAATACGTTTAACACCGTCGCTGACGCAGGTGTGCGCGCATGTGTGACCACCAGCACGAGGGGTACAGCAGCACGATGCAGAGGCTGCAGGAGGAGCGTGGGGCCACCGCGTTGGAAGCGGCCACCTCGGATCAGGCCGCGCAGGATGACGGGCAAGCGGCGGCGGGCTCCTCGCAGGCCCCCGATCACGAGACGGCTGTCGACGACAGCAGCAGCAGCAAGGGCACTCACGGTGAGCCACGTGGGAGGACGTCGTCGCGTGGGCGCAAGGACTTTGCCTTGCGTTGACCGCTATCGCCACTTACCTAGGCAGTCCATGAGACCTAAGTGGAAGGTATTTTCGAGACTTCATCTGTATGTATGTTGAACTTCTATCGCACCGTACGTTGCCAACCGTGGTAATTGGAGGTGCGGGGGAAGGATAAACTAAACACAAACGGCAGTTCTAAGTCTAGATTTAAAAGTGCATATAGCTCCAGTGGCTTCCTAATATCGGAAGGATGAGCGTTGTAGACGGCCGCAGAAGTGGATGTGAGAGAGCGCGATGCAGTTGACTGTCGCTGGATAGGGCAGATGGCGGACAGCTGCTGCAATTTCTCGTTTCAGAGAGCAATTGCAAGATAATAACAGTGGTTGGTGGCCAACTCTTTTATAGCATATGTCATTATACTGCGAATGGATAAACTGCCGAACAAGAAAGATGATCTTTATTAAATTACGATGTGATCACATAGCTTACCATATGTACGTGTAACAAATACTACTGATTGAGTGTGTGTCTTTTAAGATTGTGCAGCTGAAACTCTGCTTCAAGCTCCTAAACAGTAAATGCTGTGTACAGATAACCTTTATGTCCAACTAAGAGCCGTCCGAGATCACGTCTCCTGTTCAATGGACGTCTTAGTTTAAATAAGCACAGCAAAACGGATGCAATAGGAGTTGCTCATTAGCGAGTGTAATTGCTTGTTAAAGCATGGCTGGAGTTGGAATTGTGCTAGTGGCTTTTAAGATGTGTAATGGCGATGTCCTCATCTATGTTGTTGCCCTGCTTGTGTGTGTGTTCAATACACTCGTAATAAAGACATTCCCAGAATGCATTATATTCCCAGAAGGCACTATATTCCCAGAATGCAGTATATTCTCAGAAGTACTATAAAGATTAACCTTTTTTGAGACTCTTGTCCAGGCTGTAACTCAAAACCTGTGCACTGACTTTGACCATTTTCATAATAACCATTCTGGCGAATTGCCAGATGGTGCTGGATGCAATTACCAGCGAAACGTCGTACTCAAAAATTGTAAATGTTGTGGTTTCACTCTTCAACACACCGGTGGGCTAAAGCAGTGAACTATTTTTCTTTTGTCAACGTGACACTTTTTTGCTGATTGGCCGTGTCGGGTGGTGGAGGGTTACGACACATTTATAAATAACGCGATCTAACCCAAAAACGTTCATTATGAATAATATTGGTCGCGAAAGCCTGCGTGTTAAACTAATTTGACCATTTTAATTGTTGTCTGGCAACTATAGCTCACTTGTAGTTTGCCTGGTCACAATCCATTAAGATTGACAAAACATTTCTTACAGGGAGGGTGCCACTGTAGCATTATGTTTCAAACTTAACTGCTCCTAAATATATAAATAACAATACATGCTTTTTAATACAAATATATGTTCATATTATCAAACATTTTTCAAACGTGTGTTGCTTGAGATATCTGGGCAATGATTAAAGATGTTGAGCAATTACAAGCCAGGAGGAATAGAAAAAATCAACAAAAACTTTGGCCTAGAGTGCCTTTTCGTGAAAACGTGTGAACCCATGAAGTGGTAAGGGAATCATAAACTCCAGGAACATGACTGTAAATGCAATTCATTGGGACGGATGTAATAATGAGGGAAGGACGAGGGCTCTGTGCCTGCGTTAAGCACACGCGAAAGGAGGAGATTATGCTAATCTGCTGAATCATTTGGTCAAGGGGAACGGCCGTTTTCAAGGTGATAATGAGCCCGGGTATCCTGGAAAAATGCCACAATCGTTTCTGCACGCCTGAATGCTTATTTGGAAATGTATTCACAGTTTCCCTATTTCCTTTTTTCACACCACAGTTATATTCAGTTTAAAATATTTTTTTTTCATCATTGGGACTGCACACCAGTTGGCAAGGGATTGCTGCGATGGCATATGTGTATATATATATGGTGAACTTTCGCACCGTACATAGGCAACCATGCTAATCTGTGGGTCTCTGTAGGTCTCTGCGTGTCTGTGGATCTCTGGGTCTCTTTGGGTCTCTGGATCTGGGTGTCTGTGGGTCTCTGTATGTATGTAAGTTGAACTTCTTTCGCACCGTACGTAGCCGACCGTGCTAATTGGAGGTGCGGGGGAAGGACAACAAACTCAACACAAAAAGCAGTTCTAAAGAAATTCGTTTTTATTCAAAAGTGCACAGCTCCAGTCGCTTCCTAATATCGGAAGGAAGAGAGTTCCAGACGCCCGCAGAAGCGCATCTGAATGCGCCGCGCGATGCGGTGACCGTCTTCGTTCGATCGTTAGACAAAAGCCTTTGCTGCTGCTGCTGCTGCGAGGATAAAAAGGCGCGCATTGGGCTTGCAAATCTGGTCGATGCTTAATTGATCCTCTGGCACAGCATTTGTAGCAAATGTGGCAAGTTTCGTAACCTCCCTGCCTCTGTTCACCCAGCAGCATAAATAGCTACACCACGATTAGTCGATCGGCAGGCGAGGTGTGGTGGGGTCAAGTTTGGGTACTCTAAGATCTTCCAAAATCTGTGGCCAGTGTGGAAGAGCAGGCCAAAATATATTTTCTGGAGCTCCCTCTGGTAAGAACCCATTTCACCAGCATTGGTGTGATGCTCTGTTCACTGGGAATGTTCAAACCAGACAATTCCTCACTTTGTGTCTTACGCTTTTAAGGTACAAATGAGATATAAATTGTATTTGTAAAAAAATATTAGAAATTTAATGATAATGAATATAACCAATACTTAATGAGCTTTGGCTGAACTCAGCAACTGTATGTCTCCGTATTACAGTACTGAAAAAATATCCGACTCAAAACCGTTACAGACACATAGTTTCCTCTCAAATGGCAGTGGCATTGTCTAACAAAGTGGAAGTGGAAATGGAGAACATTAAAGCCCTTAAGCTACTTTTAAAGGCATTAGGATTATGCTGATTTTGATTTATTTTGAGCAAATGTGTGTGTGTTGATCATGCGGCTGTGTACGTGGGAGTGAATGTGAATATTAGGCCAGTGTATCAAGGTCAGTGTGTACAGCGTGCATGTACAGTATGGGTGATTGTGGTGACGGTTACAGTGATGCGTGGGGCAATGTAACATAGCCCGAGTGACCCAAGTGAGACCCATTAATTAATAAACATCATTTTGAATTAGTCTTCCCTCAATCTAAGCTTCCTATAGTCACCATCACCGTCATCATCACCATCCACGTATTTATGTTGAACTTTTTAGCATCGTACGTAACCCACCGTGCTAATAGGAGGTGCGGGTGAAGGACATCCATGTTCTATCCACTGCTGGATGAGTGCCTCTCCATGCCGATTCGATCCCTCATGGTTCTGCGATGCCACAATCACAAGCCCGCTCCTGCACCTGAGCTGATCTCATTACTCCTTCTCCACTGTGGTTTGTACGCTCTCTTATCCATCAGTCACCATCCCTTCCAGCGATGTGTATTCCATTGATGTTTTATATTTAATTTCTATATACTGTATTAAAAGGCAGTCGGTAGTCGTAGGAAGAAATATAAAAGGAAGTTTTGTTTTAACAGCAGGGAAGTCAGCGGCACAGATGGCAGGGGGGAGTACGTTCCAGACTTTCGGAGCAGCAGAGGAGAATGAGTGACAGAGGAAAAGGAGGAACATTCAGAGGAGAATAAGTAACAGGAGATCGAGTGAGATTCAAAGTCAAGATGTTCTCCTGTAATTGCTTGCTCACATCACGGCTATTGAAAGGGCCTCCACTAGAGGGAGCTCTAGAGAACTCCTCTAGAGGGTAAATCTTGGCCTACTCTTCCACGCTGGTCAGACGTCTTGAATGGGGTGGGAGTAACCCCACTGTACCCCATTACACGCGACTTGCCAATCGACTGGCAGAGATGCACCCGTTTGAGACTTTGCCGTTGTTTCAACTACTGAGCCAGGAGACTTGCGATATTCGGAAGCCACTGAAGCTATGCACTTTTACAGCTAGATTGAAAACTTGTTTCTTTGGAACTGATTTTTATGTTGAGTTTGTCCTTCCCTTGCACTTCCGAGTAGCCTGGCTGGCTACGTACGGTGCGAAAGAAGTTCTTCATACTTGCGACATCTCAGTGGACGTCCTCTTGGACGGGTTCCAGTTGTTGGCTTCCACATACAGACAAAACTGGTAACCTCTCAACTGAAGTCCAGTGGGCTAACCATTAAAACAAATATAAACTCTACATGTTGCTGTACATTCCTTACTGAAAGTGAATTAATGCAAAGCCTACGTCTACACCTGTATAGAAAGCAGACGTTATTGGAATGCAAGACTTCTAGGGATAGGGGTTTTTTCAGTTTTTTTACTGCCCCTGTAAACTGAATAAAAAATACAAGCTTATGCAAGCAGTGCATGCAGATCTAGAATGAAATAACATTGATGATGTCTGGTTATGAAAACGTGATGCCAGTTTTTCAGGATGAGTGACCCAAGCCTTTTTTTTGTGGAGGATGCGAAAACTGGGCTGCAGATCACATTTGTATATGAATATTATTATTATTGGACTACTGTAGTTATATTTTTTTTACTTATACAGTACCACCCAAGAGGCATTTTTCAACGGCACTGCAGAATGGAATCATGGATCCATCTTGTCTGAAAAAAAAAGTTTCGTCTGCTTTAGTGTGAGCACAATACGGTCTTACAACAGTGTAGAGTTGTATAAAACCTTGACATAAGATAATTGGGTAATTTTAAAACAAATTAAGTTAACACGTTATGCTTATAGGCGTAATTAAACAACACATTAAAACACATCTTATCCACAATGTTGTAGACACCAGAATTAATGTATTGCAAACTCCTGTTATTCATTATTTATTTTAAAGAGGATGGTCATGATCTTCGTGTGTGTGTGTCATGTGCAATGGGTCACAGCAGGGCAATGTATCATGAAAACTCTAGGGAAGTGCTTGCTAAAAAAAAATCTAATAACTGAGAGCTT